AGCTTGGCACCGAAGACCATGATCCAAAGACCATAAGACATCCACATGGCATTGCCCTTAAGATGAGGCCAGCTGGCAGTGAATGTCTGACTAGCGACATAGCGGCGAGACTTGCCAGTGAGGTAGCTGCCAAAGAGACCGCCTAGAGGCATGATCGAGAAGAAGAAGAAGGTGACCAAGGCAATCAAGAATTGCACGATACCGAGGATCAGCGCGATCTTGCCCTTTTGGTTTACGCCAAAAATGTACACAGCAGGAGCAACATTGATGACGAGAACAAGGAGGAGGAACAGAAGACGCTTGGTCAAGTGCTGAGCACCAGCCCACTTTCTAGGGACATATGACCATTCAGCGAGCGTGGCGAAAACCATGATAAGGGATGCGACAGTACCACCGAGAGCGACAGCGGAGAAGTGAGCAGATGTTTCAGGAGGTTGGTTTCTCTGCTGCTCGTAGCCCTTAGTGTAGAGAGTAGGCGAGTTGTAGGCAGTGTAAAACCAGTAGGCAGTGACGTGAATAACCCAGATGCGGTTGAAGTTGACCAAGTTGTGGAACCACGATCTGGTCTCCTTGAAAGTTTTGAAGAAGCACTTCTTCCAGATGACGTCCTGAAGTCTCTCGTAACGCTCAGCAGGAGGCAAGTCGACCAGACGGGACTTGTCCTCGAAAACGATACGCTCAATACCCTCAGGATACCAGAAGAGCTGGTTCATGTCATCATAACCAATGGTCTTGTTGTGGTCACGCTCTCTGCGAACGTACTTGCCATCGAAGATCTCGTAGCCCTGGTCTCTGCAGTAGTTGTAGAGAGGAGTAATTACGTTGTTGAGGTATGTGAATTCCTCGACAGGCTCGACCTTGTTCTGGCAAGCGGGAGAGTGGAAGTAATCGTCTGCGCACTTGAAGATGAAACACATCAGCTCGGGCATGAAGCGGACCTGGTTGGCTTCACCCCAGCAAAGAAGGTAGAGGGCAATTTGCCTGACACGATCGTGCTGAGACATCTTGTTCATACGCGACTTCCAGCGGTATTCGGCTGCCTCGAGACTGTTGTCGCCTTCAAGACTTGACAAAGTGGCCTCCTCGTTATCGGCTTCCTGTGCCTTCTTCTTGGCGGCCTTGCGGGCCTTGCGGGTACGGCGGTTGGCTTTTCCAAGGTTCATGTTGGCAAAACCAACGGCGTCGTCGAGATCGAGGTGAGCAGCAAAGTACCAACGACGGTAGTTGGCGTTGTCACCACCGATGTAGTCGGCGTGCAGCGAGAGGAGGGCTTGGTTGGGCGACATACGGGAAGCACGCGAGTCGAGCAATGTCATGAAGTGGTCGAACATGTTTCTCATGCTGTCACGCTGGAAACCAAACTTGGCTGTCAGGTCAAGGAAAATGTCCTCGATCTCCTCCTTAGAGAGAGGGATCTGAGCATCCGAGGTCCATGCAGGGTAAGGCTCTCTCGAGCGCTGTCCAGCAGGAAGAGCGTTGGTGTAGTCCATGCCGTAAACAGGAGTTGAAGCACCCGACGAGCGGTTGCCACCGTACGAAACCTGAGATGATGNGGGGCGGAAGCCACCACGGGCGCCTTGCTCGCCGTTGTAGCTGTTGTAGCGCTCGTCACCACGACCATAGTAGTCCATCTCGGCGGCGCGAGCCATGTCGGATCTCATAGTGAAGTCGCTGAAGGTTTCCGAGTCTTCCTCGGAGTGGCCTCTGGGTTGACGGGCTCCTTGCTGGCCAGCAGCGTGACCTTGGTCGTAGTATTGGTCGTTGTAGTACTCGTCCTGGTAGCCGTTCTGGCCCTCGGCGTAGTAGCCGTCCTGAGCGTGGCCTTGATAAGGGCCGCCAGCGTGCTCGCCCTGAGCGTAGTGACCGGTACTGAACAAGCAGGTTAGCAATTGTCAATCAGTCGCCGCTTGGAANNCAGAAACATACCCTTCATCGTAGTAGCTGTCCTGGCCATTGCCATAGCCTTGGTTGTGGTCGTAGTAGGCCTGGTTCTGGTCGTCCTGGTAGTAACCATCATTGCCGTGGCCATAGCCATCATCGGCATAATGGCCACCGCCCTGTTGAGGGTGCGCCATGCTGAAGTCAATTACAAAAAATTACTGTGGCAAGTCAGAATGCGTTCAATATGACGAGTACGGTCACAGTGTAGCTCACCTCAGAGCAATGACATTCGCCGTGAAACAAGGGATGGGCTGATTGCGGGAATGTGGCCAAAAGCCTGAACGTCGATTGTTTTGAAATACAGCGAGTGTAGTAGTCCGGTAGATGGACTGATGCGGATGCAGCAACAGCTGTGCCTTGGTGCTGAAGAAGGCGATGTTGATGTTTTTTCGGACCGGAGGTGGTGTAGGTCGAAAAGTAGATGCAGTTGTTGCCGTGAGAACGCGCGGCCGCAGACTCGGCAGCGTGTGTGGAGATGCAGGAAATAGACTTCTCAGTCAGTCCGGGATTGCAGCTGTCAAGCAACCTCTGTTCAATCCGACACCTTGAATGAGGCGACGGCGATGGAGGAGGAGGAAAGGGAGACAGATGTGCAGCCGGGAGAGGAACACAAAAGAGAACGAATGTGTGTTTGCACGGAAGCAAAAAGACGCTGGAACAGAAGGCGCGCGCACGAGGCAGGGGCGGGAAAGGGGGCTCTCGGTTGATCGTAGTCTGCTGTTTCAACGGCTTGGAGGCGAAAGGCCGCACCAACGCGATTCGACAGAGGAGTGCACCAACAGAGCACCAAGATTCAAGAAAGCCCCAGCAGAATGCGTCTCCCGGCCGGATCCCGGGCAGCGAGCACCCAGCAGGAAACACACGTCTCTCCTTGATCCAAAACAACGCTCAGACCACCTCTCAACTCTAGCTCCAGCATTCGCGGCAGGACGAGTCGCGCTATCACGCCCCAGCCAACTTTCATCTCGCGCCTCAGTCCCGCACACCGGCCTCCCATTCGCTCATCGCTTCGCCCTCTAGCGCCTCACTTCAAACATGCGTCCTGCCATTCCTGACACTCTGCCAGACTGGCCCTCTGAAATCATTTCCGCTGCGGACCGTCCATCGTCGATTATCGCTAGAGAACCATGGTCCATGGGCTCTTCCATCTCACCGTCTTGAGCAGGCCACGACTTGACATCAAGACAAATCAAGCCTGACGATCACTCTCAAAGCACCGAACCGCATCTCTTGCACAGCCCTGTGCTGCTTACTCTTCTTGATTTCTGCCGCCCCGACCGACTGGATGGTTGATTTGTCGGCGGCTGTCAGCAAAATAACAGACATTTTAACGTGATCGCCAGCACTACTCGACGAGACGAATTTCTGGATGCTTGTCGACTTGCCAGTGCTATTTTCGGCTTTGTCATGAGATGCGCCTCACACCTCATACCTTTGCTCGTGCAACGGTTCGCTGCTCGTTGTGAAATGCTTGCATGGTGCTTCGACTGTGGCACCAGTGGCTTGCACTCGACCTCGTCATTCAAATTTCGTGTCATGTTGAGAGGCTCCATCCTACATCAAAAGTGCTTAAAGCTGAGGGCTCTGCTCCAAGCAGATCGAACACTTGTTCCGCGTCCACTACACAATCGATTGGCCACGAGCTGTGCTCTCGCCGCGTGTTCGCACCTCGTAACGAATTTATATACACGGGTACGGCAGTGTTTGTACCTTTGTGTGCTTCGGATGCATGCCACGACTCTAAGCATACAACAATTTGATGCGTTATCGAAATCCTTCCAGAAGGAGTCTGCGATATCAAAGGCAGTGCTGTTTAAAGTCAGAGTCTCGGGTAGAAAATGCTCGTGCTGTGACCTATGTATTGATTGACCATTCACAATTTCCTCCATCGTCATCCTGAATGATGAAACGCATTCCAAAACATGACATAAGTCATGAGTAGAATTGCACCGGTAGAGCCCAGCTAGGCACACAAGGTATTTACGTAGCAAGGACTGGATAAATGTTGATATGGAAGTCTCTGAGATAAGACAAGATGCATGCGCGAGCAGACATGGGTGTCCTCGAAGGTCCGCTGCTGTACAGGTCCAGCTACGGAGTTGTTACTTCTGGACATGTCTCCAACGTCAACAAATCATCTATGAATTCTCAAATGATCGTGACGACATGGAATGTTCTATGGATTCGATGACACAAATGTTGAGAAGCTGTTCGAGAAGAAAGGTTGATGTCCTCGGAGCAACACAGGTTCAGTCACACAAAAGACAGCATCTTCATCATGAAAAGTCAACAGGGCAAAAGCGACGACTGTTTACAGTTTCGGCATCTTGTTGACCGTGCTAAGAGTGATACGCAGCAGCCGTTGAGGCACACGAAGCTTGGTCCGGCTGCTCGGAATGGATTTTTGCAGAGGACGTCGCAGCGGGAACAAGGAGGAAGGCTGCTGTCGAGTCGAGAGTGCTGTTGCGCCACCTGTGCATGCATTCGTTTGACGATTCCCCATGGTCGACGGGAGTGGACATTGCAGGTACGGTTTGAAATTGCGGGCTTGAACGGGCAGCACATACAATAGAGACGAGAGCTCCGGACGAGCAGCAGAAGCAATGGAAAGCTCTTGCGCAGAGATGGCCAAGCGCTGGGCAGGGAAGTAGGAAATAGAACGATAGGGCATTCAATATTTCAGACATTCGTGCGGGCTCGTATCGTTGTGGCGAAGTAGCTCCTCGGGGAGATGAAGATCAGATGGGCCAGGAGGTGGGCTTGCGCGGCCAGTGCCAAACACGTTCTTGCCTTATGTAAGGCGCTTGTCTGTCGCCACGGTGCGCAACTCTCTCCCGGCCAGCAACCCTTCTTGTTTGCCCACCTTTTTCCTTGTGCATCTTGGGTATTTCCAGTCCTGTGACGACTTGCCTCTTATCGACCTTCGTTCACTCATTGCTCACTCTTCAATCTCCTTTAACCGCTCGTTCGAAGCTTTCTTTCATTCCTGCGTCTCGCACCTTCCTAAGCCCCTGATCACCTATCACAGGAGGCATTACCCAAATTCACAACCAAACAAGCATCCACATCACCATCATGAAGGGCTTCGGTGTTGCTACAGCCATCGCGGCTGCGAGCATGCTCGTCTCCAAGGTCGCTGCTGACGTCGACCCCATTGTCATCAAGGGCTCCAAGTTCTTCTACAAGACCAACGGTACCCAATTCTTCATGCGCGGTGTCGCATACCAGGAGGACGTCCAGAACAGCACCGACTCTTCCTACACCGACCCTCTGGCCGATGCATCCGTCTGCTCGCGTGATATTCCCTACCTCACCGCTCTGCGCACCAACACCATCCGTGTTTACGCCATCGACCCTACCAAGAACCACGACGACTGCATGAACATGCTCGCAGATGCTGGCATCTACGTCGTGTCTGACCTTTCCGCCCCCGACGAGTCCATCAACCGCAACGACCCTGCCTGGAACGACGACTTGTACCAGCGCTACACTTCGGTTGTTGACGCTCTCGCTGGCTACTCCAACACCCTCGGTTTCTTCGCCGGTAACGAGGTCTCCAACTCCAAGAACACCACCGAGGCCAGCGCTTTCGTCAAGGCCGCCGTTCGTGACACCAAGAGATACATCCAGTCCAAGGGCTACAGAGCACTCGGTGTCGGTTACGCCACCTCTGACGACTCTGACATTCGTGTCAACATGGCCGACTACTTCGACTGCAGCTCCGACACCTCTCTCAACATTGACTTCTGGGGATACAACGTCTACTCTTGGTGTGATCCTTCGACCTACCAGACATCTGGCTATGCCGCCCGTACTGAGGAGTTCTCGACCTACAACGTTCCCGTCTTCTTGTGAGTTTCTCCCTCCCATCACTTGAAGGACCATCACTAACCTCTCCAGNNCGCTGAATACGGTTGCAACACCCACCGTCCTAGAACCTGGGGCGAAGTTAGCGCTCTGTACGGCGATAACATGACCGAGGTCTGGTCTGGTGGTATCGTCTACATGTACTTCGAAACCGAGAACGAGTATGGTCTCGTCTCCGTCACCAACAACAAGGTCAGCACCCTGGGCGACTACTCAAACCTGTCCAAGGCCATGGCAACCGTGTCTCCCACCGGTGTCAACAGCGCTTCGTACTCTCCTAGCAACACCGTTGCCTCTTGCCCCGCTCTCGGTACTGCCTGGGCCGCCGTCGCCAGCCCCCTTCCTCCTTCACCCAACCGTGAGCTGTGCCAGTGCATGTTCAACTCTCTGAGCTGCACTGTCAAGTCTTCGGTCAGCGAAGAGGCCTATGGTGATATGTTTGGCTATGTCTGCGGTGCTGACGCCAGTGCCTGCGCCGGTATTCAACACGTAAGTTGATCCAAACTCTCCTTCCCAAAGAACATCACTAACATTCCTTTANNGAACGCCACTAGCGGTACCTACGGTGCTTACAGCATGTGCAACTCCACGGAGCAGCTTGGTTTCGTCCTCGACCAGTACTACTCTGCCCAGCCTTCCGCTCAGCGTGCCAGCGCTTGCGGCTTCAGCGGGTCTGCCACCCTCAAGTCTGGAGCCAAGCCTACCGGAGCTTGCTCATCGCTCATGGCCCAAGCAGGAACGGCAGGTCTTGGTAAGGTTACAGCCTCTCCCACTACTGGTTCTGGTGCCGCTGCTACTGGCGGCTCTGGCTCTGGTTCTGGCAACTCAAAGTCTTCTGGCTCCAGCTCTGGCTCCAAGGGTGCAGGCGCTGCTCTTTCTGTTCAGTCCGTCCAAGTTGGTCCTTACACCCTTGGACTCTCTGCCTTTATTGCCGTCTTCTCCGGCGCTGCTGCCCTTCTTTTGTAAATGCTCAAAAGCGATTTCATCATGCATTGCTGGTCTGTGATTTCGATGGTTCAGAATAAAGGCTCCGCTGCAGCACCTCGGCGGACCTCTTGGATCGGCTTTTAATGCGCTCTTCATGTTTCTAGTATTAGGACGTACGCGTCTGTGTTCTATTTCATATTTCAGTCTGTCTTACATTGAGTAGACCGAAAAACATGGCTTCTCATTTCCTTATTGAAACGATGCGATCTTGCAGCCCTGTGTTACTTCTCGCTATGCACAAGTACGCCAAACATGTCAGTTACTAGGAGGTCTTGTCCACTCTTGCTGTTCGATGTATGAGTCGTGTCTAGTCCTTGTATGCCACACAATTGACCACTCATCTATGAGCCGATGCCTCTCAATCAAGCATGGTTTGTGGCATGTGAGTGACGCGATCTTCAAACCAGGGTCTAGTCACATTGCTAGGCAGGGAGGGATGGTTGCGCATTCCTCTCCATCTTGGCCCATCAAACTATAGGTATGTTTTTCATTCCTCGACCTTAGTCGGTCAATCGCGTGCACCATGTCTTCCGCGCGGATCGCTCTCCTCCTTTAACTCAGTCGTTCCTTTCAACTCGTGAGCTGGTTGAGATACCACATTCGTTTTTAGCCGATATACACTTCCATATCTCGCTGTCCGTCCTTCAGAGGCAGACACAAGGATGATACCTCGTCGATTTCTGTCGATTGCTTCTGCATTCTCCTTCTTCTCGCAGACATGTAGTGCTCAGACCATCACTCTCACAACTCATGTCAGTGCTTGTAGCGCAACCTATACATCTGGCACGTCCACCACAGTTATTCAGTCAACTGTGACTGTTCAACCTACGCCATGGACTGACGCTGCCGCTAATGGCGGTGCGCCATTTGTGGTTCGATTGCAGCAGGTTGATGTCTCTGGTTACCCAGACCAGGATAGCGCTCCATACTGGCTCACTGCTAATGGCAATACCACTACCAATTCGTCACTGGCAGCAGTTTACACCATCAACCAAGGCCGACTTGCCACTCTGAACGGCAGTCATGTCGCGACTAATTTCAACGTCGTTGATCAAGCATTCGGCGTTACTGACTACGACCTGCCTATTAATACCACCTTCTCCGTCAACAACAGAATGCTGAACTGGACCAACCCTCTGTTCACCAATGGCACAGCACAGTTCTACAAGCTACCTCCAGATTTGCTCGACAATGCTTTAATTCTTGCCAAGTTCCTTGGTCCCATGGAGGCACAGAGAAGCTGGAGTCCAGTTATACTCTACGTCGAACCCTTGGTAAACAATGGCTCTGGAGTAGTCTCGTCTTCGGCTTCCTCCAGCGCTNNTCGGGTGCCCCCTTTGAGTACTGTATCAGGCCTCTTGTCCAATGGTGGAAGCTCCCAAGCTGCTTCGGCCTCTGGCTCATCTGCAGCGGCCATCGGGTCCTCGATTGCATCAAAGTTGTCATCACAGCTGTCTTCCATAGCCTCCTCAGCCTCATCCGTCTCCTCGATCGGCTCGATGTCTTCCGCAATGGCCCCTGGCATGTCTTCAGGTGTTATGTCCGCTCCCTCTATGATGGGATCAATGGCATCATCATCCTCATCGATGGCCGTAGGAGTATCTTCTCTTCCTGTCGGAGGGCCTGGTTCCGCTACCAGTGGTGCCAACTCTGCTTCCCTCAGTAGTCCGGCTTCTACCAGCGGAATCGGCCCTGTCGTTATCCCAAGTTCGAGCACTGCCAGTTCTGCCTCACCTTCGAGCAGTACGCCCCCTCAGACGACATACTCATGCCCTGTCAACAACGGAGAGATGGTTCAATCCAACATNGGGGGCATGTATCAACTTGGTTGCAATGAGGCTCTGTCTGGTGGAGGTGCCACTCAACGTGCTGGATCCGCTACCAATTTCAACGGCTGTATGACACTCTGTGATCAAACTAATGGCTGTACAGCATGGACATTCGACGGTGCTGGCAGCTGTTACGTACAAACCGGTACCTCTTCTGCTGGCACCACGTTCCAGCCTGCTATTACACAAACACAAGGCACAGTATCTGGTATCAGAAATGTACCGGCTCGTCCTGGTAGCGTTGGAAGTGCTTCTTCAAGCGCTTCGATGGGTTCTACTGCAGTCTTGCCGTCATCTTCCAGTGCTCTGGCAGTCTCTTCTGGTAGCGGACCTGTTTCGTCTGCCTCTACGAGCCAATCGATTCCCTCTGCCTCCGTTAGCCAACCTGCTTCGTCTGCTGTTCAGCCTATTTCCTCTGCTGCTCAATCCGTCTCCTCGGCTTTGAGTGCAGGGTCATCGTCGGTTTCCATATCTTCCTCTCTCTCGTCCTTGTCCTCTTCCACTCCAGTTGCTCCTATCTTGTCTATAGGAATAGGGGAACAAGACTCATCTTCACGTGCTGCCTCGAGCAGCTCTCCTGGAGTAGCATCAAGTGCCTCTGCCCCGATCACCTCTTCTGTTGGATCTTCTGCTGGAGCCTCCTCCTCTTCTTCTCAACCAGCTTCGATTGCCACATCAGCTAGCTCGATTTCCTCTGCACCATCCGCTATCATATCGCAGACCAGTTACTCCTGTCCATCAGTGGATAACCAGACAGTCGTCGATTCTACCGGTGCCACTTATCAGATCAGGTGCAGTTCAGACACGACGCTGGGCGGGACCAATTCTGGCTCTACACCAGATTTCAATGGCTGTATGACAAAGTGCGACAACACTGCCGGTTGTGGCGGCTTTGTTTACGTTGGTGCTACGAACGGAAACTGCTATCTCAAGTCGCCTGGCACTGGAGGGCTTCATTTCGTGGCAAGTACTTCGGACCATACTGCTGGTATCAGGAATGGTGTGGCTGGCAGTCCCTCATCTACCGTCTCCACGACTGTTAGTGCGGGTCCNCCGGGCGCTACAGTATCGCAGGCTAGCTATTCCTGCCCGGCAAACAACAACGAAACAGTCGTTGATCCCAACGGCGCCAGCTACCTCATCATGTGTGGCTCAGACACCACACTTGGCGGTACATTGTCTGGTTCTGCGAACGATTTCAATGGTTGTATGCTGCAATGCGACGCTGCTCCTGGCTGTGGTGGTTTCACCTATATCGGAAGTCTTCGAAATTGTTATCTCAAGGATCCTGGCTCCGGAGGTCTTGCGTTCGCTTCAGGTCCTGCAGATTATGTGGGTGGTATCAGATACGGGATAGCTAGTCCTTCTGGCTATACATCTACCAGTAGTGCGGCCGCAGCTACGAGTCCTGCTGCTGCTGCCTCGAGTGGAACTGGTTCTAGCTCTGGCTCGGGTCCAGGCTCAGGAACTGGTTCTGGAGCGGGAGCTGGAAGTAGTAGTGCCGCTGCTGCTTCATCTTCGCCTGCATGTTCTGCCCCTCCTCTTCCCTCTGGTAGCGGCAGCCCTACAGTTGTCAACCCTGATGGCTCAACATCGACTTACAACGGTCTGCTTGCCAGTCCAACACGCTGTGACTTTGGTGACCCGATTGACACTGAAGAAGACGATTCGTACTGTGAAATTGACCTTCCCTTCGCCATGAAGATCTATGGAGGCTCGTCGAACGTGACTTGGGCCACCACTAATGGCGTAAGTAGTTTCCTGATATACTTTGTTTACAAATTTACTGACCATACAAATCTANNGCTTCTGACTTTGATTCAGAGCACCGCTAGCTACGACAATGGACCTGGCCTCCCTAACCCTTACATTCCCTTGTACGCCGCAGCACCCTTCTTTGATGACCTGATCAAGAACGGAGACAATCTCGACATGGGTATCTTCTACAACGTCTCGGCCACCGCTGTGATGTACGAGTACCGTCTCGCTCGTGGCGGCACCTACGAGACTTATCATTTCACCGTTGCCTACGACAGCACCAACCCTGGCGTCTTTGTCTACAGATACTATGAAGTTGGTCAAGATCAAGGTTCCGCCAGCGCGAACATCGGTATCCAAGGATCTAACGACGGTAGCACGCAAATTGCCGTCAACTTCTCTAACCAAAAGGCTGGTGCTGTTGTGGTGGGCTCGACCTTGACTTGCAACACTGCCGCTTCCNNCCCTGCTAGTTGCGTGCTCTCCTGTTAGACCAAGGGTTCTAACCAAAAATGACAATGTTGGAAATGGAAACTTTGGTGGATAGGTCTTGCATGGGTGAAGCAGTGATGAATTGGGCGGCATAGCCAAGGATGTGTGTGTTTCTCTTCCAAATCTTCTTGTTCTTTTGCTTCTTTTTCCTTTCTTCTGCGAATCCATTGTCGCTCCGCTGCCATAAGTATTAGTCATGTATCTCATCAAATTGGAATGAAATGATCGTTTACGATTGCATTGTGTATTGTTGATTTTGTTGTGACTTGTGGAATGTCAACAAATCCTTCGGCGTTGGATCCTTGGTGATCGGCACTTGACAGGGTCGTACCTGAAGCGTAAATTTTTGCAACTTTAATGGCTTCGACACGAGATCATGGGCCACGCCTGATGTTTCATGACCTCTTATCCATATGTATAGAAGGAACATAGTATTGGGATACCACTTTAGTAGCTGTATGATGTTTGGATGTCGCAGTGTGGACTTAATCGAAATCTACGATTCTGAGCATTGGTTCTCCAGAAAAGGAACTATGAGCAATATTAAATCATATTGATCTTTGACAGAAAAGTCACGGCACCATCAACATTCGAATGCAGTATATCTATAGCAGATCGATCACGGACCCATATGTCAGGAAGTTCAATGTCTCTCAAGACTTAGTGAATATACAAGTAGAGGTACATTTGGCCGTGATATGGTGCGAAAAGCCTAGGAGCAGGGTGATACTCTACAACCAAAAAACCCTGGCGGCAAAGAATGCTGAGAATCAACCGGAGCTCGGGCAAAAACACTCCGCAACATCACCCAGCCACTTCGTCTCTCCTCCCAACACTCTCTTCTTCACACATCTCTCGGCGGGAGGCTCTACTTCGAGCAAAACACATACTGAGGCGCAGTGGAACAGATCGCAGAACTCTATCGAACATGGGCAAGAATAGCACGTCCTTCTGCCGCCTCTCATTTGTCGATCGAGTCACGTCGGCCAATATTCCGAACAAGCCTCCACCACATTTAAACAACTCCCCTGATTCATATACAAAAAGCCATATCCTCGGTCTCGATCAACCACCAAGCCCTAGCAATCATTTCCTACCAGAGTTTTTGGAGAGAAATCAGTGCATCCGGCTTCATTCGGATGCTCGAGTAAGCATCTAAGACAATCAATAGCGCTTGGAGTCAAGCCACACAACGGTCTCGTCGTCGCTCGTCCTTTTGGGAAACGGTTTGATCACATCTCTATTCCTGATTGCGCTTGACAGTGCGAGATAAGGGAGGGCCTGGTATGCTTGGTATGAGTCTGTACAATAGCGTCGATGTGTGGACTTGGTTGGTTTGACAAATGTCGAGAGTATGTTTGAGCCTCAGGATCCTGTCAAACCCTTGTGTCTCTCACCAAGGGTCTTGCTACTGATGCTGCATCGCAACCGGTGTAGATTGTTGTAGGTAATTATCTGCTGAGCGGTGTTGTCGTTGAGCTGTATACTTATGACGAACGACTCTGACGACACCCGGGAAACCACAGCGAAAACCTACACAGAAAAATAACAATACCAGGCACTCTATGAACCAAGACGGCAAGCGTTCTAGAAGAAATTTTGACAGCCACTCCAGTCGATCTTTCGGCCGTTAACAGAACTCAAACGTTGAAGATGTGAGACCCGATCCATCTACCACCAGGGCCGAGATCTTCGAAAGGTCTTGTATACCAAAAGCCTTCTGCGATGGTTCCAGTATATATGTTTCGTTCACGTCCCTTTTCTTTTGTTTATCATCAAGCAATCTCACACTCATTCGCTATACCAATACACTCTCTTCCAAGCTCAGGCTTCAGTCACTCTCTATAACCAATCACTACTACACTCTTCTCGACTAGTACCTACACAGTCTACACTCATTCCAACATATACACAATGCGTTTCGAACTTCTCGCTCTTCCGGTACTGGCTGCCATTGCAGAGGCCGCTGCCATCTCCAGCAAGCCCAGCAGTGTTTGCACAACCTGCCCAGTCACCATCCAAAACACAGATTCCGCCATTGCATCAATTCTCTCTCAAATGGCTGCTCAAAGCCCCAAAGCCGTCTTGACCACCACATCCATCACCGGATCTCCTGTCGCTGCCACCGCAGTCGCCAAAATGAGCACTACAGCTCCTACCTCTGCAAAGCCCACTGCCGCTTCAACGACCTCCAAGGCTAGCACTAGCTCCAGCACAAGCAGCAAGAAGCGTCAACGCCGTGCAGCAACCACCACTACTTCATCTTCTTCCGTTGCCGCTTCCACCACAAACGGCGCCGCATGCTCACCCATGCCAAACTTTGGCTACACATACACACCCGCCAACGCCGCGCCCTCGGCCTTCCTCAAAGACTCCACTCTACGCTCTCAATACATGTCCGCCACCGTACCTTCCAACTACGTCTGGCGCTTTGCAGGCTTCTACGCTTCCGTCTCCCAAGCCGGCTACATGTTTTATACCGAATTGTCTTCTTACTCGCCCACCCAGTGTGCAGCCATCTGCGATGCCGATGCTGCATGCAAGGGTTTCAACATTTACTTTGAACGCGTGCCGAAGTTGACGCCTGGAGATGGTTGCGCGAATCCTGCTCCTCAGGTGGATGTCAAGTGTGCNTTTTACTCGACCGCCGTGTCCGAGGCTAATGCTGTTAATGTGGGTAGCTGGAGGAGTTCGTTCAATGTGGTTATCACCGGTGCCAATGGATATACCAAGATGTAAAAAGGAGGGCAAGAGTGGTGAGCGGCTCTGCAATTTTTGTTTTTTCTGCCCGTCTTAGATATCCCAATGATGATAGTGTTTAGTGTCTTCTTCTTTTAAAAATCGACACGATGATGAGTTTCTCCAAACTTTGTTTCCCTCAATGTGCGTACGAAAAGTATGGGTCTATTAGGATTGCCATTCTGATCGTGTTCTTGCAACTGTTGTGCCGAGCAGCAAGAACGACTTCGCACCTCTCCTGCAGTCGCACCTTCCCACCTCTCATCTTCAATGACCGTGCAAGTCAAAAGACCTTTTCAGTATATCAACCCCATGATATGCTCACAAGACTTGGCTAACTTGCATCTCTAAACACATTTGCTTAAACCCATCTGACCATTTGAATCTGTAAACCCATGGTCACAGCATCAAATCATCCAACCCCCATAGTCCGTAAGTTTTTCCTTCTTTCAGATTGGCTTCTAGGGTGTCACAGGCTCTGGTCTGATGGGAAAGGTGTAGATGCAGAATGCGTAGGGAAGCAGATCTTCTCGTGTTCGTTTGGTCATGCCTTGCATACCCAATACGTAAAGGTCGCGATCTCTTCCGTCCAAAGTCTGTGGGAGTTGAGATTTTTTCGGTTGTAGCAAAAAAGACCAGAGTTACAAAGATAGATGACAGATGTATTGTCTTTTTGCTTTCTTTTGCAGTGTCAAGGATGTGTGAGAGATGTAAGTGTTGAGCAACAAGGGTAAAGTAGCGTAGGTGCAAGAGAAGGGCGAAAACAAGTGCAGAGTCATGACTTGCCTCATTCGAGGCGTCGCTTGACTCCAAGCCTACATGTGGAATGCCTGTGCAATGCGATAGGCGTTCGAATCTGGCAAAGTTGCGGCTTTCCCTTACCGGAAAGACGACCAAAGAACATGACCACGCTTTGGGAAAAACGTATATGAAAAACAAAAAAACTAACTTCTACAAATGCTTGTTTTTCTAAATACTATACTTTTGAACCTCGAGGTTCATGCTTTGGGGAGACACGAAATGCTCAAGCATAATATCTGGGTTCATCAAAGACGTGGTATCTGTGACCTCTGACGCCCTCACCTCTGAACATGGCAGGGAAGCGCAGACCCTCAGGGACCTGGTCTTCAGAGATCTGCTCATTACCACCTTCAGGCTGACCAACGACGAACTTGCCGANCCTACAGAATTATGTTAGCATGAGTGTAAAAGAAGATAAGCGAATCGATGGGAGAAATCTTACCTGCAGTTCGGTATCAGTGATGGTGCCTCTGGAAACTCTGGCATATCCTGATCTTCTCAAGCCCTTGTACAAAATGTACTCGCACCATCTGTCCCAATCGTCGCTGGGGTCAATGTCTCTCATGCCACTACGCTCGGAAACGTAGGTGTTGTAATTACCATGACCAGTCTTGGTGACGAGGTAGGAGAGCAAGATAGAAGGACGAGGTGTGGAGCCCATCAGATCGGCCAAGTACTCGGATTGCAAACGTCTGTCTTCAGGATCTTCTTCTTGACCCGAGTGGAAGACAAAGACATCAATCATCTCGCCATAGGCGTCCAGAGTAGCGTGGATGGCAGGAGCGAGTTCCCCGACAGGCGAAGGAAGCAAGTGGTGAGTAGAGTTCACGATCGGGAACTTGGAGAGCAGAGCGCAACCCCAGGTGTGCTTGTTGGGACCCGGGCCGTAGTCGACGTACATGCCGAGCTCTTCGGCGAGGTATTGAGTCGAGTCACGGTTACCCATAATGATACGCTGAGTGTCTGACTCGAGCAAACCCAATACGTCGAGCTCCATTTCCTTGACAAGAGCACCGATACGACGCTCTGATGTCCACATAGGGTTGTCAAGACCGAAGTGGGTTGTCCAGATACCTGCTGTGACACTCTTCTCTGGTGCGTGATAGGGAGTGTAGTCGTATGTAGGGAAGCGGAGGTACGAGATGGAGGCACCGAGAAGTTGAAGACCAATCAAGATGTAAATGTAGTGAGAACGTTGCTTGCGAGCGTAGGGGTTGGCAGGAGCAGACTTGGAGCGCTTGGTCTCGGAAGCAGTAGCAGAGAAGATACCACAACCGATGAAGAGCATCATGGCAGTCATGACCCAGTCGGTGTGCTCACGCATAAGGGGGCCACCAGGCACAAAGGCGTACGCGACAACCCAGACATGAGCAAGGACCAAAATGTTGTAGAACATGAAGCCGAGGAAGAAGGTACGACCAGGTGGGTAGCGAGCAGCATTGCCGATCAAGACAGGAGCAGTAGCCATCAGGTAGGTGGCAAGCGCGAGACCACCATAGAAGCCCGACCAGTGTGAGAAGGCGGTGAGGAAAGCAGCACCAAGAGCGCCGACACCGTAAAAGGTCCAGCTGCGAGCAAAGACAGGGTAGTAGAGTCCGATGAGCAGACCAAGACCCATGGCGAGGAAAGTGTAGTTACCATGGGGCACAGCGATGGGACCACGAATGGGGAAACCTTCCCAGACCCACGAGATCATGGTACTCGAGTCGGAAAGGAGAGAGTGCATTCCAAACATGAGACCAGCAAAACCAAGAGCAGCAGGGAAGCAAGAGCCGGTCACAGCCTTGTAGCCAGGCACGTCAGCACGAGGGTCAAGCGGCTTACGAGTGACTCTTATGATGGCAATAACGGCAAGGACGAGACCAGTGTAGTTCCAGCCGCCGTTCTCTGCGTGGACAGCAGGCCAGATCGGGTTGTTGGTTTGACAAGCATACTTTGCGACACTTGAGGTCAGCAGACCAAGGGAGAAGGCCGAGATGCGAGCTTCGAGTCTAGCAGGCTGAGCACGCTCCGACCACCAAGTAGCAGACCATGCCAGAGCTGACATGAAGATGGAAAAGCCAACAGCAAACAAGCGGTACTCGGGCTTGGGGATCAGGAATGCGACGAGACCAGATAGCGAGAGGAAGTGAACAAGACGAATGTTGTGGACAACAGTTCTGCGGATAGAAGATATGCCGAGCAGGAAGGGAGAAATGGGGGCCATGACAAAGGCTTCGTAGCCAGAGATACCCATGTGCCAGAGAGGGAAGTACCAGATCAACAAGCCCAAGCCGGTCAGGACAGACCAGAAGGTGAAGCCAAGGTAGACATCAGCGACGGCGTCGAGCATGTCGCTCTTGGAGTAGGGAGTGGCAAACATGTGGCCGACGGGCTTGTCCTTTTCAGTCTCGGCAAGCTTGTCGGCGACTCTCTGGTTGCTGCTGCTCGAGGGACTGGTTAGCTTGTTGGTCACGGGCAAGCATTGTGGTCTTCGCATACCACTATTTGGGAAGCCAGTTGACATACCCTTNNTGCTGGTTCCCTTGGTGTCCTTGACGACCAGCTCGAGGCTGCTGAAGTCGAGAGCGGTGACAGCGTCAAAGGCGACATCCAAGAGGACGAGAGCCCACTCGAAGAAGGCGTAGATGGTGTATGCGCCGGGCACCTTGTGGACCTTGTGCTGGATGAAGAAGTAGACCAGGGGCACAAGGGTGGCGAAGAAGGCGCCGCCGAAGACTTTGCGGTAGTAGATGGCCTTGGGGTTGTTGGGGCTCAGGGCGATGCAGCCAAGCGTCCAGGGCAGAGTAGCGACCAGGTACGAGATCATGAAAATGTCGTGCCAATCATGGTCGTCGGTGGACGTGACGTAGGTCCAGCCTCCGCAGGTAAAAGTTCTGAAGATGCCGACACCCAGGATGAACTTGGGAAGGGTTTGGTTGGGTCTTGCTGTCAGGATGTACCACAAGGCGACGAGCAGGAAACGAGGACCTGGATATTGTGAACACAAGGCTCTTTCTGCCAATCCATCGCTCTACTGACCAGACGTGACTGCGATGAAGAGTTGGAAGACGGAGCGTTCGGGGTAGCGGTCGCCAATCGTGGCAGAGACTGAGGGAAACCATTCGATAGGGTAGCCCTGCATAGCTGTCAGATTGGCTATGCGGGTGACTTGTTCTCAAGACGTACGAANATGCTCATTCTGCACAATCTTCTCGTAGTGGAGAGNCACTGCGCCTGTCAGTATATCTGTTCGAGTACATAATATACAGACTACTCACATTCCAACTACCAGAGCTCCCAGAAAGGCAGCATAGGCCACTATGGTATGCAACCACGAAATGTATTGTCCAGGAATNNCTGCACAGAGTCAGCAGACGCCAATGGTGTTGTGGTCATCACATCGTCTTACCACTGCGACAACGTCGCCATCCTTGTGTTTCGGAGCCATGTCTCCAGCGACTGTTCCTGTCGTTTATGACTTTCAATCTTCAAGAGCTCCATCCCCTGAGCCCTCGAGCCGGACGCGCCGGCACTGGCAGAATCCCTCTTGGCAGGGCGGTGAACTGCAAAAGCTACGAAACCTCGGCTCAAACTTTCTCTCTTTTCTTCCAACAGCGCTCACCTCTCGCAAACATGTCGTGACCTTGCCCAGCACACCTGCAAATCTCTTGCAGGAAGCTGTAGACCAAGCCGCTTCATAGTTGACGCTGACCTATCACGACCCTCAGATCATAAGACAGCTTTTCGGTATGCATACTCTATCTTCTTTCTTTCACCTCCACCACAGATTTCTATGATGAAACCCATACCACATTCGCAGTTTTCACGCTAGCCGTCGCCTAGAACCTATCTTAGACGGTCGTTGAGCGCAACATCTTCCTTGGATGTCTGATTGAAATTCTACCTATACACGCTGCAGCTTTACATACCGCGCCTCTGCGAACACTTGCTGACATGTCATGTATTATAGGTCTCTTGCTGATGTATCAATGTACTTTGTGACAGATTCCCGTCTGCCATGTTATACATGATGAGATATGACTCGGTTGATATACATGATAATGATACAACGATACTTGTTGTTTAAGACTTCTCACCACCTCTTCGTGCACTCTTCTCGTCGCTGTGCTTCTTCTTCATCTTAAGTCTGCCCTCGTTTTCTGCTTTTTNGTCTGCAACCACCTGTAAGCAGAAGCTAGCGTTAGTCACATAAAACATATACACCTATAATTCCTTGACGCGCTCCATCTGCTTAGCACTAGTCTCGCCAGGCACTACCTTACGGCCCCGCCTNNATACAATCATCTTATGTAGCTTGATGCTGCGTAGTACGGTTTCGGCATCGAAGTTTGCCAACTAGCGCCTCGCCGCGTCTAGCTCGTCGTCGTCGCCGCCGCCGCTGCCGCCATTCTCACCGCCGTCTGTTGGCGTTTTCGGCTTCTGAGCCAATAGACGCGTCGACGTGCAGAACGATGCCGGGTTCCGCGTGACGAGAATTCTCGAACGTGGGCGCAAAATGGCGAAGGACCGGGAAACTATCATGGCGCGGAAAAGTCTGGTCATTTATGGAAAAGGGGGTTGGTGAGATAGTTGAGTCGAATCTTGTTAGTGGGGTTATTGACTAAGCTCCCTCTCTGTCGCGCAAGATTTTTATCAAGTCTTTCTGATGCGTTGTTCGAAAGTAGTGACGAACGAGGAACGAGGAACTGCCTCCAGGGATGCTTTCGGTCGCACTTGCTTGTTCGAGATTAGGTCGGGAAATACAGGGATGGGTTTATGCTTGCGGATGCAGGTTCTCAACGCCAATATTGATGCGTACCTACCTTTGCGGCTCAATCTTGCCCTGACTTCTAGAAAGATGGAAATGTGGAAGCCACAGCTCCTGCCCTTGGCCAAAGCATGATGAGAAGCCAGATACGTGGGCTGCTAAGCTGCGCTAAGATGTCTGGGACAGGTATCTCAAATTTCATCACGTCTTACAGAAAAAACAACAAAGAGATGCATACGGTGAGCAGTGGTCGTCGTGTTTAGCATATTAGGCTCGAGCAGTCCACGATCTCAACATGTTTTCGATGATCTGGTGACGTTCAAATGGCTCGTGCTCATGCATACAATTCCGCGTCGTGGAGGGGGAGGACTTTGAGTCTTTCCCTCACGTTCGCGCTCTGTTCTTGCCGGTGCAAAACATTCGTTTACCGGCGCATTTTGTGAACAGCTCATCAACAGCTCCTAACTAGACGCAATAGCACGTTCTTTATCTTCTCCGTGCACGGCGACTGGTTTGCGGGGAAAGCACAAGCTAGCGGCTACTGCAGCTGAAGTGAATTTCACGCCTCGACTTTCACGTTTTCTTTCTGTTGGTCATACAGCCATCATCTCGACGTCCCTCCTCATCGTCGCCTTGTTCTTCTCATCCTTTCCCATCACTTCTATTCCGCTCCTGCCACTTGCCGACGCTGTTATCCGGTCCTAGCATGGTTGGCGCATAGCGCACTTCGCCTACATGACATCTGAAGAAGCACCCGAGTATACGAGCGAGCTCAACATCCTGAGCCCAGTGTCTCCCAAGCCTGTCCACTACCCAGTGCCCTCTAACATTCCCGTCCTTGAGAACCAAATCGACCCCGTCTTTAATCAGACCGGGACACACATGGTTGAAGCCCTTCCTCAACAGCTCCCGCCTCCCATGTATCTCGACCAGCAAGCTGGCGCGTACACCCAAAACCCCTATCAGCAGCAGCAGCAGCAGCAGCAACAACAGCAACAGGCACACGCTCAACATGAACAATCCCATTCTAACCATCCTGAAGCCTACATGACTCAACAGGCAGGTCAAGTAGGACCGGGTCCAAGCCAACATCCTTCTCAGGCGCAGCATCAGGGCCATCAAGCTTATCATCAGGCACAAGAGCAAGCATCGATTGGGATGAATAGTCAGACCAATCAAGTTCCTCCTGTCGTTCATTATGACGAGAAGTACTCCTACCAGCCTGCTGCCTCTGGCGCCGTGGCCTCGCATGACGCCTCCGCCTCTGCCTCTGCCAGTGCATCTGTTCCATCTGACCTCCCTTATCCTTCTACTGCTGCCCATCATCTCCCTGCCTTGCCAAACCAGTCCAACAACGAAGCCTCATTCCAGAGCAATTCCTTCCAGCCTCAGGGCCAAGCCAACTCGTCGTCTGCCAACATCGGCGCTTCCGAGCACCCTCCAGGTGTCGAAGCCAATAGTCTGCAGAGTCTGCTCAACAACTTGTCACATCCCAGCCATAGTCAGGCCCACTCCACTTCTCCCTCTTCCCAGGCTGCGCAAACCCCTTCCAGTGCTGCGAACCAAGCACACGCTCCTCAACATGAGCAAGCATACTCGACCTATACAACCACCTCTCAAGCTCAGCAACCGCAGCAGCAGCAACAGTCAAACGGAGCGCATACCAACAGCAATGTAAGAGTAGGAGCCAATGGTTTGCCACCTCCGCCTGTGGCCTCGTTCCAGCAAGGCATCAAGCTCGAGAGCCAGCGCGAGAGAAAGCAAGCAGCAGGAGAAGTTTTGGACGAGGACGACCAGCCATGGACACCCGAAACACAGCACCGCTACGACAACTTCCTAACCGAGGAGAGAAAGTATGTGACCGAGGGCAATTGGGAACAGTTTCCTTATGGATCGAGGCTGTTTGTGGGTAACCTTTCCAGCGAGCGCGTGACAAAGCGCGACATCTTCCATGTCTTCCACAAGTATGGCGATCTGGCTCAAATCTCCATCAAGCAGGCATATGGCTTTGTGCAATTTCTGGAATCTGCCGGCTGCTCCAAAGCGATCAGCGCCGAGCAAGGANNAAAGACGATCCGCGGCAAGAAGATTCGTGAGTTTGAGCCTGGCAAACATGAGCAGCAAGTACTGACAATTTACAGANNCCTCGAGGTCAGCAAGCCCCAAAAGAACCGCAATCCCGATCCTCGCGCCCCTCGTCGTTCGCGTTCGCCCGACACTGGCCGAGCTGGCAGTTCATCGGTGATCCCGGATCGCTACTTGCCAGGCGACAGAAGAGCAGAAAGAGACAGAGATAGGGACAGGAACAGAGACAGAAGGTCCCGCGAGTACCGTCCTGGAAGATCTCCTTCGCCGCGCTCTCCCCGGTCTCCCAGATCGTACCGCGGTCGCGATCGAAGCAGGGATAGATACGACGCTCGGTACAGGAGCAGATCAAGAACACCGCCCTATGGCAGTCGTGGAGGTCGCTTCCGCAGCCCTAGTCCTCCAAGACTCTCAAGGCGCAACAGCGACGACGATCTGCCACTGCCGCGAAGGGCTCCACGCGATGTACCAGACGTGCAGATCATCGTTCTCGACGACCTCGATCGCAACTTTATAGCTTGGCTGGAACACTCTTTCACCCTTCAAGGCATCCGTGTCGACGTGCTGCTTCTGTCCCCTCGTCTGTCCGAAGCTGCAGTCGTCCGTCGTCAAATCCTTGAAGGTGTTCTCGCTGTCTCGCGCATCACTCGCATCAACCAACAAACGGCCAAGATTCCCTTGCAGATCTTCGACCGTCGCGCTGGTATTGAGAATGTTCGTTTCGATGAGTATGACAATCTCGATCCGACCATTGCTGCTCAACTAGTCTTGCGCGCAAAGGCTGCTCCTGCCTATGCTCCACCACAGCCTGTACCTGCTCCTGTGCAGTATGGCTATGGAGCTGGTGTTACTTCTGCCCCCAACCTATCCAACCTAATTACCTCTCTTGATCCCACTGGTTTGCAAAAGCTTCTTGGTGTCATGCAACCACCTGGCATTCCAACTGGCCCGCACCCTGGCCTTCCTACCACAGCCTTGACACCAGACCTGGCCAAACTCCTAGGCAATGCCGCTGCGGTACGCCCACCACCGCCTCCGTTGCCTTCACCAGGCATCCCAACACCTGGCCTGCAATCTCCACCTTCCTACGCTCAAATGCCTCACCCTCACCAAGATCCACTCGCCGCTCTGAGGAACAATCCTGCATTGGCCAATCTTTTAGCCGCCCAACAGCAGCAACAATCACCTCAGAACATTGCTATTCCTCATCTGGGTGTGCAAACACCTGATCTACGCTCGCCCATTCAACCTCAACGACACAATGCTTTACCTAGTCCCGGACAGCCTGACATGGCAGATATTCTCGCCAAGCTAGGTTCTTATAGGCGATAGTTTCAGCCTTGGGCATTTCAAGACCACTAACGGCCCTTTGCATCACTTTCACTTTTCTTTTGTTTGTGCTTCTCGTTTCCGAGGCGATATAGCGAGAATTATTGTTTTTTTTTTTGACTGTTTGAGTCTTCGGCCCCGTGAGGCTATGGGAGGCAAGGAAAGTCTGCATCATCCGAATCTGTCTCATTTGGCTCATGGGGGTCTTTTTGGTCTTTTCCGAGGTTGCATTTCTGGGTCTCTCTTCTTTCTATTTTACAGCATGGCGTACGGGTTCTTTTTTATGGGCAGGCGCTTTGTTTTTCTTCAGGGGAGGTGCTCAAGGTGTTTTTTGGGGACGGGGTTCTGCTTGCAGCTCTGCTTCCTTCAGATCGAAGAGCAAAGGCACGAAAGATCTTGATAGGTATAGATATGACAATACAAGAGAGTGTGGATTGTGTTTCTGTATTGAAAGTCGGTGTTGTACGCAATTTGAAACAGTGAAGTTCACTCGTCCAATCCGTCAAGGTGCGGTATCAAGACAGCCCTTTCGACCCAAAAACAGCCGCCTACAATCTTGTCACCAAACCAGTCTTGACAAGATCTTTAGACAAGCTGTGGACACGACAAGCGGTTAGTCTATCCATAGAGCTTCATCATCATCAACATAGGCGTAAGAATGCTATTATAAATCGTCGTGTTGACGACTTGTAAGCCTCTCCTCCTTCTTTTCTTCCTCTGAAGTAATTTGCTATACTGTTCCGACTCTGTTTCTACCTCATTCCAAATCTTTCCACCATCATTCACTCTCCTTGCCTCCTAAACTCCAACACCCTTTCACATAAAACAACACTAAAGATTCCATAACGACTTGATATCTTCGTCATGTCCGTTTATTTTATTCTCTCGAAGTGGGGACGGAGAGGAATTTTAGGGAAAATCTCCAACCGCAAGTTTGGGATCCAGGAATGGCGTGTTGACGAAGTAATTTTCCTCGAGGTTGCCGATGTAGGTGCGGTCGTCTACACACATGCCTCCGCCCGAGGGACCAATGTGTGGGCAATGTACGTCTGGACGTAGGGGAACCATGTTTTGGTGGANTCTGTGATTTGCTTTCCTGTCAGGCATTGCACAATACACACACTAGGGTAAAGAGAAAACACTAACCATTCTACAGCTCACGGTATTCATCCCCCACTCCCAACCTTCTCCAAATCTTGTTTCGTTGAAGAGATGGTTTTCACATGCTGACTGGGAGTCATATTGCAGATTTGTGCCATTGCAAAAGGTAGTCGCTGTTTCGCAGATGCTTTGGGCGAGTTTGGAGTGCAGGATTGGAGTCAGGTCTGCCGCGGAGGACAGATTCAATAAAGTCGCAATAGTGGAAATTGTACTCGTGAGTTGCCATTGCAGGTAGCGGAAATNTGCTGGAAAAAAAGCTGTTAGTATGACAAGAGCGCAAAACAGCAAAGGGAAAAGAAGAAGAAGACAAAAGAGAGGCATTTACCCATCATATTGCGAAATCTCCCCTTTGTCATTATACGTGACCCAGAAATCCAATTCTTGGGGTATGGTCGTTTTGGTGACTGGCAACATGTACTCCACCACAGCTGCAAAACTGACCACATTGCCACTGCCCAGAAACCGTGTGAACGTATAGTTTACTGGATAGCCCAGCAGAGTAAAAGCATCAGGATTTAGAGCAATGTTGGCGAATAGGCCAAAGAGGTATTCAGTGTTGAGTTCGCGGCCTGCGTAGTCGCGGGTGGCGTCTACACGACCTAAGATGTCTTCACTGAGCAGAGAAGAGTTTATGGACAGGGATTGGGCGATGTTGAGGGGGTACATGTGGTTTTGGAGGAAGCGGTTTGTGAGGTTGTAGAGTTGGTCGAAAGTGTAGTTGGGGGTTTGGTGGGAGGAAGTGTTGGAGTAATTTGGTGATATAGAAACTGTGAGGATGGGGGTTGAGAGAGATGCTAGGGCAAGGAGGTGTTTGAACATCATATTGGCGGTGTTTGGAGGGTTGTCTGAGAAGATCTGAATGTTACAGCGAGGAAGGAGGAAGGAAATGCTAACAATGATATAAAGAGGTAATGAGAGAAATCCAGACTCGAAGGATCAAATGCTGAAACAACTAGCACACCTCTTCCACGAGGATGCTTGCTGCAGCAGTTCAATAGTGTAATAACTCATATATTTGACTGCTTTGTCAATACCCACCACCAACAACAACAACGTACCTGCAGTTCAAACCCGAGGAATGCTCATCATGCACGATACTAGAAGAAGGACCAATGGAAAACCCTCGTGACTCTACGAGACTGACCACGTCCGCCTTGATTATGAATCTAGATTTGTCAACGTATTCTCGGGACATTATAAAGCTCTGCCTATTGCATACAGTGTATATGCCTCGATGGTTTAATACGCATGGAAGGATTCAAGACATATTGCACTCTGGGCGGTTAAGCAAAGCCATGCATGAATACCCAGGCACCCTCATTGTTAAATGGCTTACGCACGCGTGCCTCTCCGGCTCTGGAATCCTTCTCGCTTGAGTATAGTATTCCTGGTTTGCAACAGAAAGTGATCCTGCCTCGGATGTTGAGTAGATGGAAGCTCCGAGTGCTCTAGACACTGACAGAACATGTAGGGGAGCTTCTCCATATGAATACGGCTTGATGTGCTGTCGGCTGCGAGGTACTCTGATTGGTCGGCTCGGATGTCGTTCTTGGTGGGTTGATGGAGATTCGTACCATGTTCGGTCCCGCAGGCTTTTGAATGAGAGAAATGAAGAATCGGATTTGAGAGAGAGAGCGCATAGAGCACTAAAGTTTCTTTGAAGCAGCATGTCGTGATAGCTGTGCTTGCCCCGTCACATGTAGTATATATTTGACAATAACCACTTTCCTTCCAATAAACCAGCCCTGCTGGCGCAATGGTAGCGCGCAAGACTTCTAATCATCTGCTTGATGGACTGAGATCTTGAGGCTGTGGGTTCGAGCCCCACGTGGGGCTTTTTCCTTTGCCGTTTTTGGACATTCGAGATGTTTTATTCGGTCTGGAACATGTGTATATAAGGTCAGAATCGTGGTTCGTGGTGTGGTTGTGATTTTGTCGAATTTTGGTGCTTTGGTGGGAGAATTCTCAGGGTCCAGTGCGAAATCTTGGCGTGCCAAGATTTCGCACTGGACCCTGACTACGGTATATCATTGTTTTGGAATTGATCAGATGAGAACTGTTGAAGCAATGGTAGAAAAAGTGTTTTGGAAGCGGTGCAAACCAGACACTTCTCAGCAACAATCACAGACTAGTGCGGCCGCGGAAGAACGAAGATCGATCCAAATAACAGAAGAGGGACCACTGACAGATGAAAGCCGACGGGGAAGAAAGCTCTGTATACATCTGGATAGAAGGAACGATCTGGCTAGTCGGTCGCTCCTTCCACTTCTTCCTGGCTCTCATTCACTTTGTCGTTCCTTTCCCCTTCGTGAGTCCTTCCTGTTCTCCTTTTTCATGCTGAACTAGTATCTACTCTCAAACCCCGCTCGACATAGTCTATCAACCATCATACCTCTGATCTATCCGTTCTCGATAACAGCCTCCATCTGTGTGTTTGTTGTACATGTGAGTGACAGGCAACATTTCTTGGCATAAGCCGCTTTAGCTCATCTGGGAGAGCGCCAGACTGAAGTCCACTTCTGTCCTTCTTGTTCTTACGAGAGCAAGAGTATTCTGGAGGCACTGTGTTCGATCCACAGAAGCGGCACTTGATTGTTTTTGCTGGACGATATAATCTTGCCAGTATCATATACCATCTCCTTCTTGCTAGTTAAGAACTTGTTAAAGAACACAAGATATAGAGTATGCTTTTGCCCGTTGTGGTATGGAGAGGACTTTTGTATGTTGAAGCCTGGCTTTCTTTTCTTGTCTCTTTCCATCGTGCTGGAGTGGCAGGCAGCGTTATTTCTGTTTGCTCTTTGTAAAGCATTTGGCCACCCGGTGGTCTGTAAAACCTCTTTGCAACCATTTCTTGCCTTGACTTGGTCTCGTGAAATTAGTTGTGTTCCACGCCTCGAGTGCTGGTTTAAGGATGCTTGTTTGTTGCACGACCTCTGTATTAGAAAGAATGTCAGTGTCAATATAGTCAACGACCTGTTGCATCGAGTTCGGGAAGCGTTGGCACATGGAGAAGAGTAACAGTATCATATAATAATATTCAAACTTTCAGGAAAGCAATATTTCATGCCATAATGCTCGATGTAGGTAGCGGCTAGGGTATCACCATCGGCGAATGAGCCATGAAGAAACTATCAAGTACTCTATATATGATTGAAAAAGGAATAATTACATCACATCCGATATGGTCTAGTGGCTAGGATTTCTCGCTCTCATACCGTTGTAATACCAACAACAACCAGGTCCGAGGAGGCCGGGGTTCAATTCCCCGTGTCGGAATCTTCTTTTGCTTCTCATCTGCCGTCTTCTTCTGGCATCGGAACCGAAGAGCAAAATTGGTCTTTTTTTTTCACTTTGCGAATTGCCAAGATTCGTCGGCGACTTTTCTATTATTTGCTGTTTCTTCGTATCCGTTACATGTACTGAGCCTTGGATCAATCAAGTGATAATTAAGAGAAAACTTCGACATTTTCTTTGTGCTCTCATCCTGGTTAGTAGCAGAGAACAAATCCTCAAGAGCATTTTTTCTTTCCTTCTTTCTTTCTCGGAGCCGCATCAAAAACGGAAGTCGCGTGCCGAAATTGGAAAAGAGCACGGTCACCGACAAGGACTCGCAAACGGAGTCTTTCATGGTCCGAGAGTTGTTGCGTTTCGGTGGCCGCGGGTCATGGACGGCAGTGTTTGTTCCGTTATTACTCGGGGTTGTGCAGGTGGAAAGATGTCCGAGGTGTGATGTTGTCATTGGTGTGCTTGTGTTGTCATTTGGTGTGGTGGTTGAGTTGATGAGGAACGGGTCGGAAAGACGTGTATGCTGTCGAATCTTTATTTGCGAGTGTGTACAGTAGGGACGATCTGTAGTGGCAACGTAGATGCAGGCAAAAGATGTGCATTTATCGAGATTGGCATCGTAAAGGGCTCGTGGAGGAACGACGTGTTATAGCTATGGAGTAATATCATATACGGCGCTCCTTGAAATAGAAGAGATCAATCTATCAGAGGTCTATTCTCAGAGCTCATGCTGATAGTGTGTTGTACGGAATGATATACACTATGGCAGATGACCTCCTTTGTATAACCCGATATAGATTCAGAAGATAATGTGGTATGCATCCACGTTGTCGTTGGGAGCACAGCATATTCGGTGCATAATCTGAACCATGAACACGTGAGTGATTAGCTGTTGATGTTGCTTGCGATCAGATAATAGGCTCGTGGTGTCTGCTAATACTATGTGTTTGAAAGACAGCTTGCTCGGCTTGGCCGTAAAGCAGGAGGAGTAGTTCTGTAGACAATCTAGTCATGTACAGACTGTTGGTATATACATAAAGAGTGATTTTTGCCATGAATGCGAAGGTGTGATCGTAGTCGAGGTAGTTGTGCTTAACCTGCCATCTACAAAGACGCTGCGTCCTTTTCAAGTTCCAAGTGGTGAGCTGATCGTAACAACTATCATCTGTCGAGATTTACCTCTTTGTCGACATTCCAAGATCTGAATGTACCCGAACCATGGACTGCTATCTCACAGCTGACGAATCCTGTATCAGTACATGTCGTGCTTGTCACAACAGGATTGAGTATCAAGCCTAACTCTTCAAGGTGAAGCCCTCCAATAGTCAGGCTGCCTAGGCGGGCAACATTGCGCGACTTACCCTGGCAAACGATGGACCAAAGAGATAGAATCCGTTTACGCCATTTCCACCATTCCAAGAACCTGGAGTTCGGGTATCGTCGATTTGGCTCAAAGGACTGGGATGCCTGACAGATGCGATTCATGGCGGTTTAGGCAAGTGCAGCCTCACGGGTACAAAGCTCGAGGACTTTGATGAAACAACCTACACAGCTCATCGCAGTGCAAAGACCATAGACCAGTGAAAGGTTATGGGGTCCAGAAGTTAGAGTCTGTTGAAAACTCTTGCTCCCTAGGCCTGAACTTCCTTCACGTTCCGGATGGTGATTGACTATCGCGAGAACGATTGTGGTGGCACTGCCGTTTGGAATCTAATATCGCCAGAAGACCAAGCAAGTCGAAGGTTTAAGACTTTTACTGTCCAAACCAATTGATCAGTCGTGCCATGATATTCTGTCGCATGCGGTGACAGGTCTATTGAAGCATGACATATGCCTCTGCTGAGTCTTTCTGTCAATTATGCAGCAGACAGAGGATACAAAACAGCCAAGGAACGTTATACGGAAGGCCAGCGCAGTCTGAAACCTCGGCGCTGGGCTGTCATGCTGAAAATGCCGGCGTCGTGACGGCGACGCTGCTCAATGACCGAGTTCAATCCGGCGGCTTCGTACGGCACTGATATGAGCGGATAACGAAGCATTTCAAGAAGAATGATCAAGGACTGAGAAAAGAAGAATTCGAAACCAACGGTTGTCCAGCGGGACAAAAGACAGCTCACATGGCAAACATGAGGGCGACCAGAAAGGTAAAAAGGCTGCTGACGGGAAGTCAAAAGACACAAGATCAACAGGACGCGACTGCTTCGTACAAAGTGAGATCGACGACAAGCGGAAGACGAGAAACACGAAGAGGCGCGGGGGATGGGACAGAGAATTGCAAGCGACGAGGATTTCTCTTTTCTTTTTTCTGCTTGTTCCCCTCCTTCCCCATGGCGATTGATGTTCGCTGAATGCTGTTGTGTCTCTGATCCTGTCATTTGAAGAGACGTTGTGAACGGTTTCTCATGGAGGAAAGAGGGAATTAACGAGGCAGAGCTTGGCGCATCATGATGGCCGGGCAAAAGAGGCAGCCAAAGAATGGGCGGGAGCAAAAAGGGCCTGTGCACTGGCCATGAGATTGGAATCAGGATACGCGAGGGTACGCGTTTGGCACAAGGGGGTCTAGAACGGATGCGCTGTTGAGCGCAATCAAAGAGAGGACCAGCCATGCAGATGTGAATGAGCAGTGAGTGTGGAATGGGTGACGAGGTTTATAGTCGAGCAGACAGAGCATGTTCGCGGGAACAATGGAGTTGTTTCTTCCTGCTGTTGGAGGGCAGCAAGGTTGTTGACACGTCGGTCAGAGTTTCAATACAGACCAGGGGTCATCAGGACGACTAGGCGGTTCCTGCGTTAGCGCAGCGGGCAGGGCGCAACGGGGCTGGGTTGATCAGTGGACAGTGGACAGGTCTTGGTGTGGACGAGTTGTGCCTGGTCGCTGCCTCTTTCTCTTCTTTGATTGTTTCTCCGTCTTTGCTCTTTCCATCAATTCATCATCGACTGCACTAGCTAGACCCCGTCCGACACTGCCTGTTCACCTGGCAGACGACCTTCGCTATTTCTTATTTTCCGTCCGACCCTCGTTGATTCTTCGACTGACACACTAATCCCTGGACTGCACATTCCTCAACCGTGTATTGACCAAAACACCATTCCACCCTTGGCCTCGCTGCGACACACACTGAGGCAAACTCGAAACCCGTCCTCTCTTGCCGGCAGTATCCCTCTCCAAACCAGCAAATCGTCACATTCGCGTGCTGGTCACGATAGTGTGGTTTTCGACCTGTTCACTGGTGGTTGCACGACAAGGCGACTAACGTTACTCAAGTCGCACCATCCGACACTCTCACACGCATCACCGCTCTTCTCCTGCCACTCTTCCTAACCCACGTTCTCGCACACGCACCATGCTGTCGACAATGCGCTCCGTGGCAGCAGTCACTCTCGCCCTCTCGGCCCTCTCAGTCCAGACAGTATCATCCGCCATCGTAGCTGGACCCGTCACAGACGCTGGCTGCTTCAACGCTGCTGCCGGTCTTGAGGACAATGGAACCTTCAACTACCAATCCAAAGGTCACTGCCAGCAGACATGTATCGGCGTTGGCGCTACCGTCATGGCCATGACCAACGGCGACGACTGTTGGTGTGGCTCCACCCTGCCAGCAAAGAGCAGTCTGCAGAGCGACGACTCCAAATGTAGCAAAGCATGCGTTGGATATCCCACTGATATTTGTAAGTTGATGACCTTCCCACAAGCTGCACACGTGCATCGGCTAACATAGACTCCAGGCGGTGCTGATGGTTACTGGAGTGTCTACTACACAACCACCGACACCGACATCGACTACTTTGGCGGCTCTTCTGGCTCATCTAGNCTCCTCAAGCTCATCGTCATCCTCCTCCTCTTCCAAGTCTGCTGCCGCCTCGTCATCAAGCGCTGCAGCTTCATCCATGATCACAAGCACCACTTCTGCAAGCCCCACCCAGCTCAAGGCTACCGTCATCACCAGCGTCGCCCCTGGCACGACCGTCATCATCACCCAAGTACCCACTTCCCAAGCCTCCAAGTCTGCCGACAACGACCAGGCCAAGAAGGGAGGCTCCAACACTGCTGGAATTGCTGCCGGTGTCGTTGTTGGCATAGTTGTCATTGCTGCACTCTTTGGTGCTGCTTTCTTCTTTGGCGCCGCAAGCAACGTCGCGAGGCAGAATCCGGTCACCAGCAACTCAACGACTACTCAAGCCCCTCGTCCCAAAAACCCATGAGCTTCAGACCCTCAACAGGACCCGATTCCCGCATCGATCCTGATGCCATGGCACAAAGAAGAATGAGTGATGGTAGCATTGCCGACAACGAGGATTACTCGAGGAGAATATTGAAAGTACGTCGAGACTGCCGTCAAGATCACATCCAAAACCCCCACTAACATCTCCCAGGTCACCAATGCTTGATGATCCAATGAGCGCTCGACTCTCCAGCATCCACGACCTTGAACGACTTTACCAATCTCGACCGCCCTTTTTCCTTGACGTTTTCCTTTAATTCCTTTTCTCTTTTTCCCCAACTGTTTTCTGGGATTGCCACATGGCCGGCGTATTTCACTGGAGCGCTTTTTTGATCTTGAATGATGAGGAACACTTGATTGTGCCATCTTCGTGTTGAAGTGGGAGCGTTTTCTTTTGCTCTATCCGCCAGAGAACCCCTTTTTCCTTGTGTCTCCTTGTCTTCTCCCTACTCTTTTTCTCTCTTGTTCATATAACACTCACCATCCACCCTTTCAACCCCTCACACATGCCCACGTCATGGTAGACGCACATAACTCACAGCCTGTAATGGACACTGCCTTTAAGAATGGACACGAAGAGGTAGCTCTTTTGACCTCACCAAGTAGAAAAACAGATCTCGGATCTATTTTGTTGTTCCGTTCAGATGCTTTGATATAGTTGTGCAAGTACATGCCGAGGCGTGTCTGATGACTCTCAATATCAACGAGGAGTCCGTACAGTCACAACTAGACACCAACTCCAACATCTACCACCTCTTGACCCCTCTGCCGCTTCATCTCATCAATCTTCTTGACATGCTCGGCTATGGTTTCTGCTTCTCCAGGTTCATTCTCTGCTGCTGCCACCGCGTACGCTTATTCCTGCGTATTCCTCTCCTCTCTCTCCATTCTTGTAAGATCACCGTCTTCGTCGAGGGAGATGAAGGAGACGCAGGAGACGAGAGAAAGACGTAAAGATGAAGTGGACGGTGAGGTAGTCGTAGGCAGCTTTGTGGAGGAGTAGGGTTAGCTTGTCGTAAGAGGGCGTCGAGTGACATGCTAGATGACTAGACAACAAAAGCTTGCGTTCTGTAGCGTAAACACGGCATCCTTTACGGCAATGATAGCATACATCTTGGTCATGACCCTTTTGCACTGTCAAAGCTCGTACGCGATTAATTCCTAAATGACCTGCCTTCTTCCTTTTTTTTTTCTTTCTTTCTTTTCAGGCTATTGTTCTTGCCTAACAAAAACACCCCTTCCCCCGGGTCTACTTTTTCTCGAGGATATGGTGGTGTCGAGTTCAAATATCATATGAAATTTCCCATTCAGATATTTATGGATAAAGAGCATTGCCTAATCTTGCCCCTTTGTCGAGAACATTTGAAAACACGCAAAAAAGTGATCCTAGAAAGGGCAAGTGCAAGACTTGTATAAAATTAGCAGTCTATTAGTAACACACTCTTTTTTTCTTTCAAGATATTAACTATAGAGGCATCGATTAGGTGTTCTCTCTTTACTTAAATGTTTAACACTAGTGCCGGATTAGGACGGCGGCAAATGGTAAGGTAAGAGATGGTAATAATATATACAAGGTACATTACCGCTAGACCCTCTCTTCTTTATCTTATGTAAGTGTACCTTGCATCTAAAGACCTTACTACAGTGATTCAATATATCTCTAATCAAGAAGGGATAGAGGATAAGAACATAGGCTTGTTAATAAAGGAAAACCTACAACTAATGCTTGACATAAGCAACTAAAAAGACGCAGCCGAGAAGAGTGGTAAAGGTATTTTCTTATAGAGTAACTAAACACATGACAAGAAAGTAACAAGATCTTTCGAGTAGAAACCAAAGAAAATATCACTCCTCTGAATCATCAACAGCAGAAGAAGCAGTAGACAAGCCACCAGCATCCGGCTTCCTGAACGGATGAGCCTCGGTATTCAACACCCACTCGTCAAGACTGACAACACCCTCATCTTCAAAAAGCAAATAGAAATACTTCAACGTCTCGGCCAGCCAGAAACTCTCTTCACTGTCCTCTTGCGTGGGAAGAGTTTTGGTAACATCATCAATGGCAGAAGCGCCATAAGTGGCATGGGTATACTTTTGGACTGCCAAAAACATGTTCCAGCCGACCTCTCGCCAGTGCGGATCGCCAGTGATGCGGTAGAGGTAGAAGACGCTTTCGATGGCTTCGGGACGTAGGATGTACTTGCGGCTGAGCAGGCGTGTCATTCCCGTGGGAAGGCGTTCTTCGGAAATACGTGCGAGGACGAATTCCTCGTGCGTGGGTGGTGTGGGAGGGATGTAGTCGTGGAAGACCTGGTCGGCGGGTGTGGCAATGTCGAGTTCGGGGACACTGTTTGGGACGGCAGGGGCGGGTGCGTGAGCGACTGTTGCAGCAGGTCCTTCCAGATCTCTCTTGTTGTTTTGGGGTGCATTGCGGGATCCTCCCACGGGGTTGGCGGTGATGGCTGCGGTACGGGATTCGGCATAGGGGTCCAACTCTTCCCAGTATTTTGTCTCGTTCCATTTGCAGTCCGTCATGCTTTCGCACTGCGAGACCAAAAAGTGTTCAGGCATGATGCCAGTGGCTGTGGCGTTGTATGCCCACACGCAACCTTCGGTCAACTTGGCACCCAAGTCGAGGTCTTCCTCGCGACCGAATATTTTGGCACCCATGGCGTACATGCCGCCGGCGAAACAAGAAAGGTGAGCGCCCTCGGGCTTGAAGGTGCCTTCCACGGCACCTTCTTCGCTGGGTGCATGAGCATTGTACTCGCCTACAAAGAGGATGTCTGCGTCCTGAGGAGTCATGGGGCGGAACAAGAGATACTTGGTGACGGCATCAATGGACTGCTCGTACAAGGTCTGGTACTTTTTCTCCAAGCCACCTAGTAGAAGATACTGCTTCGGGAAATATTCATAAGTTGAGTCGGCCATTCCGCCAATGGTGAACTTATCACGACTGCCAGAATTGCTCGAAGCCAGTCCGCGTGGAAGGCACACTTCCTGTTGGAGAGTGTGCATCTTGGCCTGAGTTTCTTTCTGAAAAACGTCTTCCGCAGCCTTTTCTTTTTGATTCTCGAGATCGCCTAGCTGGCGTTTATTGAGTTCTGCACTGTTTGAGTCGAGCGCAGCGGCCTTTGCCTGAGGATTGTCAAGATCACCTTCGGTCAAAGGATTGTCCCAATCAATAATCTTGCCTACGCCACCGGCAGAAGATGCGCCCATTCGCGAACCACCAAGATTGACGGGTTGAGAGGATGCGTCATCCCCTGTCGAAGAGCCAGTCAGTGTACCTTGACCTTGAGTCACTGGACGCTGAGGAACAACGGGCTTGCCATCACCCACTGCCACTTCGCCGTCCTTTCCGGCAGGATGAGAATAGTGAGACTTGATCTGAGCAGGCTTCTCGCAGCCAGAAGCATCGACATCGACGGGGAACAAGCCAGGGATCAGAGTCGCGTTGGCACCGGAAGCGTTTTGCCATTCAAGGAAGGCGTCTGTGATGCGATCGATAGCATCATAGTACTTTGGCTCTTTGGTCAACTGGGCAAGACGAGTGAACTCGACAGAGAGAGAACCAATCTCAGCCAAGACGACGCGTGTACCAGCGCGATGGGGCTGAGAAGCAAAAGTAGGCATCCAGTTGTAGAAAGTTTGGGGCATCCTGTTGGGCGTGTCGAAAGCGCCCATCAGGACTTCAGCAAGCTCGACGGCCTTGTCCAGCAGGACCTTGTGTTGACCACCGCTCAAGTCATAAGCCGAGAGCATACCACCAAGGTAGCGGATGGTGGTCTCGAACAGAGGAATGCTCTTTCTCTCAGAAGTGGTGAAATCAATCTCGCCAACAGCCTGAACGGCATCCTCGAATTCGTCCTTGAGACCAACGATCCAGAGTGTATCCAATGCATCAACCAGAGTAGCAGCCCAGCCACAGAAAGGGTCTCGAGCACCACCTGAAACAGGACGCACTTCGTCTCTCAGCCAGGCTTTTGACCTGTATCCGCTCCAAGCATGCTTGACCGCACCCTCGATGTACTCCAGCTTCTTCTCTCTGTCAGCCTTGTCGGCAGACGACTCTTTCTTGAACTTGTGTTGGATGCGAGGAATAGCCTTGGGTGTGCCGGTGGGTAGTTGGATGGTTGTCGAAACAGGGAAGTGTTCGGGCTGCTTGGACCAGTGTATCGCGGGCACGCTGACCATGCCTGGGTAGACTGGAGGAATCTCAAGTCTGCCTTCACCGACTTCGGTCATGTCGTCCAGCTCGTGTACAGGCAAGATTGCAGCAGCATCTTGAGGTGTGGTCTCACTGAGCGACTGTGTTGCGACGGCGACGGCGGACGAGAACGAGGGAGAGGAAGAAGAAGTGGCCACCTTCTCTGTCGTCGGTTTCGGCGCCTCAGCAGCAATCGAAGTTGCAGCAGGGGCTACTTTGGTGGTTGGAAGCGGTGGTAGGACTCCAAGTATATCGTCCTTGGTAGGTTCGTCAGGTTTGATCAGGTCAAGACCAGCTTGAGCCTTTTCTTTGGCAGCAGCTGCGGCATCATTGCCAACCGCCTTCAACGAGCCCGCGCCAATCGCCGAGGGCAGGTCTATACCGCCATGTCCTACGAAGTAATACGTGGCCAAGATGGCAATAACCGTAAAGGCAATAAAGGCCCTGTAGCGCCTATACCGGATCATGCTAGGCGGTTATTCGCACAAGCAGCTGAGGGAGCGGTCGTGTGACTTAACTCCGAGACAAGACGGAGAGAGCAAGCTGCTGGCGCTCGCCCAATCAACGGGAGCTGTGACAACCTAAAGGAGAGAGTGATAGAAGAGAGAGAGAGAGACAGAGCAAAAGCCCACACAGGCTACGTAGATGACAGCAAAGTGAAGGTACAATACTACAATGCGACAAGAAAGGTGTTGTTCAAGTCATGCAACTCTTGGCTGCTATTCCTGGTCTAGTCGGCCACCGCCAAGCGCGTATTCGTGCCTCTCCGCGGCATCAGAATAATAATAATGTGGGGTCGACATCAACCCAAGTTTCACCTTTGCTGAACCTGACGCATCTGTTGGAAACGTACGAGATGCTGCGACTCGGCGCATGATGCCATGATCGTCATGATTACTGAATATCTGACAAGACTTTTGTGTTTTACTCCATCTGCTCTCCACCAGGGCCGGGTGCTCTGCCCATTTGTCTCGCCTTGAGCATCTCATCGCACAGTAGTAGGTTTGATGCAATACCAGCGGCTGAGGCGATGCAGTTGCGGAGCACTCGGAATGAGTCGTACACACCTTCTTGTGTGGGATCCATGGGCTCGCCAGTCGTCAGGTTGAGACCGACAATGTTGCCCTCTGCTTGCTCGTCTTGCAGAGCCGCGACNNTAGACATGTTAGCATATGCATCATCCATCTTGGAAACCTGAAACTTACTCGAGTCTTGCACGTCGTGTCCCGAGTTGGCTGCAAGCGTCTTGGGAATAACAAGGAGAGCATCGGCAAATGCATCAACACCCCACTTGGCCTTGCCCTTGACCGTCTTGCGGAACGCCTCGCTGTTCAAGTGTGCGTGTGCCGCAATCTGGAAGGCACCACCACCAGGTACAACGCTGCCATCGACAATCATGTTGTAGACACTGCGGAGACCATCACGGACGGCGTCCTTGATCTGTGCAATTGTGTGTGCGTTGGGACCCTTGATAAGAAGAGTGACCGACTTGGGTTCCTTGACGTCCTCGATGAAGGTGTACTTCTCCTCGCCGAGCTGGTGTTCGTAGACGTTTCCAGCGTAACCAAGAACGTCGGGTGACAAGTCGTCAACGCTGTTCTGAGCAATACCACCGCAGATGAGCTGCAATCTCTCCATGTTTCTTCTCTTTGCGCGGCGCAGAGCGAAAATGCCGTTCTTGACCAAGACGTCCAAACTCAAGGGGTCGATACCCTTCTGGTTGATGATGACAAAGCCCTTGGTGCCGTCGGTGCCGCAAACCTCCTTCTTCAGCTCGACAATCTTGCGCAACTTGTCGTCGACGAATCTGCGCTCACTCTCGACCAACTTCTCTCTTTGCTCGGCGCTCGAGTAGTAGAAACCAGAGTTGATCTCGGACTTTTCGTATTCCAGACTGACGTTGAGGGTAAGGATGAAGGCGTTTTCGACACGCTTGGGCATGTCGGGGTGTCTGGCGCCGTGGTCGAGGGCGAGACCACGGATGAGTTGTGTGTCGGCGGCGGTGCGATGTTGCATGGTCATGATCTCGACCATGTGCAAGTCGGGCTTAGCAGGGGCGTTGTAGATGGCGAGGACGGCATCGACAATGTCAGGGGTGAGTTGCTCGGCCAGGGTGGCATTGATCTTGGTGGAGAGCGAGGTGCGGGCAACGGAGAGGAGCAGTTCGCGGTCGACTTGGCGGTCAAGCTTGAACTGGTCAAGGAAGTTGAGGGTCTCGGTCTTTGCAAGGTCGTAGCCGTCGGTGATGACTCTGGGGTGGAGGCCTTCGGAGATGTAGCGTTGGGCCTGCTTGAGGAGCTCGCCGATGAGGATGACAGCAGAGGTGGTACCGTCACCAGTGATGTCGTCTTGGGCAGTGGCAGCGCGGGCAATCATGACGGCAGTCGGGTTCTGGATCTGCATCTCGCGCAGCAAGACACTGCCATCCTTGGTGAGCTTGATGCCGCCAGCGCCATCGACCAGCATCTTCAGGGTGCCCGAAGGCCCCAAGTTGGAGGCCAAGACACCCTGCAGACCTTCACCGGCAGCAATGTTGACACTCAGGGCCTCACCACGGCNGCTGTATAGAGTCTGTCAGTGATTGTCTGGCGGGCGCATAATAATTATTTTGGCACAACGCACCCTTGATTCGGCCTTGGGGTTGAGGAGTTGGGCTGCAGACATGGTGGCGATGCGTGAATGTGACTACGCCTTGGATCTGACAGTAACCCTGTGTGTTAGGCAGAGTACAGGAGCTGACGATTGTTGTCTGGCCGTGGTTCGACTTTCTCGTCTCGCGGAGGTGCTTGGTGCTTGGTGCTTGGTGCCCTGCGACTTCTTAGTCCGAGCTTCGGGACCCGCCAAGCCTCTCGATGAATGAATTTTGGTCCTCCGCTGGCAGCTTTTTTCTTCCCGAGCAAAAGTGTCACCCCGACCGTCACGTATCACGACCACGTATCATCGGCGCCATGTCTGTCGATTACCTTTTGCACGAGTCCGGTGTGGGCTATGCCATCTTCAAGGTCCGCATGCAGGCCGACTCGGTCGGCCAGCGCCTCAAGGAAGTCCAGGAGCAGTCGCAGGACCTCGCCAAGTTCGGTATCGCCTCTGCCATCCTATCCACGTGTGCGCCCACCAGTCCTAACCCCTCTCANGGCAAGATGGTCGAGCTCGTCTCCTTCGCCCCCTTCCAGGGCGCCGCCCAGGCTCTTGAGAACGCCAACCTCGTCTCCGAGGGCATCATGTCCGACTACCTCAAGACCGTCCTCGAGGCCAACATGCCCAAGGCCAGCAAGAAGAACAAGACCGTCCTCGGTGTCACCGACAGAGGTCTTGCCGGAAGCATCAAGGCCGGTTTCCCCTCGCTCGAGTGCGAGACGTCAGAGACTTCCGAAGTCTGCGCCGACCTCCTCCGTGGTTTGAGACTGCACGCCGAGAAGCTCCTCAAGCAGCTCCAGACCGGCGATGTCGACCGCGCCCAGCTCGGTCTTGGTCACGCCTACTCGCGTGCCAAGGTGAAGTTCAGCGTCCAGAAGAACGACAACCACATCATCCAGGCCATTGCTACCATCGACCACCTCGACAAGGCCGTCAACCTCTTCTCCATGCGTGTCCGTGAATGGTACGGCTGGCACTTCCCCGAGCTGGTCAAGATCGTCTCGGACAACACAAAGTACGCCCAGCTCGCTCTTTTGATCAAGGACAAGAAGACCCTCACCGAGGACAACATGCACGACCTTGCCGCCATCGTCGACGACGACGAGGCCATCGCCCGCAGCATCATCGACGCCGCAAAGGTTTCCATGGGTCAGGACATCTCCGACGCCGACATGGAGAACGTCATGTCTTTCGCCGAGCGCGTCGTCTCGCTTAACAAGTACCGCAAGTCGGTCGGCAACTACCTCGTCTCCAAGATGAGCATTGTCGCCCCCAACTTGGCTGCTCTCATCGGCGAGACCGTCGGTGCCCGTCTCATCTCCAAGGCCGGTTCCTTGACCAACCTCGCAAAGTACCCCGCCTCTACCGTCCAGATTCTCGGTGCCGAGAAGGCCCTCTTCAGAGCCCTCAAGACCAAGGGCAACACCCCCAAGTTCGGTATCATCTACCACTCTTCCTTCATCGGCCGTGCCNNGGGAGCCAAGAACAAGGGTCGTATCTCGCGTTTCCTTGCCAACAAGACCTCGATCGCTTCGAGAATCGACAACTTCTCAGAGACACCCACCACCAAGTTTGGTGAGGCCCTCAAGGCCCAGGTCGAGGAGAGACTGAACTTCTACGCCACTGGCGAGGCCCCCACCAAGAACGAGCAGGCAATGGTAAGCAGCATCAAATGATTCCGAACGAACTCCCCCGAGACTAACAACCTACCANNGCAAGCCGCAATGAACGCCGTTCTTGGAGACATCAACGTCGAGGACCCCACCGCTGGCGCTGCCGAAGACGTCGAGATGGCTGACGGTGTCACCGCCGCAGCAACCGAGCAGGCCGTCCGCAAGGAAAAGTCCAAGGACGAGAAGAAGAAGGAAAAGAAGGACAAGAAGAGAAAGTCAATGGGCGGCGACTCGGACGACGAAGCCGACAAGAAGGAAAAGAAGAAGAAGCGCAAGAGCGAAGGCGGTGATGACAAGAAGGAGAAGAAGAAGTCAAGGAAGAGCATGTAGATTGGCGGTATTTCTTGCAAAGCCATTCTTGTCGGAGTAGCGGCGTCGTCGGCGTTGAAGGAATTTGGGCCAAAGAGTGGGAAAGCATTATTTTTTTACTATTGATTTTCCAAAAATGCCTCCCTTTGCGGGTATGAGGCAGTTTACTTAGCTGTACAAAACGCATGAATGATTTCCTTTTCAGTTCAATCTTCTTGACTCCAGACGACTGAAGTGATACTGTACTTTGCTTGATCGTGACTTCCTTCTGAAATTGCTTGGCACCTTGACCTCGCTTGCCAGCTTTGGCAAGCGCATTCGAAGAAAAACTCCATCATTCATCACAACCCCTTCAATCACATCATAATTATGGCCGACGAAAGCAAGAAGCGTGCCGCACCTGCAGGCGGTGCTGATAGAAGCAACAAGAAATCAAAGGTAAATCTCTGCATCTGATGTCCTCCTCACTTCGAGGGGCTGACCGGTCAATAGAAACAATGGCGTGTACCTCGCAAAGTCGATCAGTACGCATCGCAAAAAGTCATTCTACCAGGCGACCAAGGTATCTGGGCCACGTGCGACAAGGGCAGAGAAGGCAAATGCACAGGAGAACTTCGCGATCTTTTCAACGAGGTATGTGATGACCGTGGCAATTAATGATCACGCTAACTTCGGGTATAGTATGCTCAACTTCTTTACGGAGACGAATTGGCTGCGGAAGCCGGTGCTGCTGGTTTTGATGATGAGGGAGACGGCGAGATCAACATTGAAGCCGAGATTCAACAAGAACTCGCAGACATCCGCAAGCCTCAGTCAAAACCTCTCTTCTGGTCAATCAAGCTGGATGTTCAATGCGGTGAGTCAATCTGTTATAAATCTCGTAACGTCACTAATGCCGGCGCTNNAGTTATCTTCTTCAAGACCAGAGCGCCTGTCGAGCCCGTTTCGTTTGTACGAAGAATCTGCGAAGATGCTGCCAAACCGAATGCGCCAAAGCGTACCAGATTTTGCAACCGTCTTACTCCAATGACTTTGATGGGCAAGGCCACCGAGGAGGGTCTCGAGAAGATAGCCAAGGAGGTTCTTGCACCTCACTTCCACACAGAACCGCGTGTGCCCACAAAGGTTGGTGTCTCTGCTTACCCACAGCATCGATGAATGCTGATGATTCGTCTANNGTTCGCCATTCGTCCCACAATCCGTAACCACAACGTCATGAAGCGAATGGATATCATCCAGAAAGTTGCGTCGACTGTCGGCCCAGGACATCAAGTTGATCTCAAAAACCCAGACGTTCTCATCTTGGTCGAAATTTACACTGTAAGTCAATCCGAGGTCGCGTTTCTCCTAATCAGTACTTAACCTATGTAGAGCATCTGCGGTATCAGCGTAGTGCCCAACGATTATGAGGCTCTGAAGCGATACAACCTGGCTGAAATCTTCGAGCCTTCTCCCAAAGAACAACCTAAGAAGAAGATCGAGGCTCCCAAAGAGCAGCCTGCAGAGAATGTTAAGCCGGAGGTTGGTCATCAGACCGAGGTCTCCATCGTCAAAGAGGAGGTCGAGATGCCGGCTGGCACAGAAGAGATCGAAACCCCAGCGGTAGCTGCAAAAGACGAGGCAGCTCAAGTCTAAGCACGACATCCTACAAGAATAAAAATTCGACACGGAGAATCACCTCCCACAATAGTCATACTTCTTGCTGACAGGTACTGGAGACAAAGACCCGATATCTCGGCATCTCAGAAGAAAGCATAAGTCAGCCAAAGAATTGTGTCCTCTTATCTACCACAGCCTTTGTGAATCTGGACCTCTGGAAACCATACCCTTGCTGCCAAGCCAACAGCTCGACAATCCACGTTGCTATTCTGTGCACGCACCCACCTGCTGCGCGGAGATGTCATTCTTCGTCTGCTTCACATCCGGAGAAGTGAATCTTGGAGGTGGAGTCCAACGAGTTTGGTTGAGCTCTTGGTCGTGTTGTAGCATAGCCAGGAGAGCCGACTGCAGACTCCAACGAGGTCCCCAAGTTGCTGCTTCTCCGGTGTGTTCCCAGGAGATGCTTGTGTGTTTGCAAGTCCCATCCTGAAGAGTGTCTGCAAAGTTTTGATGATTGCGAAGAGGGCATGAATGTCCCATCCGTATCTGATAAGGCTTGCTTTGCCTGGCTGCCTCGGCTCGTAAGCCGAGTATCAACCCACTCACGCCGACATGAGCTTCAGCGATCACCCTCAAGAACCCATTGACTCGAGCAAGCGTCTGAAAGACTCACTTCTACCACACGTCTGCTTGAGCGACACATTGAGTCGATGTGACACTAGGTTGAAGCAATACGATACAGAGCTCGCTTGGCTCGAAGAAAAACTACATTCAATTTACAGACATGGTATCTGCCGACAGAGGTATTTCCGCGGCACCTCGATGGGCAAACGCAATACGCATGCCATGCCGTTCTTAATCAACTGTTCTTAGCACGCCAGCTTGGCTACACAGCCTGCCAGATTCCTTTCCGGCATGCAAACGATGCATGTGGCTTTACATCTAGAACCGGTCTCCCTACTTACAAATAACGAAGTCGGTGGAAAGCCTCTGTCCTCAAGTCTATCTTTCGAATCACTGGCCCTACGACAAGACGCTTCAAGATGAACAGATGCTTGCGTCGCGATTCGGAAAATCCTTGTGTATCCTATGAGATCTGAAGTGAAATGCTCAATCTCGAACCAGAAGCAATTACCATGCACTTTGACAGGATGAGGTGTACTTTATATTAGCATAAACAAAGTGCATATTTCACATGTCAGCGACTCGAAGAGACAAATCCACGAGACGATCTGCATAGATAGAGGTCTANNAAAGGCTGATGAAGCAAATGGTTCTGATTGGTCAATCACAACTTCAGATAAGGGATGGCGGGAGCTAACGGCAAGGCTGCGTCAACGTCAAACGCAACGACACTGGCAAGCTGGCAATTCAACAGATTTCTCAGAAGCCTTTGCTTTACACACACGATGACTGTCGCAAAGGCTATTGCAATTGATAGAGACAGAGAGTTTACCGTGCTCTTGTGATGGGAGACGTTGATCTGCGATGTACGCATCCACGACTCGAGCGCAGTCAAGCAAAGCTTTCGCATCCCCGACACCGTCATTCCTCGAGGCGAAGGCAGCCAAGTAGGGGAAAAGAATTGCGTCTCTTNNGAGAACAAAGCAAAAACTGCATCCAAGAGAATTTGGAAACNNCTCCACATCGCAGATGGCCAAGTATTTCTGTGATGAGAGCTTTTACAACAACAAGCCACTGATAAGGCAGGGGATGTTGCAAACCCACTTTTCCCCGTCGGAAAGGTGTGGTTATCTGTGCGCCCAGAGATAAGCCAACCCGATGCATGGTCAACCATTTGTCGGTTCAGGCACTCCGTATCTATTGCAAGCCGTACTCGATACAACACCCTGTCAGATCAGGATGGGTTGGTTGATTCGGACTGACAGTCCGCGACGAGCATTCCTCTCTGGAAGTCAAAATGTCAGTTTGTTGCCTATATGATCAACTATCTTCAAGAGGAAAGAAGGTCAGCACATCAAGGGCTCATGTGCAGAGCATCCTAAAAGTCCCGGATCCTTATCTCGACACGGCTTAGCCTGAAGTCTACCCGTTTCCTCACCCACGTTGCTGACCCAATATGCGGCTCTGTGTACATCCACACATCGTTCGACCCTTTCCACTGTAGTTCCTTATCTGAGCCCAGTAAGGACTGGATGCTCCAGATTTCCTCCCAACCCCAGGATTAGCTGAGGTCCCAGATCTGCACACTGACGGCAGACAAATCCGCGGACTTGTTTTTTGCTTTCGCGTTGTGGTAATCTGTTGTGCACCGGAGATACATTGAAAGGTGCCTCGACGTCAATGAGAGTGAGAGGTTGAATATTAAACCTCCATGTCCTCACCCCAGCAATTGGTCTCTTCATTCGGTTTCTATTACATACCAACAATCCCAAAGAGGTGCAAGGCCATTCTATTTCTGGCTTTGGGGAATCTTCTTCGGCAGTCTTATCCTCAAGGCATATCTAGTCTGGACATTTCACATACCACATCACAATGGGTATCAGCACTTTGTGGTCGGCCCCTGAGGTCAACCCCATCAACAAGAAGGCCCGCTCTATCCCTGTCCTCAACCCGATCAACAACTATGGTCGTGTATTCTTCTTCTCATGGTTTGGTTTCTTGCTGGCATTCTGGTCTTGGTAAGTGCACGATGACCTCCACACCCCCAGATTGTGGCTGACCCGAGGGATAGGNTACGCATTCCCTCCACTGCTCAGCGATGTCATTGCCAAGGACATCCATCTCAGCAAGCACGAGATAGCCAACTCCAACATCATTGCTTTGACTGCCACTCTCCTCGTCCGTCTGGTTGCTGGTCCTGCTTGCGATCGTTTCGGTCCTAGATACACGTTCGCTGGGTGCTTGCTTCTTGGAGCCATTCCTACCTTCCTGGCCGGCACTGTCAAGAGCGCTGCTGGCCTCTACGTTCTTAGATTCTTCGTTGGTATCCTCGGTGGCTCCTTTGTGCCTTGCCAGGTATGGACCACTGGCTTCTACGACAAGAACATCATCGGTACTGCCAACTCGTTGACTGCTGGTCTTGGTAACTCTGGTGGTGGCATCACTTACTTTGTTATGCCTGCCATCTACACCTCGCTCATGCGCGACCAAGGCCTTACTGGTCACGTTGCTTGGCGCGTCGCCTTTGTCGTTCCTGGCATCTTGATCACTGCTGTTGCCCTGGCTCTCTTCTTCTTGTGCGACGACACTCCTACCGGCAAGTGGGCCGACCGTTTCCAAACCGCCGAGACCAACCTACGCTCTCACGCTCTCGAGGGCGCCATCGTTGACGTCCAAGGCACTGGCGAGATCACCGGCGAGAAGACCAGAAAGGAAGCCTCCCGCACACCATCCACCTCGGACGTCGAGACTGAAGAAAAGAAACTCGACAACACGCGCGGAACCTTCAACGACAATGAAGCTCACATGGGCGAGGAACAAATGCTCGATACCGTTCGCGGCGAAGTCGTCCAAAAGCCATCCTTCAAAGACGCCATTCCTGTCGTCTTCTCACCCCAAACCCTCGTCTTGGGTATCTGCTATTTCTGCACTTTTGGCTGCGAGTTGAGCGTCAACAGTATCCTCGGAACTTACTATTCCAAGAACCTCAAGCTCGGTCTCCAGGATTCGGGTAACTGGGCTGCCATGTTTGGTCTCTTGAACATTGTCTTCCGCCCTCTCGGTGGCTTGGCTTCCGACTACGCGTACAGGATGTCTGGACCTTGGGGCAAGAAAGTGCTATTGCATGTCTATGTCACCCTCGCAGGCATGTTCATGGTCATCACCGGCGCCCTCAACCCTCACTCACGCCCCGCACTCGTCGGCCTCGTCACCGGCGGCGTGGGCTTCTTCCTCGAAGGCGCCAACGGACTCAACTATTCGCTTGTCCCTCACGTGCATCCTCATGCCAACGGCATTGTTTCTGGCGTCGTTGGCGCCAGTGGCAATCTTGGCGGTATCATCTTTGCCATCATCTTCAGGTATAGTATCGATGGCAAGACTACGCTGTATGGACAGAGTTTCTTGACTATTGGTGCTATCATGATGGGCATGGGTGTTTTGACCTCTTGGATCAGACCTATCCCCAAAGGTCAGATTGGCGGCCGCTAAGTCAGATGTCTTGGACGAACTGTTATGATTATTATTCTTTTTGTCGCTCGGTTGTTGGAAAGGGTTGATAGGGTATCAATGGGCAGGAAAGGGGATCAACTTTGTTATGACTGTCATGGGGCGCAGAGTCTTTTGGGGGACTTTTTTGTTGTTGTTGTATTACTGAGATATCCAAGTGGTTTTGCTGTTTCCTAGAATTTTTAGAAATTTTTTTTTATGTAACAGAATTTGACACTGGATGTTTGCTGTCAGCTCAACCTTGTCTCTGTTTGGTTTTTTGCTTGCAAGTGAACGTGTTGATGCATAAAGAAGGTGCGAATGGTGTTGAGACCGAGAGGTTCTGTTGAATTTGATCTGGCATCTTTGGGTTGCTTGTTTGATCTTCATCGGCACTTTTTAGTCGCACGACTCTACATCTGAGATCGAGTACCATAAAGAACCAATACAAAGAAGTCTTGCCCGTAGGGTCATCGCCGCTCAAGCATTCATCGACTCGACAACAAATTTTCGCTTGGGCCTTCTTGATTACAAACTTGTCTGTCTCTCAGACATGCTAACATAGGAAGTTGTAGCAGGCAACAGAAACAAGACAGCATGTGATGCTTGTGTTTGTCGACATCTTTCCATGTGTCTCGAGATGGGATCAATAAGTTGTGTATGTCTGCCAATCTGCGAGGTTTGGCATACTTACTGAAGCCGGTTCTTCAGACACGCTCAATCACTCTTAACCATAACTGGGTTTGTGAAGTTGTTACTTGAGGTTTCGAAGAATCGTGAATGAAGACGCCCTGATGGGTGTTATATACTAGCAGACGATCGTGTGCTCCGGTTGCTCGATGTCTTCGAGACGGACTTCCTACGATCACCTATCGCGAAGGCATTGCTACTAGATAGGATTTTGGACTGCTTCGGATGCGTATGCTCTGCTTTACAAGATCCTAATATCACATCTCTCGTCTCTCGATATCTCCGAGCTTCGAAGCTGCTAGTTGATGAGGTAAGGGGCTTTGCTTCTACGAATTCAGATTTCCACTGTCCAGTGCTCTAGTATCACGACATGTCCCGTGTTTGGTGCTCATCTTGTCCTTTACATGGTGCTCAGAATTAGGAAGACAATTAAGATTGCGAGCTTGCTTGTCATCATAAATTAATCTTGCAGGTATAGCTAAGTGATCTACGTTATGTATAAGAAAGACTGTTAGCTTACTTGCAAAGCATGGCTTTCCGTCTCTATTCTTGCTACAAAAATCTTGCTTAAATCGTGATCGATGCTTAGAACTCAAAGAGATAGTCATTGATCGTTAACTCAAAGAGATAATCATTGAGATGTGTCCTCAAGATCATTATATAATGCAGAATGTGCTTCGATATGTTTCATTAAACCTCTGAGAATGTACTGCACAAGTTTGCAATCCTAGAACCGTAGCGGCACTGGAAGGTCATTAAGGATGCAGAAACGGAAGGCAAAGAGAAGCGATGCGAAGATCACTCAAGAAATCGACTCTATAGAGCCATGGAACGACGCATATGACCCTCTAGTTGCATAGAAGCTTTTATTCCAAGCCTCGAGAAGCAAGACCCCAAACCCGCCAAATCTCCAGAACCAAAGGTCTACAAGCATCCAATTCTAGATGTTGTCAAGTCTCCTGACCATCACGCGAATTAACGGCAGACTCAATGCTTGATGGCTGTATGGTTAGTAGCAGACTCTTTCTGGCAATCTCGGCCGACTATTTTTTGCGCGCGGCTAATTGCTAGACGTCATATAGCGCTGTCATGCATCAAAGAAGCTCTGGACTGTTGATCATGGTTCTTTGTTTGAATCCTTTTCTGGAACTACTTCAATCGGCGTCCTATCATGCAGTGCAAAGACTCGCTTGCTTTATCACACCATATCCTACGTTATGTCGAGGCGCGATGGCGAATACGAACATTCGTGTAGATGAGACATGTGGAGCGATATGGACAGAATAAAGGCTACTCACAACCTTTGTCGGTTTGAATATCACCACCTCACCACCTCGGACTTTGGCTCTCTATCTGGCCGTGATGGAGAAAACGACTAGTCATATCTCTGTTCAGCCTGTCACCGGCACAGGTTCTCCGGTGCAGGATGAGGACCTTGTGTTTGGGCGTACTTCGATCCCAGCATATGATGCAGAGTCTGAGAAGAAAGGAGCACTGGAACCAGAGATCACTGCCGTGCCTACCCCGGATGGTTCAAGCGATGACTTCGACAAGTCCGACGACCCTGATCATATCATTGTCACTGGAGCAGATGCAGCCGCTCACTTACTGTCACTGCGTGACGACAGAGACCCGTCAGTGACGTTTCGTGGTATCTTCCTGGCGTCTTGTGTCTCTGCATTCCAAGCCGTCATGAATCAAATCTACACAGTCAGTTAACGGACTATGTGTCTGAACTGACCAGTTGCTAATGATCTCCAGTTCAAACCCACTTCGATCACCATCCAAGGTACTTTCATCGTCCTCATCGCTTACTTTGTCGGTAATGCCTGGGCCAAGTTCCTCCCTCGTGGCGACCGCCATCTATCACGATGGAAAGCGAACAATGGCGACAACAAGCCGCCTTTCTGGATCACGTTGCTCGTGTTCATCAATCCAGGACCATGGGGACTCAAAGAACACGCTATCTGTTCCATCACCGCCACTTCGGCTTCGAATGCTGCTGCTGTCTCGCAGGTCTTCGCAGCGCAGGAGCTGTTTTACGATCTGCCCATCAGCCCCGCAACTGTCATCTTGACAATGATCTCGATCGGTTTGTTTGGCTACGGACTCTGTGGTCTGCTGCGACCCATCGCTGTGTGGCATGTTGAAGCCGTGTACTGGAGCACACTACCGACCGTCAAGACACTCCAAGGCTTGCACTGGCAAGAGGTTAAGGACTCCAAGCCCCTTCGGTACTTCTGGTATGCTTTTGTCGGCATGTTTTTCTACGAGCTCTTCCCTGCGTACATCTTTCCATGGCTGAATTCGGTGTCCGTACCCTGCTTGGCTGCCATGAAAGCTACTGGTGAAAAGGCTGCTGTGCTCACTAATCTTTTTGGCGGCGCTACCAACAATGAAGGACTGGGGATGTTCACTCTTTCCTTCGACTGGCAATACGTAAGACTGCTCATGCTATTGTGTTCGATCATCACTAACACAAAGCTTAATAGNATCACCTCTTTCAACACCTCTCTTCCTCTCATCCTTTAGGTGCATGTTGCTATAGGCGTCTTTGTATGCATGATGGTCATGTTGGCGATCTACTACACGGATACTTGGGGTTCCAAGTCACAGCCATTCATGTCGACCCAGCTCAGGTCACAAGATGGAAAAAAGTACCCTACCTCCAAAGTCTTTGTGGGTGGAGTGCTGGACGAGGCCGCTCTGCAGAAGTATGGTATTCCCCGTCTGACTGGAAGCTTCGCTTACGCCCTATTCATGGCAAACGCTGCAGTAAGTCATTCCAGCGTGAGTCGCCCTGTCTTGTACTGATCGATCCCATAGATTGGTGCTCTCATTGCTCACACCATCCTCTTCTGGGGTGGCGATATCAAGCGAACATACAAGAGCGCCAAAGCTGGAAGATATGACGACCGACACCATCAGCACATGGCAAAGAACTACAAAGAAGTACCCTGGTGGTAGTACATGATCGTCCTAGTGTTCAGTTTCGTCCTTGGCCTTGTCGTTGTGATCAAAGAGAACATCACTATGCCAGTATGGGCTTACGTCGTCTCTCTGATCACGGGTATCATCATTGCACCATTCGTAAGTGCTTTGATCGAGTCTTCCAATCACCAGCTAACTTGACCTTCTCTCAGNAGTGCCTTGATATATTCTCGCTTTGGTAACGGTATCGCCACCAACAACCTCTCCAAGATGATTGCTGGTCTGGCGCTTCCTGGCCGTCCGGTGGGCAACATGTACTTTGCTGCTTGGTCACACAACGTGATCACCAACACTGTCAACCTCTGCAACGATCTTAAGATGGGTGAATACCGTGAGTATCGCCACCCTATCTAAACCTACCATGATGAGCTAACACTATATCCAGTCAAAATTCCTCCTCGCGTTATGTTCATCACGCAGATCTACGGCACAATTCTGGGTGGCTTCTTGAACTACGCTGTCATGATCTCGATTGTCAGCGGTAATGCCGAACTCCTTACCTCTGGTAATGGTAACGCTTCGTGGAGTGGCGCCACCATCCAATCCTACAACACCAACGCGAGTTTATGGGCTCTGGCCAAGTACCTCTACAAAACTGGCACGACATACTCGGCTGTGCCTTTCGGTGTTGCTGTGGGTGCTGGCTTCGTAGTTTTCCACCGCATCTTTGCTCAGGTAATGACTTGGTCTCTTCTTTTGTCGAGTTTGATGATTGCTTACTCTTTATCGCATAGNTTTGTCCCCAGAATCCGCAACTTTTCCACTTACGACATCAACATGCCGCAATTACTTGCATATGCTGGCTACATCCCCTACAACCAATCGCAGACATGTGTTCTTTTCAGTCAATTGATCGCCGGCTTTTATACCCAGTTTTACTTGCGCAACTACAAGCCTCGCATCTTCAAGGATTATTCGTACTTGGTCACTGGCGCGATGGACGGCGCTAGTTTGCTCGCGCTGTTTATCTTGTCGTTTGCGGTGTTTGGTGCTGCTGGGAGCTCGAAACCTTTCCCGTGAGTCTTCTTGTTCTCAATGTAATGCGTTGGTTGTACTAAATTGTTGTGCAGATCTTGGTTTGGCAATAATGTTGATGGAAACTATGATCATTGTCCAGTGCCCGAGTGATTGACGAAAGGTCTCTGGCCCGATTGAGAAGCTCATACAGGCCAGTTATGGACGAACGACGATGCAAGTAACGGTTGGAAAAGCTGGTCAGAGCTGCTGTTCATGGCTGCTACCTCGTATCTGTTATGATTAAAGCTCGAGAGGCGCATACAATTCATACTACATTAGGAATAAAAAGAATTTGTTACACCCTGACAGGGTTTGCAGCATCTATACCCCTTACGATACTGTAACTAGTACCTGCAGCAATGACACCTACAAGAACGGTGTAGCAGGCGCTGATGATCGAGTCTTTGTGTGGATTGCCAACGATCGCAGACTTGTCGTAGCCGAACACGACGAGGACGAAAATGGTAATGCCGATGGACGTGAAGAGTGCGTCGTTCGTCCGCTTGAACACAAAGTACGGAATCATCGGCAACAGACCACNCTTCGAAAATGTCAGTAATCCCATTCAGGAGACTTGCACGAGCAAGAAGAAAGTACCTAGTAGATACGATAGTCCCATGACCAAGCCCTCGACCCAGGCGCCAGCACGATTCGGCTTTGCGAGCTTCAGCTCAAAATCCATCATGAACTGAATATAGAAAGACACTTCAGTATGTAATAGCAGTTTGTTGCAATCCATGTCCAGCTTTCAAACCGTTTTCAAAACTCACTTNNTGACCCACATGTCAGGGTTATTTTTCAAGCTTTCCACGACCATACAAGCATGCGTACGTGGTATGTCGTACTGCGCAAAGATGTCATAGATTTCCTGCTCCTCGACCAGAGGACATTGCTCGACCTCCAGTTTTTCGCGCGCCATCTCGACCGCGTATTGCTTTGCATCTGTGGATGCAGCCAGAAAGGAGGAAAGACCCATGCTGATGGCTCCGGAGAACAGCTCGGCCAGTCCGGCGAGAATGACGAGTTTCGACGAGCCGAGCGAGGAGAGTCCGGCGGTGAGTGAGAACGGGACGGTCAAGCCATCACTAAACCCGATGATGAAGTTTCGCATCAGGTCATTGTTGTTGGCATGTCGTTCAGAATGAGTGGTGTCTTGCATGATGGATATGCGCTGCTTGAGGTGACGGACTGTTTATCGCTGGGGGTGTGAATGGTCAGAGAACAACTGGAAAGATTTGGACTCTTCATATTTCTACTGGAGGGACAGCTGACAAAAGACCTGCCAGGCCGTCACACTCGATTGCTGCCGCCGCCGTTATTGGTTTGTGTAGACACTTCAAGGCATATTGAATCACAGGGCTCATCTTACACTACGTGTCACCAAATCACGCGAGAAATCTGCAGTCATGATGACCTAGTCGCAACCATAAAGTACTCATCGTCGTCACTGGCGAAGGCGTGGATTGGACGCATCGAGGTGTTGTTGTCGACCTTCCAACCAATGAGAGGCTCTGGATATGTAAAAACCTTACAGATCCCCGTATCGAAACTGCCACGGGACACGCGTGATGATGCATGCTAGACATGATACCCAATGTGTTGATGTTTGACGTGGGATCAGAGAGAAATTGGAAAGCAACCAATCAGCGCGTTGGTTTTGGTCAGCGGATGTCACCACTCGTACTCGTATAGACGTTCTCAAAGCAAAGCCCAATCTCCAACGCACTATGATTGTGTGCCAGTTCTTACATCTTGACCATGAAATTTCGAATCGCTCGAGAGACTAAGGCAGGACGGGAAAGGTGGACGTTGTGCCTGACTCGACAATGTGGCCGCTTTCAGCCCTCATCGGAATTCGACAGAGTAGCTACCATTTTTCAAGTGCAGATACTGCCCCTTTGCCTTCGCTGCTATCGTCTCATCTCCTCGAAGCACTTTGAAGGAAGACTTGAATGTCTCTGGGACTTTGATCGAGGCCTGTGTTCCCATAGGAACAGAGACAGTCAAAGCCACCTTTTCGTCTGTCTGGCTGAATTTGACCTGGATTCTGCCATACGGACAATCAACATGACCCTCCACGTCCTTGAACTCCGAGTCATACGGCGGCTCAATACTAAAAGTCTTGTAGGCGTCCCCCTGCGGCCGTATTCCCAATACGCCAGCATAAAACCACTCATGAATAGTGCAGAACAAATCATGACTCTTGGATCTACACTCATCTTGCCAAAACTCGAGGAATGTAGTCTCTCCATTACGTAAGAAGCGCATGTAACTGGGATGCTCTTCTTGTCTGGCCATTGCTAACACGATGTCTGGACGCTGCAGATCGATGAGGGTTTCGAAGATGCATTTGAGACCGAGTTCGCCGGAGCGGATGCGATTGTCGCTTACGCTGGCGAGGAAGGCGCGTTGTACCGAGGAAACGCGTTGCGAAGGCACCATGTCGAACTGCAGAGCGTAGGCTTGAGCGACGGCTTGACAGTCTCTTTGGCCGATGTTGTCGCGAGAGGTGTAGTAAGCGTAAGGCAGAGTCTCATCGTCCGGGATAAGAAGTTCGCGATTGTATACCTCGAGGACGCGCGCAGCCCAAGTTTCATACTTTGCAGCTTCTTCTGAGTGACCGAGATGTTTGGCCATCATGGCGGTGTTCTGCAGGCACTTGTAGTAGTAAGCGGTTTCGATGTTGGCTTGTAGATTTCCCCAGGCAATGTCGCGACCCCAATCTCCCAGACCGTGCTCGATGAGCCCTCCGAGGCGTTCTTTCGTCTCCATATAGTCCATGTATCTTACAGCGGCTGGGTAGACTTGCGGTATGACCCAGGTGGAGCCGTAGTACTTGACAAGTAACTCGGGTAGCAAACACAACGCTCCACCCCAACTGATTGTGTCGTGTAGAGGACCACACATATATCTGATCTCGGGTGCCATGGTTGGGACAAGACCACTAGGTTCTTGAGCGTCAATCATATCGTATATGATTTTGGTGTACAGTGCTTCCATATCAAACACGTATTGTGACGCAGGTGCAAGAAGATGAGTCACCTCCAGCCAGCCAAATTTCTCAATCTGCGGACAGTCGGTGTGGTAACTGAAGATGTTACTGGACAGCGACCAATGCGATGCCTTGATGAGTGCGTTGACGTCATTCTGGTCGGTCTTCATGAAGCCAATACGCTGTGAGGCCGACGAGATGTGTCTTCCGTATACGGATCGTACAATGGGTAGTCCATGTCCTTCTTCTAGCGCAACGCCTTCGATCTGAATGTATCGAGCGGCAGTGAAGGAAAAGTCAGGTCGCCAATCCTCGGGCCCTCCTGTTCCAGCCAGATATATCTTCGAGTAGACTTTTGTCTCAAAGTCTTTAAACAGCGGGTCAGGCATCAAGACTGTTCCGTCATGATTTGCCGTTTCCGAATATCGGACAATGACTTCTGACCCGGATGGCCCTTCCACAGACAGATGAAGCATGATGGAAGCATTTTGTCCGAGGTCGAAACAGACCACACCATGTCGAGGGCTTGTTGTAAACTGAGGCTTGAGTTTGTCGTGAAGAATGACTGGTGGCTGACTCTGATAGCGCAGCAAGCCTCGAGGTCCGGTCAGAGGCTTTGCAGGACCCCACTCGCTCTCGTCGAAACCTGGCGACGTCCAATCAGAGGGATACAAACGCTTGTCGTGAGTCTCGGAGGCATAGATGTTCGCGAGTGTAGTTGCACTCTTGCGGACCTTCCATGAGGGATCGGTATGGATGATGTCGTGGGTGCCGTCATCATAGAACAAGTGGAGCTCGGCGAAGAAGCACAGCTCGTTGCCATAGCGAACGTAAGTGTTGTCTTCGTACATGGGCCAGAAGAATCGATCTTCCTCGGTACCACTGCCAGCGTAGAAACCGTTGCCGACATGTGCTGCGAGAGCATTATCTCCAGCATGAAGATGTGCTGTGAGGTCGTAGCCGACATACTGAACGGTACGGTGATAGTTTGACCCNNTTGAAAAAATCAGCATGATACAGCATACGGTAACATAGGATGACTTACATCCAGGATCGATAACATGGTCAGAAGCAGGTTGACCATTTACGTGAAGATCAAAATGTCCAAGACCCGAGGCGAGAGCTATAGCCTTGGACGGTTTACGCGACAAGTTGAAGCTTTTACGGATGTACAATGGCTTATCACCACCATCTCCAATCCAAACAGCCTTCCACTTGTTTTCGATGTCTTCAAACCATGTACGAAAGATAAGACTAGAATGTGGCATATACTTCTGATTCATGGAGTAAGGTGGCAGCAGTTGAGATCTGGGATAGGCGGTGAAGAAGGTCTGAACCTCAGAGTGGGAAGCGACATCCTGTTTGTCCCATACTGTCACTCTCCAGTAGTAGAGACATGTTGAGCGGAACCCTTCCTTTGGTTTGCAGAGAATGTTTCGCTGCTCGTTCGTGGGGGTTTTGCCAGAATCCCAGGTTGCGTCGATGTCGGCAGAAGCTTCAGCACTCAAGCTCTGCTCTGATGCAGAGATCACGACTCGGTACGCAGTTTGCTCAGCATACTCGTCGCTCTCAAGCGTCCAGAACATTCGTAACTCATCGACATCGAGGCCGATGGTCTCATAGAAACCGTGGATGCCACAGTTTGCGACTTTCATGGTGGCCAAATCCAATTGCCGAGATGTGGGAAATTGCCGTGAAGCGACAACAACGAAAGTTGCGGAACAAGGGTACGAGTATGTAGCTTTCTTCTCGCCATGCCATGGTCTGCATGTTAAGGCATGTCAACTTGCTCCAATGTTCGGCTACGACGGTCTGAAGATATGCCGACAAGTCTGCAGCTCGCGCGAGATGCAGCGAACCGTTCTCCTAGGCTTGAACTTCGCAGGAGATGCACCGACGCTATTTCCTCATTTGAATGTGCTTCTAGGGCACCCCTCTTACCTACGCGACTTGACGTGTAGATCTCCACCACACTGTCCCCTTTCCAGATGCTTACAGCAGGATTGAGTTCTCATTACTGGTATCATTCTGACTTGTTGGTTGCCCCATGATCGACTTTGCCTTGCTAGTCTCCCGAGTCTCGCCCCGCCCTAGGGTTCCTCCCCATGGCACACATACCGGGTTGATGTGTGGGGAATGGGGTCGAGTAGACCATGCATGTGTATATAAGGGATTGCAGATCCTTCCCAAGGACCGACTCATCATCTAGTATCTTCACTTCCATCTAGGCTACCCTTCATCATGGGCAAAGCAACAGTCATCTTGTCGAGTGCCTTTCTCGCAATCGGTGGCTTTCTTTTTGGTTATGATTCAGGAATCATAGGAGGAGTCATCTCCTTCCCCCAATTCATCGAATACTTCAACAATCCAAACAGCACAGTCACTGGTGGCATTGTCTCGACCTTCCAGGGCGGCGCTGTGTTGGGCACGATCATTAACATGGTTGTCGCCGACCGCTTGGGTCGTAAGAAGACGATTGCTGTAGGTTCAGTAGTCTCCTTGATCGGATGTGTACTGCAAGCAGCGGCTGTCAACATGGTCATGCTCATGATCGGAAGGTATGATGCCTGAACGTAGCATGGCTGGGATCCTTCTGACGCACCTCGANNCAGATTCATCGCAGGCGCTGCTGTCGGCATGCTCACTTCCACTATCCCCATGTATGCGGCCGAGATATCCGAGTCTCGATACAGAGGTGCCCTCTCAGGTGCCCTGCAGTGGTTCCTATCTTGGGGCTTCTTCGCCGCTCAGTGGATTGGATATGGCTGTCAGCACGTCAAAGGGCCCTTCTCATGTAAGTAAGACTCGAGCTTGTGGTTTTTGCCAATCTGACTTTTCGGACAGGGNCGCTTCCCTCTCGCTTTCCAGTGTATACCCGCCACGATCCTGGTTGCTGGTATCTGGTTCCTCCAAGAGAGTCCTCGTTGGCTCTGCGAAAAGGATCGCTGGGAAGAAGCCAGAGCCGTCCTCCAGAAGCTCCACCACGACGGAACTGCAGAGACTGACCAACGCATCGAGCTGGAATTCCGCGAAATCAGGGACGTCATTGAAGCCGACCGCATCAACAACTCGACATCCATCAGCAAAATCTTCACCAAGGCAAGCTGGCGCAAGCGTCTGTTGCTTGGATGTGGCGTACAAGCCTTTGGACCTCTCAGTGGTATCAATGTCATCAACTACTACGGTATGCATGTCCCACATCTATAACTCAGACTGGAATGCTGATGCTGCTTGTTCNNAGGTCCCGAGATCTACAAGATCCTTGGTATCGACAACTCAACTTCGCTCATGATCATCGGTATCAGCGGTTCGCTGTCTATTGTCTACTGCACCATCGGTCTTTGGGCACTCGAGCGCTTCGGTCGTGTCAAGCCCCTCATCATCTCCGCTGCTGGTCTTGGAGCCGCTCTCGTCTGCAACGCCGCCATGTCTCAACATCTAAACCCCAACAATGGGAACATGCTTCGCGCAATGGTCGCCATGAACTTTGTCTTCTCGCTCTTCTACACTCCTCTAGGTATTATCTCTTGGGTTTACCCTGCTGAGATCTTCCCGGTCGAGGTCAGAGCTTTCGGAAACGCGACAACGACATTTACCAACTGGGTACTCAACCTCATCTTTGCTCAGTTCACTCCTCAGGCCCTGAAGACGATTGGCTTCCGCTACTTTTACGTCTTCTTTGTCTTCAACGTGATTGCAATGCTCTGCTACATCTTCTTCTATCCTGGTAAGTTGTGTCGCTGTCCAGACCGTCTGAGCACTCTGCTAACAAAGCTTGCACANGAAACCAAGGGCAAGACCCTTGAGCAGATGGACGAGCTGTTCGGTGACCAGTTGGTGCCTCACGCTCTTGAAGATCCAAAGGGTGCCGCTATTGCCATGGAGAAGAACAACTTTGCGATGCACGAGGAGGTTGTCAGAGATTGAGCCTCCACTTGCAAGACCTATACCGGATACACATAAGTTGTTCGACAATGCGTGACGGTCTCCTCATTGGACTCAGGAAGACGTCTGTAGGTTTCTCAAATAAGGATATTGTAATTCATCATTACCGATTCAACATTTTCTTTCGTTTCCATATCTCCTTTGATCACGTGAAGTACAGGTTACAGGATAGAGAAAATTCAGATGCTGCTGGAGAGGTGCAAACGGAAATTGAGCTATCGAGGACCTGTTCTTCCACGACACATCTGGGATAGACACACTCGGAGCGCAGTACTATAGAGACCCTCAAATCAGACAACTACATCCCGCGAACAGATCCACAGGCTTGAGCATCGAGAACGGCGAGATGTTCCTCGAGGTACTAGCGTAGTACTTGCAAAACGCCTCTGGCTCCTTGAACTTTGCCTTGATCAGCGAAGCCACTGACATATTGCACTGTTTCTTGGGCTTCGGCGAGTATGAGGGGCCGACCTTAAACAGAGGCAACGGTACACTCTTGTGTGAGATCAAACAGCTGCAAGTATCCTTCAGAGTCTTGGCACTCATCTCTGACAAGGGAGATGTGTTGCGGTTGGCAGTCAGGTAGTAAGCGCAAAAGTCGAAGGGATTCTTCATCATCACCCAGAGGAATGCGGTGTGGAGCTTCAGATTTGTGCAAGTGAGGGAACGCTCTGAGAGAGTGACTTTCTTGGCTGCAAGGTTGGAGATGCAGGTGGTGGGTAAAGTCCGTTGGTCGATCGTGACTGTAGAGTTCTTCGTGATGGTGGTAGTGCCGACACTGACCGTAGTTGTAGTAGTGGGGAAAGTGGTGAGGTTGTTAGCCCTGGATTGATGTTAGTTCTGTCTAGGGGAATACAGGTGACGGTGACTTACATGTACACTGTGTCTGTTGCAGTTGTAGTAATTGTGGTAGTGGGAACGGAATAGATGGTTGGCGGTCCATATCCTAAAACAGTTGTTGGTGCAGTAGAGGTGGAAGAGGAAGCGATCGATGAGGAGTTGTTGAAGACTGTACTTGAGCTCGAAGCTCCTGACGAGATCGCGGTTGATGAGGATTGCACCTCCGGTCTGCTTCTCTTGTGCAACGATCCCTTCGCTGAATTGCTGATCTTCGTGGGAGATGCTTTTCCATAGCACGAACAGGCGCTTGATAATTGCGACGCGGGCCAGACCGAGATTGAGCTGGGAAAAGCCAACTTGGTACTCAGAATCTCTCGACAAAGACGACTCGCAACAGAAGGGTAGCTCGACAGCGACTTCAGATCAGCGCCAGTGCTGCAGACGGGCGACGAAGAAGTTCTGCTCAAAGAAGTAGACTTCGATGTGACCTTGGAGCTCGTAGTCTTTGTGACGAGCTTTGTGCTGCTCTTGGAGATGGCTTTTGAGGTTGTCGAACTTGATTTTGTCTTCGAGCTGCTAGACTTCGATGTTGCCTTCGAGTTGCTAGATCTCGACGCGACGCTGCTGGTTTTCGAAGATGAAGTCGACTTGGAAGAGGTTGGTTGTTTGGCGGATGAGCTTGACTTCGAAGATGAACTTGTTTTGTGGGAGGAGCTCGACTTGGACGAGGAATTGATCTTCGTAGACAAAGTAGAAGTGGACACTTTTATGAAGCTCGAACTGATAGCGCGAGCTGAGGAGCTGCTAGTTCTTGTAGATGACAACAAGCTCGAGCTCTTTGACTTCGAGCTTGATGTCGAGCTCGACTTGTGAGAAGATTGTAAGCTGGAACTACTTGAGGATGTAATATGACTCGAGCTCAAAGTGGCTGTTGAAGACGAGATTCTAGAGCTGGAAATGCTCGATGAGGATGACAGGCGGCTGGAAGAAGAAGCGGAACTTCTTGTTGACGTTGACAGAGTGGTCGGTGAGGAAGTCTGCAAGGTTGGGCAACGAGATGCCGGATAAAGTCCAGTAAGTGTCGTTGTAGACGCAACAGTCTCCGTGGTGGCAAAGACCGTCTCAGTCTTAGTTGCCAGATATTTAGTTTGGCCAGGAATTATGATTGTGGTTGTTGCTGGCTGCGGCGATACAGTGGCTGTTGTCCGACCAAAATACATGGCGAATGTGCCTGGGCCATTGTCACCACTTAGGAAAATACTAGGGGCCCATCTCCGATCTGGGTGTTGGCAATAGGGCACAGTATGCTACCATAGGCAGTTGAAGAATCGATTTGCGTGTATGTGGCCATGTATTGGAGTGTACCATCGCCGTATACTCCATATGACTCCAGATGGGAGCCGTAAGAAGTGATCTGAGCAGAACAGGTGGCAGTCTTGACGATTCTGGCAGTGTCTGTGTATCGAGCCTGGATGTCGCTATTCATCGATGTCATGGTCGCAGCAAAACCGAAAGAGTTTGTGTCTGAAGGTTCGACGGTGAAGGCTGATGTGAAGGGGCCAGAGGTATCTTGAGCCTGGCCATAGTAAAATCCGGCGGGACCTGCGTACACTAGTCCACCGGTCAGCTGTGGTGAAGAAAGATATGCACCCATTGTAGTGCTTCGAAACCGAGCTCCAAAGAGAGGGACAGGTCAAAAGAAGGTATCGAAGACACGGAAGACCCCATCCTTATACCCTGTAGCGACACTAACTGTCGGAGACGCCGTGTCCCTATTCGGGCTTAATATCAATGGGAACGTCCTCGGGACTCTGTGCATCACCGGTCGCCTGGGTGTGCGACAACAATGCTCTTGTCTAGAATGGCTCAGATGTGTCCGGCCTCCGAAGTTGAGCGAGACAGCCGTTGTTCAGCTGCCGTTGGAAAATTAGATTTGTGAATAGGATGGACTTTGCGGGTATTGAGATGGTCGACGAGGCATCAGTCGTCTCGTAAGACACCATCCTACGTAAACAGACCAGGTTGAACAACACAGCTTTGACTAATGCGTAAAATCGCATGTCTGCTGTCTGAGGGGTCGACATTTTGTAGAAGCTCAAGGTAGCGGGCTCGGGAATCTAACCGTTGAATCTGAGAGAAACGGTGTTCCTTTGAAGCAATCCGACTTAACGGTCATACAGCTCTAGGCGGCTACCCCGAGCCGCATTTACTATTTTCCTAACCAGGATGTAATGTGAGATGGTTTCATTCCAGCTGGCAATTAGAGGCGTTGATGAAACTCAATCAAGATGTTTTTGGATTGTGGCTACAGCTTTCTCATGCGACACCATTGACATGACTCGAAGCGAAGAATTCATCAATGACCTAGCCGACCTTTGTCACTTCACTTTCCAACACTACTTCCTCGGTGGTCTCGTAATCACTGCCATCCGACGACAGTGGTCTCGTTTTATCATCAAGNNCTGCAGCAAGATTAGCAAACTGCATTTTAACAAGGTAAAGGAGAAGACTCACCTTCTTAACACCAAAGCCAATTGCAACATATGCAAAACACACAACAACCATAGTGATTGCTCCTTTCTTCCAGTACGGCACATCGGTTGCAGGATACATGACGATACCCCAAAACGTGTACAAGAGCTGACCACTCAACGCCATGGTATACAAGATTACCGATCTCGCCGCATCGTCTCCAGTGCGTTGAAGAATGGTGTTTGCCCAGCCATACATGACAGGGTTGACGATGAATGAAGTGCCACTGAGATAATGAGCGGCAAAAATTCCACCATCAGGCAGACGCGGTTGCAAGAGCAAGATAGCGGTGACTAGTTGGATGCTCGCCGCCAATACCACCATGGGAACCCTTTGGCCTGTTCGGTCGATGAAGATGCCAGCGCCGATTTGAGAGACGATAGCCACGGATTGGATGCCCAGAGGATAAGTGGTAATGGCGGTCTGGCTGAACCGAGCCTTGTGGTACTTCATCCAGAGCAGCAACATGCCTTGGAACGCAAATGCCTCGAGCATGCCAGAAATGACGGATAACGAGGCGAGTAGATAGATGTGCGGTGTCTTGAGCACTCTGCCAACCAACGTTTTCCAGTGAATACTGTGACTGTTCTCTTTCCTGGCTCCGAGTCTATCATGCGCAATCTGGATTTCCTCCTTACTGAGATAAGGAGCCGTGGTGGTCTCCGGAAGATTGGGAAAGAAGAAGAAGCCGAAAATGCCAAAAGGTATACCCATCAGGCCATTGATGATGAATACCCACTGATAGCCAGTGAGACCGGCATTACCGTGCAGAGAATTATTCATCGCTGTCATCATGAGCCCCGAGAACAAACTACCAACCTGTCCGACGGCAGTGAAGATCGCAGCTCTCTTGGAGAGTTCAGAAGGTGTATACCATGATCCAAACACATACATGCTGCCTCCATAGACACTTGCCTCGAAGAAGCCCTGGAAGAAACGAGTTGCACACAGACCTTTGAAATCTGTGCATGCGGCAAGACACATGGTCACTCCTGACCAGAGAATCAGATTCAACGGAAGCCAGATCCGAGGTGCGACTTTCTGGATGATCAGCGAGTGAGGGACGCCAGCAACGACGCTGCCTGCGGTCCACATTGACAACAAGATGCTGTATTCATTGGCAACGAGACCCAAGTCCTCACGCAGACCAGAGACATATGCATTGGCAAATGATTGGCGATCAAGGTAGTTGAAGAAGTAGCAGGCACAGCAGTAAGTCTGGATATCGATTAGAGGGCTGTCACAAAACAAGACGAAGAAGATTGGGTAGACACCATGAGGAAGAAATCTGTCGAGATGTCAGCAGCCATTATCAATCGAGTGGAAAAGAAGACAAACCAAGTTTTCTCACAAGTTTTTTCTCAGTCAAAGTCCTTGTCGGGCGGATGCCATCTTCTGTGACTGGAGATCAGTAATAATTATCTGTAAGCAGGTCAAATAGCAAAGCCTACGTCCAAAGAAGCCCATTTTGCCAAAACGTGCAAAAAGGACTGAGTGTCGTCAAAGAAAAGTTATCAGATCAGATCAAGATGATCAGATTGATAAGAGGGATTCCAGCCACGTTTTATTGTTTCATTGCACCAATGACAGAAAATTAAACTTTTCATCCATAGAAAGTCCAGGGGCTGAAATTCTGGGCATCTCACCGAAACTCACGACGTGGTCGTATTGAAGAGCCGGCTCTGGGTGTGTCCTGGCGACACTCAAGCTTGGCTGTTAGTCAAGGATCCTTGGGAGAGCTTGTGGCGTTGGAACGATGCAAAACAGCCGATGAAGTTCGTATTTTTGAGTTTGGGCTGGTGACGATTGACATGGAGAATATTCTCAATGGACAAGCTGGCTATGGACATTTGAACATTCGGTGCACTAGCAATTCTGTAGAGGAACTCCATTTGATCGTCGCGACATTTCGAATCACGGTCGCTGCTTGCGTTGGTAAAACGAATGGACAGCAATCTTGGCACACGGACAAGAACGGACGAGCTGCTACAGCGGAAAATCGTTCGACAACATGTCGATCTGAGTCGCAAGCTAGTCAAAGGGTCTCTCCCGAGCATCAGAGTCCATTCGTAGCATCGACTGTCCTGTAACAAGACACACTGAGCCATGTTGACAACCTTGGGCTATCGATCTACTGGAGCCTGGCAACCCTGTATCTGGCAGACGATCTGACTATGGAACATGCAACATCTTCGCTCGCTGTAGCAACACATACTCCAAGTGTCGACAAAGGACATTGATACAAACTTGCCTGATCTGCTCTTGATAGAGTAGGGTTTATTCCAAGAGAGTGTAGAGTAGTCTACATCATGAAATCCAGCCAAAAGACGATATCATAAGGCCCAGCAACGTCCAATTGCGCCCACATTTGTCTGACCTTTCTCAGTAGATTGTACATTCTCTGGCCCGGTATCCGTCGCTGGGCCTCGCTCAATCTAATGAGTGTCCACTCTCGAGCTCTCGCTATCCTGATGTTGTGAGCAGCTTGATCCATATTCGTAAAGTCACCAGCAAATCGCAGCTCGCTTGACATTGCGAGTAACAGTACGGTCTGGAACGGCGTTGTACCTGATCGTGTTGGAATGGTGGTCAGAGTATCGAGTATGCGTAAAGCAAGTCTGAGCAAAAACCCTTCCGTACTGATGCTGGTTTCGTCCAGTCCCAGCCTGCGCCGAAGAACGTCTGGAAAGACGCGGTAGAGCTGTAGGAGAGCGGCATTGCGGTGGCATTCGGCAATCTTGACTAAATGCTCGATAGGTGTCGCTTCATCGTTGGGGTCTTCGATGTCCTCGGGACCAGGAACGCTTTGATTCAGAATCATGACTTCAAGGCTCTTCGCTTCACATATAAGGGCCCGGATATTTTCAATTTGCTGTTCGCTTGCAAACGAGCGACTCTTAGCAATTTGTCGTTGACGTTTGATCAGCTTGCCCACAGTGAGCAATGCATACGTTATGTGGCTCGAAACTCCTGTGAAAGGATGGGGCAGTCGACGAATTCCAGCAATATCCTCAAAGTACTTTTCCGGTATTTGTATCGCTGGCAGCGATAGGTGGTTCTCTACAAAAGTGGCGTGCAGATGGTTGTACATGTGGAGACCCCAGAAGAATTGTCGTTCTCGATCGTGCAGTCTGATGCTCGTGATCTGCTCCTTGTCTTCTCGTGCATCCAGACTCAAGACGTTCTGCAGCTGTGCCGCGATGGAATGCCAGTAAGTCACGTCTTGAGAGTACATGGCACTGGCTCCCAGCAGATGGAGCGCCATGATAGCCATGGAGTCGTAACCTTCGTTCCTGGAGAGTTGGTCAATGTGACATTGCGCTTCTTGTTGGAGAAGTCTCGTCATTGACTGCAAGCTCGAATCCTCTGTGGATTTGAAAACCGCAGCGAGGCTTTGTGCTGCCCTGATGACAGCTACATGCTTTGTACTTCTAAGCCCGGTGTCCCAGACCTGGGCGACGACATGACGGAAAGGATTCTTGTCGCTAGCAGTATAGCAGCAGAACAGAGGAGTGACCTTCTCGAGGTAGAAGTTCATCAACTCGGTATCGAGGTCTGAAGAAAGCCATTCAGCGTGAGTATCTAACGATATCTGCCATATCGGTGACACCGAGTTGGCAAGCTCCCAGTCGCCAGTGTCCTCTGCGTCCCAGCACCCAGGTATGGTATCAAGAGCTGTGCCAATCAAGTCGAGGGAGTCATTGTCGTTCAGAGGGGCGAACACGGAAGACGCGTCCAGATCGTCCTGCTCGAACGAGAATGCCTGCAAATCATCCTGTTGCACTGGATCTTGATCATCAACTGCACCTCCGAGCGCCTGCTGATCCGTTCTATCACTCTGCCCCGATAGCTCTGGCTGTGCCTGAAATTCTGAGGTACCAACGTCACACCACTGGTATTTCGACTTGTAAGTACAATCAGATTTTCGTTTGACACATCTGAGACAAGAGGGATGCGTTTCATCGCATTTCACCTGCTTTTGCTTAGCATGATGCGGGAGCTCTGCTTTGTCTTGCTACGCACCCGTCTTTTTCTGCACTGTAGACATCCGGTGGTGGATCTGACGCCTCGTTGCATCAGTGATGTGGTGGACAAGATCGCCTCTTCTTGGTCGCTGAGCGATAAGTAGACCGCTGTGCAGAAGCGTTATATGCTAGGTCATGGAGTTTGCCCGCAGTCGTCAGTCGTCTTGAAGGCTGAGGTCCAGTGAAGATAACAGAATGACACGTCGAACCACGTCGTGCGACACCTGTTCCAGCAACGAGCCCCTATCGTCGGAACAAGGGTTCGAGAGCCGGACACGAAGGACTGCAAAGGGTCAGATATGAGTGATAGATACCTGACGAGATTGGACATTGGAGATTTGTGTCATTATGATAACACGGTCTTGTACGTGGCGTGCACTATCTCGCTATTTCCAAAACGACAAAACAACCCCTCACCATCGGTTCGGCCGAAAACAGCGCGAACCCCGCTCCCCCCTCTATAGCTGCCTCTCGACAGAAACAAAAGCTGCTTGCTCCCAGAACGACATTAAACTTTCGAATGAACCAATTTGTTAAAGCCAAAGTAGTCACTCCACTCCAAGAACAACTCGCGCTGACCTTGACGAAGTAACTCGTCGCCCATGGAATACTTCTGCCATGCAATCTCACGGGGAAGCACCCTGCCAAGTTGGCCTTGCAGGATCTGTCCCCTCTTCAAAGCCAACCTCGACGTTGCCAGATCGCCTTCAAAATCGCGACCCAACTCCCAGGTATCTTCATTCTCTCGGGCAGCTGCAAGCGCTTCTTCAAAGCCCCCGCGCTTGCGCATGTCGTCCCAAATCCTGTCGCCATGGTAGTAAGCGTAGTTACCATGCTCTTTTATGATCTTGTCGATCAAACTTCTTGGAACCATCTGTCGGTAGGTTTGTTGCATGTAGCTGACCTGCCGTTTGGCAAAGGTGTGAAAGTCTTCGGTGGAGATGTCATTGCTCTTGACTTTCTCGAGTGTGGTTTCGATCTCTTTCTTCAAGACCTGCAGACGATACTCGGCCCACTCGCGGTGCAGATCCGGGGTGTTGGTCATCGGGCGAGTGTTGGTGGTATAGCTGATGTCGTAAAATCCGTCAACGTTGGCGCGAAGGGACACCACGCTTGCGATCCTCTCCTTGATTCCCTTGCCTCTGGAAGCCAGATGTTCTGTTGAATCGAGTCAGCCAGCGTCTTCAACTGACAGAGAGGTCTGCGATGCTTACCCAANGATACCACCTTGGATGATGTAGGCACAACCATATGTAGGTCCCTCGACCTTTGCGATGGTTCCATCGCCACACTTGATGAACGTCTCACCACCGACCATACCTTCAGTGTGACTCAACATGATGATGCATGCATAAGGATAGGAATCGAANNGCTAGTCAACATTAGCCATGAACAACACCCACAATCTCATAACTTACTGCCAGGGGATGATGGACCCAAACTTGAGTGGGTCAGTGTTTCTTTCCTCTTCGCTCAACTCGATGACCCGATGGTCAGGCTCAACACTGACCTCCTTCTTCATAGCTTCTATATCCTCTGAAGCATTGGTCTGGACACTGACGAAACCCTCTTCGATCTTGAAAATGGGTACCAGTGGTACTTGCATCAACCCAGACAAGATGCCCAGCGTCTCTGGGTGATTCCAAAAGTCGTGAAGGAATTTGGATTTCCTTGCGGCATCGCGGACGACCAGAGTGTTGAGGTAGGGTGAGACGGCACACTCGTTCAAGACTTCTGGTGCAAAGAATGCTCTGCGGTAGGCCAGAACGCCCTCTTCACTCAGTAGAGAGAAAGGGGCTGTTGCAGCGATTGGGGTAGAAAAGTCACGAGGTTCGAGTTTCAGGTCCGCAAGGGAGTATACCTTCTGTGGAGGTGAATAGGCAAGATGGATCTNTCTAGAAGTCAGCCATGTCTCAATTGAGTACTGGTCAATATTTTTCACCTTCGGATCAAAGACATCCTCAAAAGGTCGCTCAGGGCTATGAGAGTGAGGCATGACGTCTACTCAAGAATGATACCGGAACAGAAATGTGTGAGACCAAAGATGTTGGCTCTCGTGATGCAGGAGGGCGGTCTCCATGGTGAATATATATCATCGCTGTACGAATTGGAGAACAACAGACGGCAGACGTAGCTGTGAATCATGGATGACGGCTGTTCCGTATAACGCTCTTGAGCATTTACATGTTCAAGGTTTCAAGACGAGATATCGCAGTCTCGTAAGGAAGACCATTCGAAGCGGGGTCATCACCAGATGTGGATCAGCCGCCAACCGGCGTCGAAGAAGCTTGAACGCGAGCCCATAAAAGTCTGAGTACCCCAGTCATCTCGTCTCGAATTCCGAATGAGGAAATATTGACCCTGGCTCTCTATCGTTCGAGCTTGTGCAGGGCTCGTTCTCGTCAAGAATTTGAGCCGTGTCTTGTTTGGTGTAGCGATTCGCTATGCCGTTGATATGGTGCTCGCCGTTGATTTGGTGCTCGCAGCTACGTGACGACGACTCATGTCGCTCACAAGCAAGGTCTTACTCGCTCTCGCTACTTCGGGTAACCTAGCTGTCAAACCTTCTGTTGAGTGCGCTGGCTTTGGTGCATGATGATTTCGTACTCAGTACCACTGAGAAAGGTCACCAATGTGAGCCGGAAACGTGAGTGGATGAATGTATCTACACAAAAGAGAAAGCAAACATGCGCTCGGAACGTAATAGATTCAACGAGCTTTGTGCGGTAAAATGTAACACTTAGATCTTTCCTTGTAATCCCCTCTACACCACCAAATCCTTGAGCCTACTGACCAAACTCTGCTTGGGCTGATACAGAGCGTGATGGTCTTTGTTAATAAAGTCAGCCGCCCTCTCCGCAACCATATAGACAGGGCTCTGGATCGTGGCGTCCGGGTTTAGTGGTAAGAAACTCGCATTGATGATACCCCGACTGCACACACTGTGGACCCGTAGACGAACATCGACAACACCGACTTCAATAGTCAGTGTCATTCGGTACGAATCACGCCGAGGAGTGAGACGACAATAGTCTTCAATTTTCGGAGGTCGAGGTCAAGACACAAGGGAAAAAAAGAGAGGTAAGCACGGCTGTCGACATGTTAGCTTACAATGAGACAACAAGACAAGGGAACAGATTTACCAAGAAGAAGCCAAACTCGAGATTGGGATGGGCCCTACGAAACTCGAGAGGTTCCTGATCGACTCTGGCAAACCCACCCTCAGCCATTGCCTCAAACTCCTTAACGCCCAATCCAAGTACATTATCAAACGTCTCACCATCCCTCAAGTTGAATGAGTGCGCCGCATCAAAACAGTCCTGCATAATCTGATCGATGTTTACGGAATTGAACGTCGTGTCCGATAATCCTTTAGGAGATTGCCCAACATTTCACCCTTTTCTGTGGATTCCGTATGCAGATGCTGTCGCAGATGATGCGGTACCGCAAGCTCGCGAGAAAGAGGGAGTATTGTTACGCACGCACGAAGAAAAATATCACGATGCTATCTTGCTACGCCAGTACATGCGGCAGAAGGGTTGGACGCTCGCCTTTCACCGACCTGTGCACGTCAATCGTTTACCTTGCGAGTGCAACAGCCACGGATGCGATGCGATGCGATGCTGTTCTTCGTACACAGTGACTCAAGCAAAATGTGAGTGTAGAACATGGATAGGTAGATGGGGCGGCCCTCATTACTCTCATTAACGACATAACTATACTACATCTTCTCTACTCTCTCTTACAATCTTTGTCGCATACCAGCTCCAATCCCGTCTCAATCATTCACTAACAGAAGAGGTTGATACCAAGAGTGCCAGCAGGAGTGTAAGAACAGATAGCCTGGCCAAGAGTCTCATCCAAGCTACCCTTCTGCGAGGTGGCCTTGTCGGCACAAACAGGAACAGAGTCAATGATGCCAAAAGCAAGGGTNNCTGCGAAGAGAAACACACGGTCAGCAGCATATTCTTGAGAGCCCTGCAGGGAAATACTCACATCAACAACGGCCTCGAGAGAACGGAGTGTAGCAGCGACAGGGCCGAGGAAAATGCCTTCCAAAAGACCGGACTTGCCAATCATGATCTTGAGCAAGTTCTGGTGCACAACGACAAACTGATGAGAGACATGTTAGTCACTGGAGATTTTCATGGAAGTAGCATCCCGAGAACTTACGTCGGAAAAGGCATCGCAAACCTGTTGCTCGGCAGCGGTGTCGGTGTAGGGTGCTGTGCCATCCATATCGGTAACGGCAGTGGAGCCAGTCTTGATGATACCCTGGAAGCCAGTGATCACATCGTTGAAGCTGGTGGTCCCACTGCCAGAGCTGGGGCCAAGCAGAGGAACACCGTTCATGGGGTTGATCTTGTTGGCGATGGTGGCGAGGCTCTTGGATTGTTGGGTAAGGCCCTTGAGGGTTTGGACCATCTGGTCAGAGGTGACTGCGCGTTTTTCGATGGGACTGGCGGAGACGGTGGTGGCGAGGAGGGCCACGACGGGAGTGAAGAGAGATGAGAAGTGCATCTTGAAAAGTTGGCTGTGGGGTATGGGTTGGTGGTAGTGGAATAGAAATTGGTAGGTGAGGAAGCTGAGTTGAGGAGTTGATGATGAGAGGAAGAGTAGCTTCCTGGTCCTCTTTATATATCCATAGCTGCATTTGTGTCGACAGATCTGCACAACACACAAGAGGCAATTGTAAATGTGATGTGTATGCGGTGAAGCAGATCTTTAGCGGTCACATTGAGATAGCCAGACGTTTTTGCCAGGATCAGGTCAATGCAAGTGTAGTATCGTCGGCCAAGAGAAGAGTTGAAAGATCTGTAGAGACCGTGTACTGCCTATGCGCTCGTGTTGGCCATGTCTTCGAATCTCGCATCCCAAACGGTATGGCGACTAGCCATATCCGGCCAACGCACAAGTTCGATCAGCATGTCGACGAATATCTTATACAGAAAGGTTCTGCTATGTTGACTACGTGCGGGTCCCAACGTTGTATAGACGTTAAGACGACAATCTTCGCGCCGGGCCGGCGCGAAACCACTCCCACGCTTAATTGCCGATCGTGTACCAAACATCTATAGCGCATCAAAACATGACGCAGAAACGATGGAAGGCGCACATGGCACAATGACATTGGACAGGCGTCAAATAGTCTTGTAATTAAGCTTGAAGAGTTGCGAAACAAGGATCGGCAACGAGCAGCTGGAGTTGAACCGTGCGAAGTACAGCAACGTGAATGCAGAACCCCAATCAGGTAAGCTGCAACATTGATGGACATGATGTGGGTTTGCTGCCTGAGTCATTGGCGATCATACCCTGCTTCTTTGACATTTGGTGCTCGCATGCGACGGTGTGCAGACGCAATGATTGTGCCAAACCTGAATTGGGAGCAAGGGACGACAGATACTTCACTGCTGATTGATCCCTGCCTGAGACTCCGCCGTACGGCCGCAAGACTTGAGACTTTGTGGTAAGATGGTATGCTCAGGTTTGTCATGTTATGTCATCCATCCTTGTCGTTCCCCTTCTGGTGCAGTAAGCAGGCGCCCAAACACTCCAACAAAAGGCGTTCACGGTTCTTGATGAGTTGAATTCCATGCTGCTCCAAACACAGTCGCGCAAGACTGGAAATCTCAATAATCTGTTCTGGCTTGTCCAGCTGCAACAAGGTTCGCTGGTCTAGTGTCATTGGTGATGTAGTCGGATCCCGAAAGTGTTGCTTGATCAGACAAGAGTCGTTAAGAAGTTCGAGGCAAAGTTGCTCGAAGAGATCGCATCTGACAAGGAAGAGCAGTAGATTTGGCATTGACATGTCTCCCAGCCCAAGTGCCATCCACGCGTCGGGACTGTCTAGCAATGCGATCTTGACTGACTGAAGAAAGAGAATTTCTGTGGTCAAGGACGTTTCGTCCAGAACAGCGTCCTCTGAGAGCAGAAGTCGCTCGTATCCGATTTGAGTTCTGTACACCCAGGTGCTGTAGAGAAAAGCCAGGCCACAAATGAGGAGAACAGGATATGGCCACCAGTGAGTCGGAGTGACCATAGACAGCGCACCTGAAACGAGGCAGACGATGGCGGTAACGATGGCATGTGCTTGGGTCTTGCGTATGCGGACCGAGAGAAGTTGACTTGCAACATCGTTATGAAGATGTTTTGACACGGCGCAAACTTGTTTGCGTGCGCGAAGCCAGACATGGACAGACCAACCGACATTGCAAATACCGTAGACGGCAGGCAAGGCGTTGCCGACATAGCCGGACAGCAAGTTACTCGCAAACCAGACCCTGTGATTGGCACCCCCAATGGCCATGTAAGTGCCAACTGCGATGAGAAAGGCTCCAACACCCATGGCAATATCGACACCGGCGCGGTCGAAGATCTCGGTCCCCAGGTCCCGATGGTTGATTTCTAGCTCGGCAGATCTGTCATCACTCATGCTTTCTAGAAGCGTCCTTTCTTCTCTCAACAGTTTCAAGTTCTTCCAGCTGGATCTGGCGTCCCGGAGAGCGACTGTGGACATGACAAGAGCGACTGTGGCGCCGATAACCATGAGTACAATGGCATAGATTGGAACTGGAACTCGGTTGAAGACGTTGGCAGCAAAGTCGCCCGAGTTGGCCAAGTCTAGGAAGCCGATGACAAGAGGCGGAATGCTGCGAATCCGCGGTCGATCGAAGAGGATATATTTGCCGTTGGTTCCACGGCCATAGGTCAGGGCCGAAACAGAAAAGATGTGTTTATCTGCATCTCGGTTGGGGTCCACGGTTTCCTTTCCAAGATCGAGGGCCGAATCGGTATTGCCCGAGGGCGAGGCTCCAGTCGTCATATCATGTTCAGCATCAAGAAATCATGTCGAGTGATGCATTGGTTGATTTGTCTGTTGAAGAGTGTGGAGGGTAGTCGCAAGGGCCGCTTCCACAGCCTGTGCTTGAGCCTTCCGGTCGCTCGTTTCAAGGTCGGCAGCCAATGCAATATCAATGTAATGCAGTCAATGTCGAGAAGAAGCAAGTGTTTCCAAAGTGTGTAGATTATTCAAAGATATCGCGACAAAGATGGCAGGTTCAAAGGGCGTAATGTTTGCCAAGGACGTTCGGCCCAGTGGATTGCGCGTCCAGGGACTTGTATACGAGGTCTATTTGGGTTCAACGTCGGTTTGCCGAGTCATTCCAATGGTCGCTGTGATTATCAAGCAAGGATGAATGTTCAGGTTCTTTATGCATCAAGTGTCGTTTCATCTATGAAATCTATCATAGTTCCGGGATATCTAAGTGTCTTTCGCGTCCAAAAATGTGCCAATCCGTATATACAATCTCCTAGGACTTGATCAACAAGCTGGAGCCAGTCATCTCCTCGGGCTGGGGCAGGCCCATGACGGCGAGGACGGTGGGAGCAACATCACCGAGGACACCGTCAGTCTTCTTGAGGCTGTAGCCCTCGGGGGCGTTGGCCATGACGAAGGGAACCTTGTTGAGAGTGTGCGAGGTCTTGGGGGTGTTCTTCTCGTTGAGCATCTCCTCGGCGTTGCCGTGGTCGGCGGTGATGAAGAGGGTGTAGCCGCTCTCCTTGCATTGCTCGTAGACCTTGCCAATGGCCTTGTCGGTCTCTGTGCAGGCAATGACGGCAGCGTCGTAGACACCAGTGTGGCCGACCATGTCTGGGGGAGCAAAGTTGTTCATGAGGAACTCGAACTTGCCCTCCTTGATGCGCTCGCAGAGCTTGTCGGCGACGGCCATGGCGCTCATCTTGGGCTCCTTGTCGTAGGTGGGGACGCGGGGCGAGGGGACCATGTCTCTGTGCTCGTTGTCGAACTGAACCTCGACACCGCCGTTGAAGAAGAAGGTGACGTGGGCGTACTTTTCCGTCTCGGCGACGTGGCACTGGTGGACCTTTTGCTTGGCGAGCCACTCGGCGAGGACGTTGTCCATGGTCTGGGGAGCAAAGGCGAGGGGGAAGGTGTAGTCGGTCTTGTAGCGGGTCATGGTGGTGAGGTGCATGTCGGAGGGGTAGGGGAAGTCGGGCTTGGGGCTGCGGTCCTGGTCGCCGATGAGTTGGGTGATTTCGCGGACGCGGTCGCTGCGGTAGTTGAAGAAGAAGAGCGTGTCGTTGTNCTGGCGTAGTGTGTTAGTGACGTGGAGACTCAAGAAGATGGGACAGGACATACCCTGGACTCTGCCGTCCTTGGCGTTGACAATGATGGGCTTGAGGAACTCGTCAGTCTCGCCAGCCTCGTAGCGGTCCTTGATAGACTTGACGGGGTCGGACGACTCGTCGCCCTCGCCCTTGAAGATGCCGTTCATGGCCTGCTCGACACGGTCCCAGCGCTTGTCGCGGTCCATGGCGTAGTAGCGGCCGACGACAGTGGCGATCTTGCCGAGGCCGATCTTGTTGGTGTGGTCGAGGACGGTCTGCATGTGGCCGGCGCCGGACTTGGGGTCGGTGTCACGGCCGTCGCCGAAGAAGTGGATGTAGACCTCGGGCACACCGACCTCCTTGGCGACGTCGAGCAGCTTGAGCAGGTGGTTGATGTGCGAGTGGACACCGCCGTCAGAGACGAGACCGAGCAGGTGCAGGCGGCCGTTGCCCTCCTTTGCGCGGGTGAAGCTCTTGATGATGTTGTCGACCTTGTTGAGCTCGCCCTTCTTGATGGTCTGGTCGATGCGCACCACGTCCTGCCAGACGACGCGGCCGGCACCAATGTTCAAGTGGCCGACCTCGCTGTTGCCCATGAGGCCCTCGGGCAGACCGACGGCCAGCGACGAGGCCTCGAGCTCCGTGTAGCCCTGGGTGACCTTGCTGCCGTCCTTGGCGAACTCGTCCATCCAGGGAGTGTCGGCGTTGAGGATGGCGTTACCCTTGTCGGGCGACTTTTCGCCGGCGACACCCCATCCGTCAATGCAGATGAGGACTGCTTTCTGTGCGACCTTGGCCATGTTGATGAGCTGCTGCTCTGTTGTTAGACGATGTTTGTAAGAGCTGAGGCAAAATCGACAAGAAGAAACACAGCAAGGTGGAGGCTGGAGACGACAAGAGAGACAAAGGCATAGGACACACTTACAGTCGAGTGTTATGGAGAGGATACAGGTGATGGAAAGACAACTGGTCGTGTCTCGTGGATTGATGAGGGGCTGTTTTTCGGCCTTCAACCATCGGACAAGCTTGGACCATCTGACTTCATTTTTCGGCCCGCGTTTTTTGTTGACGCCCATCCCGATAAGCTGATAACGACCTTCCCTTGCTTTCCCTTCCACCAACACGACCACTTCCATCACCTGAATACCTGACAATCAAATGGCTGCTCGGAGACGATAGTCCAGTCACCACTTCTACCACGTCGACACTGCTGCCGGGGCTTGACGTGTGATGAACCGGAGATGCAATGACTCGGCTTGCACGCCGCAGACTTGTCCAACTATTTTGATCAGTCTCCTGCATGATACAATCTTCTAATCACTCACATCTGCATCCATACTACTCTGCGGATCACGACTCCCACTACATGCATTTGTCTGTGTCTTCGCCATCGGACTGTGTCTGTGCACGTGTTCTACTCTCGTACTCTTCGGCCTCGAAGACGATTGTGGGCCTACCTCTTTCCTTACGCGCATTAGCATGAACGATACTGCCGACTTGGCCGCAATCCTGCGTATCACAATGCTCAAGTGCTTCCACAGCCGCCATACATATGTACCACACTATCACTTGTTTGGGGTGTCCGCGGGCGCCGAGGGCCGAAGGACTGGCAGCCTGGTTGCTACAACCAAAGGCAGCCACTTTCTTTTCAATCCAACTATCAGTTCGGTTGTCTTGGCTTCCAACTTTGCTTGCGTGTACGCTCTAGAGAGACGAGCAGCCTACTCTGTTCCCGCGGCCTCCGAATACCATTCCGGCGTCCCCTTTTCGTTTCCCGCCAGGCGGACGCTGTCACCTTACAGGCTGAAGGGAATGGTTGGTAAGGTGAGCAAATCTTGCACATCAACTTAGCATGTATAAAGACAAGATGATTCTCAACATTGTTGGCCCGCCAATACACAACATCTCCGCTCTTTGGACCCCCACCAAGCTCACGCGCGATTCGAATCTACCGAAGGTTTGACATACCATTACATTCAATATACCTCTGAGGACCATGCCTATCCGTCCGGCAACGTGGGCAGATCTCAAGCCAGGGGCTCGTACCGCTGCGCTGGCCTTTTGGGAAGACGAGCTTCATGGCGCACGCTTACATCCCCATCGATCCAAACATCCCAAAAGCTTCGAGCGATTCTTCTTACACCACCTGCGCGAGAGTTACTTCGATGCCGGCACTTATGTCTGGGTCTCTCATCCTGAGCATCACCCTGAAAAGCTCACTGGAATGACCGTATATACGCGCACCGGGGACGGCGGCAAACGCCTGCAAGCCCGCCAATCCTGGCTACACTGGCTGATGAATCGATTGATACGTCCAATCTACCACAAGATCGCTTGNCTCATTCATCCAAACAACGCTGCCGATGCTGCAGGCTGGAGAGACATGGAAAACTCCTTTCCGACTATGGAGCANAAAAGGCCAGGCTACGACGAGACATGGGATCTGGTGTTACCTTTCCAGGCACCTCAATATCAAGGTTGTGGATACGGCACAGAGCTGGTCCGATGGGGACTTGACCAAGCCAAAGAAGAAGGCATTCGTGTCAGTTTGGTGAGCACGAAAGGGGCGGAAGGCTTTTACATCCGACTGGGTATTGATGAACATGTCGGAAATGCTTTTGGGGGTGGAGAGAAGAATTCTTTCTCCGACTCTGGTGGCGGAAAGATTCGATTCTCGAGAAAGTTCGACAAGGCAGTTGAAGAAGTCTAAGATCTTGGCCTTTGTCCAGCTCACAAGAACTCGGGTTCACAGATTTGGACTCTGTGCCTATCATGGTGCTGCGATTGATGGCCGTCCTATTAGACTCTCAGTGAGTGAACTTTTACAGCAAGGCATTATACTGTGAAAGCCTGGGTTATTGACAAATTCGAGCACGCCGAGGTTAATCATGATGTTTGAGCATCGCAGCACCATACATGCTGCGCCATGCCCAGACTTTGGTATACGTAGGAAGCTTACGTCGTCGACCTCGCATACGCCTCGATCGTTTGCCAAGGCGAGAGCCACGCGGTGGTGGAACGCCTCGTGGCTGTCAAAGAAACGCCCAACGGTCGACTCGACGAAACGTGCCAAGAAGAGGTGCCGAAGACATGCGGACGGAATCGATTCTCTAAACTGATAAAGGGAATCGATTGTTGCTTTTACCGTCGCTTTTGGATCGCTTATCGTGAGCCACAATTGACACGAATCATGCGAGCAAGAGTTACAGGGTCGACACTTGGATTGCTTGGACATGCACAACTCGTTCATGGCTAATAGGGGCATGGATAAGGGATTGGAATGAAGTGCATTGTCGTGATCTGATCAAAGTATGACAAATGTCATCGCTATACAGATTGCACCTGCTCATAACCCAACATCCTCGTCTTTCTCCAGCGCCTGATCTGTCGGATCCCTTCGTAGCCAATGACGAAGAGCGCGAGGGCTGCCACAGAGACCATCGCCACTTGCAGTGAGCTACTCGCATGTATCTCCAGTCCACCAAAGACACCATTGACACTCACTATCCATCCAGGATCGACAGTCTCGCTGATCCCAAGCACCTCCCCATCCGCGTTTACCGCAACAACACGCAAATATGGCAATTCACACGCCTCAATCGTCAACTCGGTCTCGAACCCTTGTTTTGCTGTCATAGAAACATCTTGCCACGCCTCATCTGTACATGCACTGTCGCTTGTTTGTTGCAACTTCCAGGCTGTAACCTCTGTAGCACCATTCCAACTGACAAACACTGAAGATTGAGTTTCTGGATCTAGAGTTATTGCTGGTGGCCAAGATGGCTCGCCTTTCCATGGGGCTTTGAGTGCGCGGTAGGATTGCACGTCACCCGTGCCCCACGAGGAGATTGTGGAAAAGTGATTGTCGCAGATTACTGTGCCGTTGGCGCAAAATTCGGTGTATACGCCAACGTAGCCGTATCCTAGGAGGATTCGTGGGTCGGAGGTTGTGTTTGAGGGAATGACTTGCATGCTGCCTTGGCTTGAAGAAATGAATTGGGCGGGGTGGATGTATTCTTGGATGAGTTTTGCCGTGTAATTGCTTTCTGTGGTTGAGGAGTATGTGCTCGGGTATGTGAGTTCGACAAGCACACCACGAGAGGGTCGATCTCCGGTCCCTTCGTTGTCGGCGCCATTGTCGAAAACAGAAACCAGTATTTTGGTCACTCCATCTACATCTTTTGTCGGATGCAAGTTTATCTCATCTGCCAACAAGACAGCAAACTCTGTCAAATTGTGGAAACGAGCAAAGTGTTGGTATGCGACGTTAGTCGCTTTGCTGTTGCCCTCACTCAAGTCGTCAAAGTTGTTGCGCTTGCCTCCCAGTATCCAGATGATGGCGCCGGTGCTTCCATCAACGTAGGTGATGGTATGCGTGTACCTTGCCGAAACCAGATAGTTGCCAAGTTCGTCCTTTTCAATACTGTTCATGTGATACCAATCCCAAGGACGAGAGGATTCTCTTCCCTCGTCATGGATATCGCGAAATGTCTCGTTTAGACTGTGATGTTCAGATGCTCGCCACTGGAAGACCAGCTCGTTGGTCTCTAGATCTATCTCCTGGAAGAGGCAATCCCAGATCCAGATGACATCTGTATCGTCCACAAAGCCAGGGACAGTGATGGCATAGACCTCATAGACAGTCATGATAGCAGTGCCTCCTGGCGTAATGACCAACTCGTGCAAATCTGCCCGTAACCCATTCACCGCCGAGATCTTCGCAATCTCCTCGTATCTTGAGTTATANNCTTTCGTTTCTCTCGTCAGCAACCACGTGTGACTCATGGGAAAGTACATGAAACAACGAACCACGTAATAGTCGCCTTCACCATGTCCGCCGATACCATCATTTCCGACCCAAAATGTCAGAACTTGCTCTCCCTGATATTCTTGAACCTTCAGATTGTACCCTTGGCCATCGACAGTATGCTGCCAGACCAACTCGCCATTGTTGTCCATGATCGTGACTGACGGATGTGGCACTTGGTATCCTCGAGGCGATAGAAAGATATAGTTGTCATCATGACACTGTGGTGAATCGTTCGGTCGTCGAAGAATGGGTGACACAAGGTCAGAAGACTGGAAGGTCTTGTAAGGATACGAGCCAAAATCATGCTCAAAGGCTGGTATGTTCTTGGTATCGAAGTGTGCGCCGACATCTGTCGCACTTGTTTGAATCGTTTGAGATAGCGTGAGAAGGCCAATTAGAAATGACCATTCAGGCATGATAGCAGGATAAGCTCCCAAGTCCAACAGATATAATGTGATGAATCTGCAAAGAGGTAGAAACACAGGTATTGAGATCGGTCAGACAGTGTAGAGGTGAAATGAGATGGACAACGAAAAGAGCACAGATTAGCGACACTGAGCAAGGACAGAACGCGTTACCAGTATAAGGACAAGATGTCGTAGACATCCAGCACAAAGGAATGATAGCGATTGAAGTACACGACAATTGCGTGTCTGAGCCACCTGAAGACCTCACTTACCAGTATGATGGACATTGTGAAACTTGCCTGTACCCACACCTCACTCGGCAAGGATATCGTAGGGTCCGACAGACCATCTCTACGAAACTTTGCAGACGATCCCGGGATGATCGATCTCAAGTCAATGTCTACAGAGGGTCCCTAGACTTCTTGCCCTGGAAAAGGAGGACTATGGAACCTTGGATAGGCACGAGCAACAACAGCCACGCAAAAGAAGCATGACGACGGCGACTCAGCCTGCATGTGGGCTACAACAGCAGTCTTTCAAAGTCGACAACATGACTCACCATTGTCGAAAGAGATTCTGTCGAACCATGCGCGACTCGTCATCCTTGTGGTGCATCTCCCGGGAGACGGAGCCGTGCAAGGAGGATTTTCCCATGCCAAGCCTTGTGCGACGCGTCCACATCTGAGATGTGGGTTAGCTCTATAGCGGACGGCGAGATTGCATTGGATGTTATGAGACACAACTGAGAGACTACGTTCGACCTCGGTTCTTCTTGCCTGCAAATCAAGGATGATTGAGCTTATTTTTGTTTAGATTGCTTCATTCCGATTTGGACATTGCCTTATGGAAAGGCTCGTGTTGACAGTCTTCCAACACTGCAAACTCATGAATTTGTGACTGCGAGAAAAACCAAGCTACATCGTCTATGATCACTACTGTAACTACGGTTGATAAAAGGTGCTTTCTGTCCTGAACCAATTCAACACACACACGCGCACACAAGTTATAAGTTCATTGTAGTGTTGAGATAGGGAGCCAAGCCAGGGTGTTCCGCCCAGCCTGTCGTTCTCCGTCTGTCGATCTGATTGGCTTGTTCGCTAGAGCGGGAATCGACGGCGAGGCGTTGACAAGCCCTAAGTTTGCAGCTCTATCTAGTGGAACACGCGTTCCTGACTCGAGGAAGAAAGAGAAAGCGGTATCGGATCGCATGTCGGAGGAAGATAATTTGAAGCTGCAGGAGGAGACAAAACAGAGTGTGGCAGCGATCGTTGGTTTGGATCGACAAGATCTGTGAATGATGAGCGATAGCTGAAGAATTCGAGTATACAACTCCAAGATGAAGCATCACGAAAGGTCATAATAAGCATTCTCGTATTCGCCGTCGCTCTGATCCGCTACGATTAATCAGATCCGATGAGCCTCCATCAGTATTCCTCACCGGACGAATATGTCGTCTTATGGAACTTGTGTCTTTCGTTCCACTTCCCCACCACAGATGTTGTGAGGCGCAGTTCTCGAGATTCTCCCTCCCCTTACCATATATGATGTTGATGAAAGCATACGTACTCCACCACCGGCGCCGGCATGTTATGCTTTCGGTTCTTCTTACGATATAGCTCTGGCCCGACGGAATGGCGCCGCCATCAACGCCGACAAACTGCTGCAATAGGAAATTGCGTCGCGTCTCGAGTTGCAAAGACATGTAGGAAGATCGTCTCCCTGACGTCGCTGTCGTTTCTTTGTCGGTCGCGGCCGACGCACCTCGGGGCTATGCTTTCGAGGGCAGACAAATCGATTTACCGGGCTTGACAGCCGGAGGGAAAGCTGCCCTATACTTGATAGCTCCTCCAACCTTCGCGTACAAAAACGCGTTTTGTCTCCTTGCCTTTTCTTCCCGAACACGAGGTCTGCCGTGGATCGGTTCGGTGGGACTCCAGAGCTTTGTCAAACAGATGCATAAAACGGATCAGCTCCCTTGTATAATGACCGAGCCAACTCGATTGACACCACACAATGATAGTGCATCACACGATCGCAAGACTGGAGGAGCAGTCACTGCAGCTCGCCGCCATGGAAACCTCGAAACTATCCGCAAACAATCCGGCTGGTCGGACTTTCCCTCTTGCATACCCATTTCGATGCGAACAACAAAAAGCGGCAAGGTCACCGAGTTCGGAAACACCAAACTTCGCATTATCGAGCGCATCGCCGTATCAACAGACTTTTTGAGCGCACTAGATTTCCTCAAGATCAAGACGGAGGGTGGTGAGAGATTGCTCAGTCTCAAGGATTTGGAGCAGTGTGCAGCGCATTTTGACAATGGCAAGAAAGCAAGACAGCAGTCGAGGGAACGAGGAGGATCCAGCTCTGCAGCAACGAGCACTGTCGTCAGTCAAGCGGACGAAAGTGAACCGAGCTACCAGTCCATGGCCCAACCTCTAGACTCCTGGAACGGCTTCACCCTCGACCAAAGCCCGACGCCTCTGCAGGTTGCAACCTCCATGCAGCCGCTCAAAAGACCTAGTCCAGAAACCTTCCAGAACATGTCTGTATCACCGGTGGACTCAAAACGACCTCGCATGGACACGCTCTTCGATACTCAGCACACAGACTTCTCATACCACATGTCCGAGGTGGAACTGGGCAACACAGCGAATCTGACCGTCCCTCAGCGGTACCATTACCAAAGCAACATGAACATGCGGGCCTCACCAAGCAACGCATCTCCACGATCACCATCCCAAGATCCGGCGAGGGCATTGTTGAGCATCCACCCGCACGCCGGAAGCATTTTCTCAAACCTCAACACGTCATTCGACGACTTGCTCGCCCGAATTGAAGATCATCAACAAATTGTCAAGACCGCGCTAGATCAACTTCGGATGGCTACAAACGGTCTCAGTGTGGTGTCTGGAACTTCCCACAGCGCCAGTGACCGGGATTTGGAAAACACATTGAGAACAGCACAGAGAAAGGAAGCACGCGCCCGTCAAGATCTGGACCAGGCGAGGTCAGCAAGAGACGTGATTGATGTCGAGTATGGTCACATCGGTACATCACTCTCTCGAGCGCTGGTGGACACGGTGCGAGCCGAGTACTCACGCGCAGGAGTGGCAATGACACAGGCCCAAGCAGATGTCGAGGCTGCAAGGCAGAGACTGAGCAATGCGAACAACCGGGAGCAGGTCCTGAAGAGGACGAAGGATGTGGCCGAGGTTGGCATTGATCAGCTGCAGCGGCAGACCAGGTTCTGGTTGAAGAGGCTGGCAGAGGCGGGAGTCAAGCTGACAGATCAGTTGGGCACATTGCAAGGAAGCGATACAGGTCAGATGCCGTCGCAGATGTGAAATCATGGTGGGATATGAATTAATGTTGTGGGTTGGTATAAGTCATCTGCCAAAACTGTACGAGTAAAGATGTAACCATGTACGATGACGAAGCAAGAAACACAGATCCACTACTTGGCCAAAAGTTGAACATTTTTCCTCACCTCGTCGGCCTCGTCGAAGACCAACCACATCTTGCTTTCGAGTCCTTTGAAAGCCTTCTCAAAGCGCGCAGTAGAGTTTCTGTCTGGGTTCAAAGCACCCTGAATCTCATTTTCATCTGGCACACGGCGAATGTAGATGGCTTTGACCCAGCCCGGATGGCGTCTGGCAATCTCGCCATAGGACTCTGGGTCTTTCTGCGTGCTGTCGCCAACGCAGATGAACTGACGTTGAGGGAACCAAGTATGCATCTTCTCCAGCCTGTCCACTTTGTATTCTTGCACGTTGACCGACAAGCTGCTGATTAGGCCTCCTAGATTTTGCCAGGAAGCGTCGCGGAGAATCATGGTGCCATCAGGGAAATGCTCTTTGCGGAAGTTGCGCAAGAAAGGGTACAGATTGTAAGGGGAACCTGAGAGGTAGAAGAAGATGGGGTCGGCAAGCAGCTTCACTAGATCAGAATACAGTTGAGGCATGCCATATACCGGCGTGGGCGCATCGATAAAGGTTGACTTGAGGACGGCGATAGGAGACAGCGTGCCGGTGATCTTGATGGTGTCGTCAATGTCCGAGATGACTCCCCAGCCTGTGAGCTCGGCCAGCACGGTGCGACCAGGAATTGCAAAGCAAGGTGAAGGGTCCGAGACGGCGGTCGTTGTGAGTTGCGTTCCAGCAGGTGCATCAAAGTGCAGGCGGAGCAGATCAGAGGATATGCCAGACGAAGTTGACGGACCCAGGGTTTGAGTCTCAGTGTCGGCAATCTTGACGCGGATCGTGTGACAGGGCAGGATAGGGTTCAGGAAAGGCTCGAGGCGCTTCTTGATGGGAGTAATGTCGAGCTTGTCCTTGATTTCACCCAGACACTCTTCTTCGCTGGCAGTGCCTCTGACAAGACCAACCAGACGAGCAATGTCGGCAATAACGTGTGATGCGTCGCGACAGGTCTCGCGCGAGAAGTATGCGGCTACATACTCGACTTCCCAGGATGGCGGAGGTAGAGGTTCGTTGGGAGCGGCAATGAGTTTCGGGTCGGCCGTGTGCTTGTCGACTTTGGAGTTCTGGGATCTGGTAGCAGTTAGAGGATGTCGCCGACAGCTTGAGGGGCTAGCGCACGGCTGGACGCGGTGTGCAGTGTTGTCAAAGATCCAGACACTGTGCTGCGCAGGGTCGACTGGTCTCGGTTTTGTCCACGGAAAGGTCAAGAGTAAGCGGCCTGAGAGGTCAGGCATGGATTCGAGGAGTTCTTTGGGGACGTCCGGAGAGAAGGGCGCGTCCTTGCGAAGTTGTAGACTGTCGACGACGGTGACGAGAGCGTCCTGGGCGGTTTGCAGCGCAGGGCGCAGGTAGGATTCGAGGGAGCTCATGATGGGGTTTTGTAAGATGGTGTGCTTTGGAGTCATAGGAGGGAAAGACAGATGTGAGGCAGACGAGAAACATGCAGTCGCATGTCGTGGTGTTGGGAAGGAACAGGCAGCGACAAGCCAAGACGATGTGGATTGCTCATGAGGCAGGAAGGCGGTGATGCAGCTACCATGTGGCTTGAGGAGGGACTCACATCGATACTGTACCTGGAATAGCTTGCATAGCAAAGCTGAAGCTAGAGAGACAATCGGCTACATTCTGACACTCGTGATGCAGCGACAAGTGCTCCGCAAACAGTTGTGCAGGAAGGAGCCAAGAGCTTGGTCTTATACTTTGGAGGTGATGGGCACATATGAGGTCAAGTGCACTCAAGGGGACGCCGCGACAGAATTGAAGGTCAGCGCAACATGTCAGAGGTGCCTGGTGTGAAGACCAAAAAGCAGAAAGACAGCGAGTGACGGGGCAGAAAACAGGGTCGTGTTCTGAAACCAAGGCAGGAACGATCCCCGCACGGAGAAGCCAAGCAGCGGGATGCCCTTGCCCATCAAGATTCAAGCACCGTGAACCTTTTGCTCCTTCCGTGTCAATCTGACAATCTTCCCGACCAGACCATTAGTCACTTTCGACTCCAGGCCAATTCTCGATATTCTTCGACGTCAATTGCAATCGCTTTACTCGCCCGTCAGCACCTCTCTACGTGAAACACGACCTTCTGGCCAGCCGTCGTCTCCTGATCACGACCCCGCTTGCGCGGCCTCGAAGTACAAAGAGAGCGTCTCACCCACGTGCATTGAGAAGAAACATCCACGACCATGTCACAAGCCCAGATTCAACCGTGTCGCTATAAGACTGGCAAGACGCTTGGCGCTGGCTCCTACTCGGTCGTCAAGGAGTGCGTGCACATCGACACTGGTCGCTACTATGCCGCCAAGGTCATCAACAAGCGTCTGATGGCAGGTCGCGAGCACATGGTGCGCAACGAGATTGCCGTCCTCAAGCGCGTGTCCATGGGCCACCAGAACATCCTCACCCTGGTCGACTACTTTGAGACCATGAACAACCTGTACCTCGTGACCGACCTGGCCCTGGGCGGCGAGCTGTTCGACCGCATCTGTCGCAAAGGCTCATACTACGAGAGCGATGCCGCAGACCTCATCCGCGCAACTCTGTCCGCCGTCGCATACCTCCACGACCATGGCATTGTGCATCGCGACCTCAAGCCCGAGAACCTGCTCTTCCGCACTCCCGAGGACAATGCAGACCTCATGATTGCCGACTTTGGCCTGTCTCGTATCATGGACGAGGAGCAGTTCCACGTCTTGACCACGACCTGCGGCACACCCGGCTACATGGCTCCCGAGATCTTCAACAAGAGCGGCCATGGCAAGCCCGTGTAAGCTTTCCTTCTACTGCCAGCCTCTTCTTCTGCTAACACTCTGCCAGCNGACGTGTGGGCTATTGGTGTCATCACATACTTCCTCCTCTGCGGCTACACGCCCTTTGATCGAGACAGCAACCTCGAAGAGATGCAGGCCATCCTGGTCGCCGACTACTCGTTCACNCCCCTCGAATACTGGCGCGGCGTGTCGCTGTCCGCCCGAGCCTTTATCAAGCGCTGCCTGACCATCGATCCCACGAAACGAATGACGTCGCACGAAGCTTTGAGCCACGACTGGATCGCTGGACCCGCAAAAGACAGAGGCAATGAGGATCTGCTGCCCACCGTCAAGAAGAACTTCAACGCCAGAAGAACCCTACACAAAGCCATCGACACGGTTCGCGCTATCAACCAACTAAGGGCAGGTGGCGGTATGGGTATGATGGATGGAGCTCAGTCCCACCGCCCTGAGCGTGTTGACACTGCCGCGCCCAAAGACAAGGACGGCGACGTCAACATGGACTCGAAGCCAAAGAGTCAAGCTGCGACTGCCGTCTAAGGTTCCATTCGTTCCTTTGCTAGCGCACAGCGTATCTCCCTGCTTTTCCCAGGCCCAGCAGACCGTGGATCCTTTTCTGTATACCCCTCCACATCTGCAGACAGCATGCTTTTCATTCAACATAATATCCATTCATCATTGTCTTCTCATATAGCCAATGGCTACCACAATCTACTTTCATGTTTCTATCACGGACGAGTCATATACACCCGAGTCATCATATTCAATGCTCTTGTCTGACCTTGATGGAATGCCTGCCAATTGGACCCTTGCTCCACATGCAGTCGTCCCATAGATATGCGCTTGATCCCTGATCCTGCATTTCTAATAACTTGCCTTCATTTCCTTCTCCGCCAACAGAATCGAATCTGCACAACTATGTTTGCGCAGAGAACTTGTCTGGTTGTTGACAAATTTTGTCAGATTATTGACCTTACCAAGTCGACAGACCTTGGATACGCCGCTGCCATGCAATCTCTGAACAGACTCGGTACATGCGCCCCCGCCGCAAAGGATGTGGAGTTCTTGTTGAAGAATAACTCCATCACTGGAGGTGTGTTTAGTGTTGACGATAGGATATCTGCAAGGTAGAGCAGTGTCAGATTATGGAACGACTCCTGATCTCGAATCACTGCCGACGTGTTGATGATCATGCGGGTCCCCAGAGCGTGATGCTCTCAATGCTGCAAGTGACCGTATCCACGTCCACACTCGCCTGCACACCAACCACACTGACATTGGTCGCACCATTGTAGTTCCAAGGATACTCGGTGCAAAACCCTGTATCACTTCCCGTAGCAATCTAACAAGTCAGTCTCAAGATCATTCTCGAGCAAGAAGCAGCGCACAAACATACCAAAACTACATCCTCAAACACCACCGGACCAAAATCCCAAGCTCCATACAATTCTGCTGCAAATGGTGCATCGTTCATCACTTTGTCGGCAATGGGAAAAGTGTTTGTCGCAAACGCTTCTCCGCAGTTCTTCTCAATTACACTGACCCACTGTGTCGCATTCGCGTCGCGCGAGTTGTTGAAGAAAAGCACATCGCCCCCGTTGGCATTGAAACCTCCACCCCATGGAAGACCTATACTAGCATCAGCAGTCACACAAACAAGCAAAATATCCATCTACGAAGACTCACTGGGGTTTGAGCAACACCAACCACTCCCAAACCACCAACTTCCTGACCTGCCATCGAGTACGTTTTGGTACACGCCCGAGTTATCGGTGCTTTGGAGGCCTGGCCAGAGGTAGTTTGTTGCTGCTTCGTGGATCGGAGGTACGATCATGTTGCCTGATTGGCTGATGAATTCCTGTCCATTTGGTGTGGTGAAGGCGACGAAATGCCAGTCTTGGGCGGAAGCGAGGGTAGTGGTGAGAAAGAAGGTTGTGAGAGATGACTTCATGGTTGATCACTTTGTTGGCGAAAGAGAAAGAGGACAGCGGAAGATAGATGTTGCTCGACATATGGAGATTGTGGTGTGGCAAGCTGTATAGAGTTCTCGTGTACAACGCATATAAAGACGTTTTTCTCGAACGGAGTTGAAACTGTGTAGCGGAACTCACTCTCAGAGCGGAGGCTCTAGTAGTATATGACTCTCTTTCGACAAGGTCGATCCAGAACTTGGACGTTGAGACCTGCCGCTTCTGTGATACAACACAGCATTGTGTTCACAAGAGCATCCGGGTCTGTCAAGTCCGACATCACTATCGAGCCTGGCAGTGCAAGAGGGGTTTCTAGTCAGGAAGGCAGAGATAACTATCACTTGTCACAATAAGACGACCGAACATTTCCTCTATATGTTCAACATATCTTACCAATGGATAACCAAATACGACTTATCCTCACAAGACGTTGTCGCGGAGCAAAGAAGGTTTGCGGCTTTGATCTGGCGGCATGTTACCAAAGTCAAAATGCGACTTTTGGCCATCCCGAAGCGATTTCGACCACTTCTGGCGAACAACGATAGCCGGGTTTCTGCGACCCGTTTATCATCCCTCACATCGATCATACATCAAAATTTGCGCACTAATGGCCACAATTGGACGAATCGCATACGATGTAGCGAGCTTCACCTGCGCCTTGTTTGTCCTCGAATTCGGCGCCGACAAGTTCATCGATCATACCGCCATTGTTGCCGAACGCACAGGCATTCCAGAATCAGTCATCGGCTTACTCACTGCCGGCGCAGAATGGGAGGAACTGGCCGTGGTCATCGTGTGCATCTTGCGCAACCGATCTTCTCTCGCCATTGGAAACATCATCGGCTCGGGCATCTCAAACATCCTCGGTGCCTTCTCCCTAGGTCTGTTGTTTCGAAGCGATGGAGAAGTCATGATGTATGATGCCAGTGCTAGGGTGTATACCCTGGGCATGCTATTGATCACTATTCTGGTTGTTGGTGTGCAAGCTTTTGACTCTTTCCTGGCAACGAGGATCTTTGGAGGAATCTTGATTGTGATCTTCGTCCTGTACATTGGCTCTGTCGCTTATCTGATCTTCAAAGGCCGCTTGACTGCGCCTGAATCAGACAGCGATAGCGACAGCGATGATGAGAGCGTCGACAACGAAGCCGTGGGAAATCATGTCAACTCAAGAACCCCTCTTCTGGCAACGGGACAGACAAATCCAAGCTCACGTCAAAGGCACAGCATAGCATACCACACAGCGGTCCTGCTCTTTGGCTCCCTGGCCATTCTTCTGAGTAGCTTTGTTTTATCCAATGCCTCCTCGTCAATCGCCGAAGAGAGTGGCATGTCAGAAGTCCTCTTTGGAGTGGTCTTTCTGTCTATTGCAACAACCCTGCCAGAAAAGTTCATCGCCGTCATGAGTGGCAGTCGCAACCGGACGGGTATCTTGGTTGTAAATACCGTTGGCAGCAACATCTTCTTATTGACCTTGTGTATGGGAGTATTATGGGCTAGCACGGCAGGCGATTATGACGGAGGTACCGTCGACGTCATTGAGCTGGGTGTCCTCTTGGGATCTTCACTCTTCATGACATTAGTCGTTTGGTTTGGTGGTCATTGGAGTCGTTACGCGGGCCTGGTGATGCTCGTGGGATACCTTGCTTTCTTGGTACTTGAGTTTACAACTATTTACCATGGACACAAGAGTTCCAATCGTACCATGAATTGAGTTCCGAGGGCCAAAGTGTGTCGATAGATATTCGACTAAGGACTTATGAATGCTCGCCATGGTCCTCCAACTCATCCTAATGGTCTGGATATACTCCCCCTTCCGTACGCGCAGCTGCCGCGAGCTGTCGTCTCGGAGACCTCAGCCTTTTGATTCGACTCTCGGGTCTTGCAAGCCTGGCTACTGGAACATCTCCATGCGGAAGCCTGAGTGACCCCTTCCAGTGTCCGACAACTGACCTTGGGCTCGCACAGGTTCATGGCGTTCTTGATCGATATGTCTACTAGATATCCCAGTCGAAATGGATGCAGACCATTGCGGCTCACATTAGATTCTAACACACCACCCAAATCATCGAGACTTGCGCTCAACCCTCCTCCAAGGTCTGGTCGCCGGAGCTCGACCGCAACTTTTCGTCACCGCCACCGCCCCGAGTCGTCTGGATACCCCAATGACCATTCCCGATGGCCTTACCTCGGAACTTGATGAGAAGCCCGACAACCATCGGACCTATGATGGTATTGAGCAGAATTGCCCAGACGGCAGTGTAGAAACCTGCGTCGCTCACATACGGGGTTGAGTTGTACCCAATCTCGACGATGAGCAATCCAATCTCACCACGAGCGACCATGGCGAATCCAAGGAGTCCGGCGGAAGGGAGGGCTGAAGACAGCGGCGGTCGAGAAGCATCGGCTTTGGGTTTGGCAAATGAGTCCCATAGGGGGATCCAGATGCCGACAATGACCTAAAACAAATGTCAGATTGCGTGTGAAAGGTTCAGATTGCACGACATACCTTNTGCCAAAAGCATCAAGAGCGTGTACACGACGCCGTGCCAGATGGCTGAACCAGTCCAAAGATCAATGAATGGAATGGCAAATCCGATACTTGCAAAGAACAGGGGCTCCATGAGATACTTTTGTACATCCGAAAAATATTTCTCAAATGTATGGACGAAGGTAGGGCTCTTGTCGTCGTTCTGTTCGCCATGTTCACGCGAATACACAACAAAAGGGCCTTCAGGATGCTTCGAGGGAAGATACGTAAGGAATGATCCTGCAAGGAAAGCGCCGAAGAGCACACTAGTGCCTGCATATGCGGCGATTGAGATGAAAGCGCAGAGAACCAGGACCATGAGGACGACATTGGACAGATGGTCGAATCGTGCAAAGTGGTGTTCGATGTGTCGGCGGAAAAGCGGCGCACAAACGTATTTGCAGATCAATGGAGTCAAGGCGGCCATGAGAATAGATGCGAGTATCGGTCTGCCTATGAGCCATCCAAGATTGACGTTTGCACCTCCAGAAATGGAACCGAGATCATGGATGACGCTGGACATGACAAGACCGGATACATCGTCAATCACGGCTGCGCTGACGAGTACAGTGCCGACACGTGTTTGAGACAAATCAATGTCTTTGCTTGCACCTCCTATGACTGCGAATGTGGTTCCAAGACTGGTAGTTGACAGAGCAGCACCGATGATGAAGGTTTCTACAGCGCCATATCCAAATCCGAGGTAGAGAAGCAGATAAGAAAAGCCAATGGGGAACAGAACGCCTGTGGTTGCGGCGAGCATGCTGAGAAAGAAGTTTTGCTTGAGCAGGTCCATACGCGACGTGAGACCGCCTTCGAAGATGATCAGGATGAGACCGATGTATCCAATGGCAAGAAAGGTTTCCTGCCAGATCTCAAGGAGTATGTCGGCCAGAGGCATGCCATAGACAATACCGACTATGATGGGTCCAATGATCCCAGCCCGGAAAACGATCGATGACAGCCATTCTGCGAGAGAAAGGAAGAAGAAGAACGAAATCAGGACCAGGATAAGGACGANCTGTGGAATGGATCAGCGGTCATGGGCAATAATGAGGGATATGAACTACATGCTAGAAGGCTCTTCATAGGCGAGGAACGAGCCAGCCATTGTTGTGTTAGAGCGAGAGGTGAGGATAGAGATGAGAATCGGGAGTAAAGGTGTTAGGGATGGTGACAAGGTGGATGATGTGATGATTTTGATTTGGTGTGTAGTCATGACAGAGACTGGCCAAGCAAGACCAAGACTACCAAGATACGGAAGGTTTTGCCACCGATGAAAGTGACGCACGAGGCGGAACGGTGACATTCTCTTAGAAAGTCTTTGCCAGACTAATGGGTCGCAATTATGTTTATGTGAACAGTCGATTGTCAACTGAATTTTCTATGGTCCTGGATCATTTACAAGGATGTAATGCATATTTATTGAATCTGGATGTTGGGGAAGGAGCCAAGAGAGGAACGTTCACGGCGGAGCTTACAGGCTTGGGGTTGACGCGGCTTGGGCTTGGCGTGTTTGCATACTTTCCTCTCACTCATCCCATTCGCCGTCACATATTCACTTAGTCCAAAATTCCTCAAGATCTGTCAAGGCCAGCATATTCTCCTAAAGTCTTGCTTGTCAAAAGTCGGACCATCTGTAGCGATGTGATTTAGGCGTATTTTGTAACACGACACTTCTCTTACCGTGCCATTCTTAGGTCTTTTGCAAATATGTCAACAAGTCTTATCGGACGTTATAGCTTTTAATGCTTAGAAACATGCAATCGATGCTCTCCTGCCTTACAAGACCCTATGCTAAGGGTTAAGACTCGTCTATAAGGCCAAGTAGTTCGCCTCGCTGTAAACTCAAAGTATCACTTGGTCTATGGGTTACTGGGCTCAGTACTAAATGCCCTCCTCACATATTCGATTCTGGATGCCTTGACTCTTTTGCNAGAACTATTCCAGATGTCAAAAGTCCNGGGGTATGCAATACACCATCGTGGCACCCGCAGTCACTAACGAAAATTCGCATATTCCAAAAGTTGTTGAGGATCAATGGAACAACTGGAATCGAAACACGGCCAGCTATACGGGACTACGAAACCGGTTTTGGCACAGAAACCATGCTTCGCACGATTGCAGACACGGACGCTCTGTTTCGTACAGCTGGCGTAGAATTGACGGTACAAGCTTGCAACAAAGCGTTAGGAGAATCAACTTTGAATCTCGACGATTTCACTCACACTATGGCTGTCACATGCACCAACCAGGGTAATCCAGGCTTCGACTTCCTGGTCAATGAGAAGCTCAATTCACCATGTTCCGTGGACCGCACCCTCCTGCATGGTATCGGATGCGCAGGTGGACTGGCCGACATGCGCACTGCTGCTCAACTCGCATGTGCGGTCCTCATGAGAGGCAGACCTGCCAGAATACTATGTTTTGCATGCGAGCTCACTACTCCAGGCATTCGATACGAGCTTGATGCTGCTGCAAACTGTGCGGACCTTTCAAAGATCAGTATCGCAAGCACTCTCTTCTCTGATGCTGCCGCTGCTTTCGTTCTTTGCAATGACCTGAGCTTGTGAGATGGGATTAAGCCAATATTTGAGTTGTCAAACTGGGACAGTGCGAGCATTCCCGAGACGATCAGCAATCTCGAGTCGTATAGAAGCAAACGGTATGTCAGCTACCAGATTGGCTGGTTTGGGATGACGATGCTGATCTATGACGTAGGCTATCGCACTGTACTCAATAAGACTGTTCCTACACATACTGTAGCTGCTGTTGTCCCAATGTTCCAGAGTCTGTTGCTGTCAATCCGGCTGATGACTGATTGCGACGATCTGGATGTTGCAAACTTCAACTGGGCGCTACATCCCGGCGGTCAGGCCAGTATTGACGGAGTACAAAAAGCCATGCGCCTCAGTGATGAGCAATTGCGGGTGACACGTGAGATATACAAGACTCGAGGCAATTCGTCGAGTCCGACTGTGCTTGCGATACTCGACAGACTGCGTTCCAGGAATAAGGACAAAGTTCCTGTTGTCGCAACTGCTTTTGGACCAGGACTCTCTATAGAGATGGCTTTTCTTAGGGTCGTTCCTGCTTAAAGGGACTGGAAAGGGCCAGGTAAAGTACAACAGACAGCTGGGGTTAGTCTCTTTGATCCGAGATCGCGAAGTCTAGTACTTTCCTCCGGGACAAATTGAGCCTGGATCGATGTTTCGTGGTGGGCAGCCTTGGGATCTGATTACAACGCAGGGTCATCAAACCTACCGACACAAGACACGATACATGAGTATAACTAGAGTCATGGACTCCGAATTAAATCTTTGCAAGATTCAGATCTGAGGCTCCAACATAAGTTTTTGTGCATGATTCTAGTTCCTGACTGACTGGCCCATCCTGGCCAAAGACTGGTTACAGCTGGTTTGAGCTGAATTTCCACGTTCGATGTGGCAGTAAGCACATAGCAACCGCCAAATACATGAACTATGGAAACAGCTGAGTGCTGGTTCGCCACGGTGGGGTTTGCAGCGTGGCCAAGATGCACTCCTACGTACAACGCTGGAGCTCCCTGGCAAAGATGTCCAGACACATACGCGACGTACTTGCTGATGTAGATAAGGACCCGGACGTGGCCAGTGAGAACCTAATCGTCCATGCTGCCTGGCCAGACGAGGAAGAGGATTAGGCCGTGCGCGACTATCTAGGGGTGATCGCATGGTAAAGGAATCCAGGAAAAGTTCCAGTGTCTTTAACGGTGGCAAAGTCCTCCATCTGATTAGGGTACCAGTATTGACAATGAGTAGTTGTGCACTGAGAAGATCTGTCATAGCGGTACTGCTGCGAGCGATCAACAAGATTCTGTAGATTTTGTAGATTGAGCATCTGTGAATGGCTATCCTGGGTAGTGTCGCGGACCACATGGTGGTCTTCAACGATGTGGTTTGACCAGAAGTTGACAAGTCACTGCTTATCAGCTTCGGTCTCGGCCGTGGGAAGGGGGCTCCCTTAGACCAAATCACTGCATGCCAATTGATGTTACCATTCTCCTGAAACTCGAGGGTGGGGAGAACACTTGACCTTCCACCAAGGCCGATAAGACCTCATGATTGTGTCATGATTGTAGAACTAGCACATGATGGTAGAGTCTTCGTCAGTGAGCGCGGTCATCAGTTCCTCGTCACTAAACTTGTCAGGCAGCCCTTTTGTGCCGAGCCGGTGAGAGCGGCTGTTGATCTGGTCGTTGAGCAGCATGCAATATGCTCCTGGCAGCCAGGAGTGTTGCTTCAAGCGATTCCTGTCAATGTGCTTAAGGAGATGGACAATGTATCGTTAGAACGTGATCGACACGAGTGTTGGACAAAAAAATCGCTAGTGCTATGAAGATGCAATGACGAGAAGGCGAGAGAGAGGTAAGGCTTCATGGTATTGAGATTCATGTTGGGGATGAGATGAGAGCCTTGTGGCAAGACGAACGCCGTTTTCGAGAGAGATTGAGCCGTAAGCAGGTTTGGCACGGTCATACGTGATATTTTGTAAGTGGGAGTAACATCGGGTACATTTGATGCTTTGGGACGATGCACGTGGACCTGGTTGCCATAATTTGAGAGTCGGGTAAGGGTTCGATAGTAGACCATGCTACAAGACTTCCATACACAAAGTGCTTCTAGATGGAGATCTTTGCATGGGCGAAAACGACATCCTTGCGGACCAACAGCTCTTTATTAGACTGATCAAGATTGTTGTTATGAGGGCATGGGGCAGTCTTGCACAGGGATTGGGAAAGTACCATCCATCCTAGCTGGATTCAACATATGTGACGTTGGGTTCGTTGCTGTATACCATAGAATCTAATTGTTACAAGATCAAAGAAAGAAGAAGTATATTGAAGCATGTTCTCTTATCTCTGCATGTTTCACCGATTGACACCGTCCCAAAACCTTAACACCCTTGATGCATACGCTTACCAGATTCCATCGCCAAGGAAGCCAGTTGCCTCAGTAGTTGGCACCACAACTACCGGCTACATTTGAGCGTGCAAAACCATAACTGAAGGAATACGTGTAGGCGTTTCCGCTACTGTCGATTTGTGTCTTTGCTGTAGCCCTGCTCGACTTGAATTGTTGACTGTACAGATAACACATCTGTCCCAAAGCTTGTTTACCCTTGTTGAGAATGAAAGTGTTAAAGTAGTTGCACAACACAGGGTTGGTAGTACCAGAGGCAGTGGCATTGGATTGGGCTTGAGCGGAGTAGGCATCGCAAGCGGCGGCACATCTGGAAGCGGAGAAGGGCGTGCCGTCGTTGTAGAGCTGCCAGGCAAGAGTGGGATTGCTGGACGAGCAGTCCGTTGTGGGAGGCACCATGATGCTGTTGCCATAGTAGGCGGCCGACTTGTAGTTGGGAATGGGAGCGATGGCGTTGTTGACGTAACCNNTGTGTTGTGTGGAATGAGTGGATGTGATTCAAAATCTTGTGTGAAAGTGTACGTGAGGAGATGTAAGGGAGTACGCAGCGAGAAGTGCAAGAACGGAAGGTGTGAGTATCATTAGAGACTTACCATTGGATCCGGCGATGACGATCTGGAAGTTCTTGCGCCATTGACCAGTGTTCACTGCGTTGTCTTTGGACACTGGGCCACCCCAGAACGAGCATTTAATATTGGTGGTGCTAGGGGNGTTGTCGCAATTGTCTCCACTGCCTGGCTCTACCTTTGGATCGCGCTCGAAGTAAATGTTGAAGGCTTGGCAGCCGATGATGGTATTGCACTTCTTGGAGCAACTGTCGACGTCGTAGGTTGGAAGGTTGGTGTACCCAAGGTAGCCGTTTGCGTTGTTCGACGCTTGTAGGTTAGCGAATGTTTGTTGATAGCCAGATGGGGTAACGGCACTGTTGGCAGCGCTGGCAAAGTCGCTCAGGGCAAGGAAGTTGGTGGGCGTATCAGGGTATGGCACAGGTCCCTGACCTGCTGGAAGCAGCTTGCATACTTTCCCTGGGCAGGTACCGGTCTTGATAACGTTCAAAGTGATTGTGGTGTATTTCTGAGGATCGAAGTATCCGCCCTGTGGACTCCATTGGACCTCCGAGACACAACTTTCATCTCGTAAGAGAACAAAGTCAGGGTACGTCGGGTCGATCACGTAGCCGTTTTTGAGGGTGTTCGTCGAACTGATGGTCACCGGTACCGTCGACCAGCCCCAGGGAAGCGTGGTATCGCTAGGTGTGAATAAGAGACATTCGGATGCGAAATAGTTTTGTACACCAGTATATTTCATGGTGGCAAGATCCGCAGAGTACAACAGTCCGCTAGGGTCTCTGAAAAACGTTGCTGCCTGAATCTTGCTCACAGGTTGGACTAGACCACCAACTTGTCCCGAAGGCGTATCCGCAAGCCCCATCCACTGGCTGTCCCAGGTGGAATTCCCACTGGCCGAATATTGGATGCTGAAAGCCGTGGAGGGGTCGCACACCGTGGATGGCGATGGAATAGAAATAGTACCGCCCATGACCACTTCGATTACTTGGCGACGATGACGGTATTGTCTGAATCAGCGGCGTTGGTGATATCTGCGGCGGCGGCAGATGCAGCAGAGGCAGTGTTGAAAGCAACGATCTCGGAGGTGACTGCTAGGTCAAGTGTGGGTGTCGGCGGAGGTGGGCCAAGGGCGTCGATAGCAGCGAGATCCAAGAGATCGGGAGTTGGAATGGGTTCAGCCGATGCGATACAGGAGAAAGCAAGGCTGACCAGCAAAGCAGAGAAGAGCATAAGGTCAAAGAGTCGAGTATACACTGGTGAAGAGAGGTTGCGAGCTTGAGACGTTGTTTAGTGACTTGTCTGGAGAGATGGTTCATGAATTAGAAGGACGAGTGTAGGGTCTTTTATATGTCATCTTCGAATTTGTACTCCACAACAATGTGCAGTTGGGCGCTTGGATCGTACTACTGGCAGAATAGCTGAACAGCAGCTGAGCATGGTGATATTTGCCACAAGAGAAGGAGAGCTGAGACGGCAATTCGAAAACCTCAGCTGTCCGAATGGAGAAGAAGGCGTCCGGGGCGCCCGAGTGGACGTCGGAACAGCGATTTATTCAGATCTGTCATCTCTCACCACTCTTAACAGTGGAAAAAGGGCCTCAAAGGGCACCTCCATGATTCTGAGCTCTGGTGAGCGCTTCGCAGCTACGACTCGGAGCCGTAATATCATAGTAGTGTGATGAGATAAAAATCAAGTCATTGGTAGTTGAAAATCATAATGCTCGCTGGAAACTGCTTTCTGAATGAGTTTCTTAATGGTCCGTAGTCAAGAAGTCTAAATCAGCCCAGCTGAAGTTGGTTCGTGTTCACCCGTCCCTTGCAGCTGCGCCAAGACTGAAACCAGCACGTGGGTATTTCTAGAGTGTTCTAGACAGGGCACTTCTCAAAAGCTCTGTGCTGACAGCGAGACAACGTATGCAAGAATTTACAGTGTTCATCTCCACGCTGTAAAGAGACTGGGCGGCTCATGAATCTAGCCACTAGATGTCCTCGGTATCCTTATCAGCTCGATTGAGATTCAAATACTATTGTCCCACAATGTTCGTCACATGAGCTCACCGGATGACCCCTTATTCCTAATCGATATCAAGCCCAGGAATGAACAGTGACCTAGAAGAGGCCTGGAGACGTAGGAGGCATAGAAAGAATTTACCTCAACAGCATCATGCCGCCGTGGCTTGTTTTGAGTCTTGGAACGGCATAGGTCTGTCCTTTGACGTTGGTACATAGAAGGTCATGATGGAGACAAAGAGCGGAAAGAGGAGGATGATGAAATCAGTCGGGTTCAGACGACCTGTCGACCTGTTGTTGATGACTCTAGCATAGGGAACCCTGTTGTGGTTTATGAAGAACACCAACTTGCTTCGAACGGTAGTCTCGGAAGAGTTGGTGTGGAGAAGAAGAGCCCGTCCGCCAGTCAGTATTCTCAGTTGTGTGGTGGTATAGAGGAATAGCCGGATGTAGGGATCTCGGATGCATGTTATTGAGACGGTGTTCTGGTGATGTGATATAGGGCCTTGACCTTATACCTCAAGCGGCGTTGTGCGTGACCATGAGGAAGCAATCATTCCGATTGCAGAGCTCTACGTACACAGTTAGGAATGCTCTGGTGCAAAGAGCTGCTTCGAACTCGTCAGTCTCTACTCAATGTCTACACCTGCCGACATCCTGGACCAGATCCAACCAAGTTCGACGAGGAGTTCCCGAGGACTTTGGACTTTGGGAAGTCATGGAACCTCCATCGAGGTGCACCAGGCGCGTCTGGTCAATGTCTCTATTGTTCCGGTTGTTCTTCTTGCGCGAAAGAGTGTTTGCAGACCAATGAACTCTTCAAGCAGCTCAAGATGCACCTTAAGCTTGCGTCGATCACGTCCTAGGCGGCTGCTCAAATGAACACCTGCCAGAGCAGCATTACAAGATACCAACGACTTAAAGGTGTTCGGCTTCGTCACTTCTCTTCACCTCGAATGGATCAATATCTGCCGGTCGATGCCTCGCTTCCATACGCATGGTGACGGGTAACCGCAGTCTGCACAACTCGACCATATTTCCATCTTGCTGCTTAAGCGTCTTTAACAAGTCCGATCGCTAACTCGAGGTACCTTATAAGCTTTCTAATGACTCTACCAGTCCCTCTATTATGGATTAATCGTGCGTTAACTTCTAAGACTCCATATTAGAAGCTTAGGTTTCATATCTACTAGCATATTATTAGCCACTACTAAAGACTACATGCCTCTTATAGCCCCATGGCCGTGCTTAGGGTTAGCAAACACTCTATTATGCTTCTATCTAAGCTATTCTTGCTCGTCTAACTACTTTCTATATAAAAAAAAAAAAAAAAAAAAACGGAGGAAAGGGGGTAAAAAGATAAAGGAAAGTAACAAAGGAAAGGGGGTCTGTCTAGTCTATGCCATATCCTAGCCAGTTTCTAGCCCAGAGTCTTACTAGAGTAGTAGAAATATACTTATCTAGCCACTCTAAGGTGCTAGGACCAAGGGACTTTTGGAATTCCTTATAGGTTTGTGAGGTCTCCTTCCCTAGGAGGCCTCCTTGGCTAAGGATAAACGGCTTAAAAGCTCGGCCTAGGGTTTGGTATTTAAGTTTCTTAGCCCTTTCCGCGGCTAATAGGGTGCTATTAGGGTCCTTCCTAGCGGTTTCCTTACCTAGGGAAATGATGGACACATCTAGGTAGGTGGTTCCCTTAGGGTTGTCGATTCTAATGTCTGTCCGAATTCCTTAGTAGTCTCCTTATGGTTCTAGAGTGACTTTATTCTATGGGTCGGTCTATAGGGCTGTAGTTAACGCCTAGCACACCTTATTATGTTTAACAATCGTCTATCTAGTCCTAGCACGGCAGGCGTCTTCGTAGGCAAAGGTATAGGCCCTATTACAGTGCCTACAGATGTCCTAGCCTTCTTTAGGGGATATAAGAAGTCGGATAGAAAGTGCTACGGCTACGTCCATGTCTATAAGTAGAAGGGGCTATAAGGTAGGCATTACGGATAGCCATCTTCGGCCTAGGAAGGCTAAGTTCTCGATCCGTACGTTCTCTTACTATAAAGAGAGCTTCTGCTATACTCTAGCTAGTCGAGCTCTGTTAAGCTTGTCTATTGCAGCTCGGTAGATGGTTCTAGTAGGGCTAGTACTAGTGGGGTCTAGTTGTTGGTGTTCTGGGGGAAAGCTAGGCTGTTATTAGGTGTCCTGGGCTAGGAGGTAGGATAGGCTTGGTTATGGTTATTAGTCTGCTCTATTCCTGCTTCTACCGCGGTCCTTGGTGTGTTCCTATTCCTATTCTTGTTCCTGTTCTTATTCCTGTTCTTGCTCTTAGCTTCCTAGAGTGGTTTGTTCATCTAGTCCTTGTGTGCCCTTTTCTATAGCCTCGTCTACGTCCTCTTCTAGGCCGTCCTCTTATAGGTTGTCTTCTTAGCCTTATGTAGGCCTATGGCTAGCCTAGGGGTGGCCTTCTATGTTAGTGTTACTAGGGGCTAGCGAGGGTGCTCGGGGTAGGCGCTAAAAGAGTTTTGGCGGCAGGATCCTCTATAGGGTAATGTCTGCTATAGCCTATGAGTTTTAGAAGGCTAGTTTGGCTACTTCCGCGTAGAGAGGTATTCCTAGGCCTCCTAGCCTAGTAGGGAGGGCTACTAGGTCCTAATCTAGTGGTCTTCTATCCTCTAAGCCTTAAAGGTGTTTTATGGTTTCTAGGAGTCTTATGTTAATGTCTTGGAATCCTGCTAGGAGTCCTTATGATCCCATAGTCCTAGGAAGGTGTCGGAGGAGTGTAGAGGTGCTAGCCCTAAGTAGGAGGAGTGCGTGTTGTTTTGGTAGGTCTTTTAGCCTATCTAGCACCGTCTAGAGTTCCTCTATTCTTGTAGCTAGGAATTCGGCCTTCCGTGGCTCTAGCCCTATAAAGGAGCTAAGTATCTTCATTCCCGTGGTCTATATTACCAATAGGGGGTGTGTCTTTATCTTATCTATGTTTAGGGCAATAGGGGCGTCTTCTAGGTAGCCTTCTAGTTGTTATAGGGTAATCTGTTGCCCTAAGATGATGTAGACGTCGTCTAGGTATGCTAGGACAATAGGAGGGGGTCTATTATAGCCGGTTGCCCTCTATAGCTGTTGTTATAGCTATTAGAGGGTAGTCCGAATGGCTAGGGAGAAGAAGAGGGGGCTAAGGGGGTCTCCTTATCTAACCCCTTCTAAGGAGGTAATTACCGTGCCGTCATACATCACTAGGGCTACTAGCTCGTTATAGGCCCATCTAGCTACCTTGTAAAACTCTAGGGCATAGCTTAGGATCCTGTGGGCTACCGCTGCTTAGGAGACTAAGTTAAAGGCGTTTTTAAAGTCCATAGAGCAGACGTGGGTGTATCCACTAAGGTTTCCATCTACCGCGTGTCCTAGTAGGTATATGATTAGCTCCACCCTGCTAGGGCTCTATACCCCTAGCTAGAAGGGGGCTAGTTGGTCCTTAGAGAACTGTTTTTAGAGTAGGACCTTGGCTACTAGCCTATAGATAAGCTCTCCTACCGCAATTGGCCGGACCCCGTTGTCTTCTTTATCTAGAGCCACAAGTCTTAATGCGGTAAGTAGCTGGTTTCCTAGTGCTAGGCCGTTTTGTACCTGCTTATAGAGGTGGGTAAGAAAGTCTATCACCTGTTTGTGCTTACAGGCTTCCCTTAGTAAGGGGACTGACTAGCCGGATAGGCCAGGGGCTGTATCTAGGGCAAACGAGGCTAGGGCTTATAGGATGTCTTCTGGAAGTGGTCTAGGGCCCGGCCTAGGGCTTGCCGAGGAGGCAAAGGGGTAGGACTGCCCCTCCGGGTGTTTTTCCCTTAGTTTAGCTAGTATATCTGCCGAGTTCCTAGCTAGAGTTAAGGGGTCTACTAGTGCCCTTGCCGCTCTACCTAGGTAGCCCTTTTCTACCAGTCTTTAGGCCCTAGAGCAGGGGGTATCCCGGCGGTTGTCTAGCTGGCCTAGAAACTCCTAGGCCCTATCGGTTTCTACGTGGTTTGGCGGAGGTAGCATTAGGTCCAGGTAGTGCTATAGGACGTATTAGGTGCTAAACTCCTCTAATTGGATGCCTAGGGTAAGGCCAGCCTTTAGGAGTAGTAGGAAGTCTAGTAGGTGTTTCTCGGTAGGTTGGCGTGTGTATCTAGAGGCACACCTAGCCGCGGCGGCCACAAAGCTAGCGGCTTGGCTACCACGAAAGGTGTGGTCCTTTGCCTATAC